CAGATGGAGCTTTAGCCACTCAGGGGGTCAGAGGCCTGCCTGAGGCTGCTTTGATTCCACCCCTAGCAGAGGGTGAGCCATGTCAGTGCAGCCCTTGGCACTTGATGCTCCATGGTTTTTTTTCCGGTTTGCATTCAAGCTTTCTGGGTGGCCTGTTCTATTCATTATGTTGGGTGGGGAATCCCTTTTCAGCCTGAGGTCTGCATTAAACTTCTGGGGGCCAATATGCCCCTGGTGGGCAGGGCCAGAAGCAAAAAGCAGACAGAGCAACAAATGTGGTTGTAACCTTCGTACAGTTTATCCACACACCCCTTTCCATCCTCTATGTAGGCAAGCAAGATGTGTTATCAGAGGTATATCCCAGCCAGGCAAAAACACCCCAGTTCCGAGAGCCAGATAGAGAGGCCTCAAGGGCGGGCCTGAGGCTCTCTACTCCTACATTACACTCTTCCTTTAGGACTCTCGGAATGGCTTGCAGAGGCTTTCAGGCCTCACCTTGCCTCTGGATTGGTGGTGGACAGAACCAAGCCACTGGATTGGGCAGTCCTGGTTTAAATAATTGGAGCCTGGCCCTCAGCCAGGAATGCTACTGTTTTCTCTCCCCCCCCCCCAGCTTTCAACTACAGACCTTGATCTGCAAAGCAGACCCTCCTGGTCAGGACTCAGGAACCGCCTCCTACAGTTCTGGCCTGCTCAGAAACCACCCAGATGTGATCCAGTCCACCACACACAGTGGAGACTGTAGAATGAGGCGCCAGCCACTTTGGCAATGTACTGTAAATCCCGCTTCCCTCAAAGGTGGTCTCCCTCACCCCCTGCCACCCCAGTTGTGTGTGTGTGTGTGTGTGTGTGTGTGTGTGTAGCTACTCTTACAGGAAACCCTGAGGATGCCATTTCTGTCCTTAGTGCCATGCCAGGAACTGAATCCTCGTTCCCAGGAGTGGAGTGGGCTCCAGGCGCTCAGGACTCCCTGTTCTTATTAGCTCAGGCCTTGGAAAGCCTTTTTAAAGTTTCATTGAGGGGAGGAGGAGAGTGCTGAAGCCCAGTCCAACCAGGCAACATTGTGGCAGCAAAAGAGATCAGGCTGGCTTCCCGAAACCCATGACAGATCTGATGGATAAGTTGGTGCCATATTGATTTAGACTCTCTGGCTTTGGACCAAGACAAAAACTAACAAAATATATTCTCGGCTATGAAATCGATCGGAGGAGGTTTCTAGGTTCAGAAGAGGCACCAAAAAAGCAGAAGCAAAGATATCCCAGCTGTCATTGTTCATCACGGGTGTGGTTTGTGTGTCCGTGCGCCGATGCCAAGGGAAAGTCCTCCGTCCTCCAACCATCATGAGGAACTGGTTGTCCACAGTCATTTGGACACATGGCTGGAGATGTCTTGATGGCCAGCAAAGTACCCAGAGACCCAGGCTCTTCCTATGACCTCAGTGTCCTGCATAATAGAGGAGATGCTCTCATCTCGCCACCGGAATACAGTGGAAGGCTTGAGGCATTTTCTTGAGCTGAGAGAAGCTCTGCTGGGGGTGGTTTAATGCAGGGGTTGGCAACTGGTGACCCATATACTGGTTCCTGGATGCACACAAACAAATTCCCTTTGGCCCAACACCACCACACATTTAAGCTATTATGGAGGACAAAATGAGCCTTTCCACTCCAGTTTCAGGAGAGAAAGGAAACAACTCAAAGAGACCATCAACACACTTTGTGCAAGCCCTTTCAGGAAAGGCACAGAGATGTGGAAAACCCCTGATTGCAGAAACTGATCTGTAGCATACTACTCCATTCTTACCACTCACAGGAGTAGATTCCTGATCAGCGGCTGGCTATGCTGGAGGCCTGCTTTGAGAATGGAGGTCTTGGTTCTGCTTGTTTATGTAGCCTGCTGGCAAGTGCCATGCCACAGAGGTTGCTGCCCCCCCCCAACTGCTACATTTATATATACAACCTCTCTCCCAAGGAGTTCAAGGCCATGCACATGGTTCCCCCAACCCACACTCCATTTTATTTTCACAACGATCCTGTGAGTTAGGCTAGGCTGAGACCAGAACGTGAAATCTCAAGCTCATGGGCCAAATGTACTCCTTTCTGGCTTTGGAACTCTCCCCAGGCCACACCCCTTTCTCCAGGCCACGCCCCTCACCAGCCCTGTATTGCACCATCCTTGATTGTATTTGCCTGACTGGAATTTGTCCTTGAACAGTAATACTGTGATGTTTCTTGCTTCCCTGGATGGAGGATGGAGTGGGGTGTGTGCAGAAGCTACTGGGCAAAGGTAAAAGTCATACAGGTTGCTCTGCCCCCTTTTGCCTCTGGCCTCACCCACCACTGGAAGGATGCCCAGATGGAAATGCAGGCTTTGAACCAAAGGCGCTTCATGTCCCCTGGGCTAAGAGAGAGCGATTGGCCCAAGGTCACCCAGTGAGTTTCTCAGGTGAGTGGGGATGTGAGCCTGGGTCTTCCTGGGGCTAGTCCAATGCTCTGACCACTGCACTGCTGACTCTGAGTTCTCTGGCCTGGCAACTGGGAGAATGGCTGCAATATCCCTCTCAGGGCCAGCTTTGGCCCAGTTGCTAATCCCATAAAGCAGACTAAGCATGTGAACTGTTGATTGTGCAGATCAGCAGGCAAAGGAACAGCTCAGCTGTGTCTCTCCAGAGACGCCCACCAGAAAAGATCATCCTGCCCTTGTACATATGATTGTTTATCCTGAAAAAGCAAGGTGAGTCAAGGGCTGAAAGCTACCGTACTCTGCATGTTCTTTGATGAAGAAAAATCCTGCTTCAAGCAAAGGTGATTTCTGCAGCATGTAGAAATTAGGCAAACGAAGAGAACTTGGTTGTTTTGCATAGTTGACTCTGGTCATGCTAGTTAGGAGGAAGGGCACAGAACTAGGCAGTCACATTCTTTAATTAGTGAGATGTCATCAGGCAGCCTTTCCTAAATATATCCTCACACTAATAAGGCCTCAAAACCTAGTTCTCTTTTCAAATGAAAGCTGGAAACCATATGTTGTGTGTCTCCATTCTCCTATAGAACTGCAACATGCAGAGTTAACAGCCCTGGTCAAGAGTTCCCTGCTGCTACAATCAAGGAACCACTGATTCTTCTTCACAGAATCACATAATTTGGAGTTGGAAGGGATCCTGGAGGACATGTAATCCACCCCCAGTGCAACACGCAACTCTGATCCTCCTCCTTAAGTAAGCGCACAAAATTAATATAATCTTGTACTTAATTTATCTCCTGCCTTTCTTCCATCATGAAGCTCAGCTCAGCATAAATGTGGTTCTCAGGTGGTCTCCCTCCAGGTGCTGACAATATCCTGACCTGCTCAGTTCCAGCAAGGCTGAGGCCTCCTGGGCCTTCAGACTATATGCCAAGCCTATGAGTTCAGTTCAGAGTTTGTCAACCCGGGGTAACTGAATGTGTAAAGGAGTGGGCCGCCTTTGACAGGTGGGTTCTCATGTTCCCTTCCAACTCTACAATTACCATACATGGCTCTATCCATAAGTTTGTATTCCTTCTGTGAAATGCAAGATACACAAACCATCTATATTACAGTGGTACTTTGGGCTAAGTACTTAATTCGTTCTGGAGGTCCGTTCTTAACCTGAAACTGTTCTTAACCTGAACCACCACTTTAGCTAATGGGGACTCCTGGTGCTGCCGTGCCGCCGGAGCACAATTTCTGTTCTCATCCTGAAGCAAAGTTCTTAATCCGAGGTAATATTTCTGGGTTAGTGGAGTCTGTAACCTGAAGCGTATGTAACCCGAGGTACCACTGTATTTATATCTTCTGCCCATCAGAATGTGATTCGCCATTTCTCCCCCATTGTGTTTTATTGTTTTCTAAAGTGTGTGCAAAATTAATAAAACGTATTTAAAATAAAATAGAAAGAAAGCTAACTGGGGTTCTCCTTTAGCATAAGATGGGCGGAGCAACAGTGAATCTCTGTTGTTGTGGGGAGAGAGTGCTGGTGCCTTCAGGTCCTGCCTGCAGGCTTCCCATGGACACCTGGCTGGCCATCGTGAGAACAGGTTGTTAGGCTAGATGTGGTCCTCCTTTGGCCTGACCCAGCAGCAAGGCTCCTCTTATATTGAGGGCCCAGGAGTAAATAGGGACATTTGAAGCATGTGCCTTGACCAACCACTGGTCACCTTTTCCTGGACGTCGGGAGATTGCTTCTGCTCCAGTTTTTCCTAGCAAGCCCCTTTACTGGGAGGAGAATGTAGGTGGCAGAGGTATTACTTATTGATGCTTTTATGGCCCACATCTCTAAGTGCCTTCCGAAAGCAGCGACGCTCATTAGGACTGGGCATCGGTGCCAAGCCCCTCAACCACACATTAAATAATTCACTAATGCATGAGCCTTTAATTTTCATTCTTGTTCCTTGTGGCTTGGAGCAGTTGGGATCCCGTGGGTGCATTTGGAGGAACCAAAGCCCGTTTTGAAAGCATAACAGACCCAACCTCCTGTGGGATTAATCTGTAGGTGGGGAAGTGGTTCCGTTGGCAAAGATTTAAGGGGACGTAATCTGACAGTGCCACAAAAATGAAACTGGTTTGCCATGACCCTGGGATTGGAGTCTTCTCCTTCATTATGATGTTAAAGAATGAGTTAGAAGGGAATTTGCACACAGGACTAGTCTCAGATGCAAGTCTGCAAGGTGAGTCAGTGCTCATCCCACCTCTGGCCTGAGGATGTTGCATCTGCTGGTCTCTGATGGCAGACAACTCCATCACAGAAGCCCAGTGCAATCAGTCTCCCCTGCTCTGTAAGGATAAGTGTGACTATACCTTTAAGGGCATCTGTCACATCTAGTTTAGGAGGCCTAGCTAGAAGCAGAGTGGGAAAGCAGTTGAAGGGAGAGAAGACCTGTTGTGCATGGCTCTTTATTAGAACTATTTCATTTTCAACTTAGAACCCTAGAACTTCAGAGTTGGAAGGGACCACGAGGATCATTGAGTCCAACCCCCTGTAATGCAAGAATCTTTCACCTAATGTGGGGCTTGAACCCACAACCCTGAGATTAAGTGTCTCACACTCGACCGACTGAGCTATCATGATCTCTGACTTGTTCATCATTAAAGATAGAACACTGCATGCTCTGTCAAAGACTGTTGGAGTGGGCTGGGCCTCTTTAACTGAAGAGGCACCTTTCAGTAAAGGTAGAACTTACATTTGAGACAGGACTGCTGCTCCACCGTAAGGCTAAGAGGCTGGCTGTTGCTGAAGCAACACTGGAGCATTGCTCTCTTCTAGTATATCCTGAGTCTTGCCTTGAATGAGGTCAGCGCTTGCAACTTAAGTCATTTTGATGACTGGGCACACTCCCTGTTGGACAGTTAAATGCTAAGAGCTTGCAGTGAAGAGGTCAAGTTTGTGATGGCACCAAATTGTTCAGGATGGTGGTGGGGTGACCACAAGTGGACTGCAATGAGATCCAAATGGACCTGTCCAAAATAAGTGAATGAACAACAAGGCAAGGAAATGCTGTTTGATGTAAATAAGTGCCAAGTGATGCCCACTGAGACTAAAATAAGAAACTGAACTTCACACAAATACAGAGCAGGATTTGGACTGGCAATGGTTAACTAGCAAAGAGTTCTGGCATCAATGAAAATGTCAAACCAGTGTATGACAGCTGTGAAAAAGGCAATTTTCAGGATAGAGATTTTTTGGAAAGGGGCAGAAAACAAAACTGCCAGTACTGTATTGAATTGTCATTATGCAAATCAATGGTAGATCCACAGTTGGAATATTGTGGGCACTTCTGGTTGTCCCAACTCAAAAAAGGAGAAGAGAAGAGAAGAGAAGAGAAGAGAAGAGAAGAGGAGCATATTGCAGAAATGGAGAAGTTGCAGTAAAGGAACAGAAAAAATATCAGGGAGCTGGAACACTTTACCTATGAGGAAAGACTAAAATGTCTGGGGCTTCCGCCTGTTTTTTAACAAGGCAAACTGAGTGGTTATATAATAGAGTAGGAATGGGGAGATTCAGGCCTGGGGTCTGAATGTGGCCCTCCAGGCTTCCAGATCTGGCCCTTGGAACTCTCCCCAGGCCACACCTCTCACTGACCTTGCTTGGCACCCTGAATATTTTTGTCTGGCTGGAATTCTCTGAGTGTGGATCTTTATGTTGACCAGACAGTGTCATCCAGGCAATATCAGTAGCCTTGGGGGAACCCCAAGGTTTTTGTAAGTGTAAAAGTATTTAGGACAAAAAATAACCTCAATGGGACAAGGACCCCCACCTGCTCCCCCCAAAAAAGAATTCAGCACAGTGAGGTTGGAGCAAACAACAACAACAACAACAACAAATAATTTGTCCCCCTTGCTGAGTTCCCACAGAAACCTGACTGTTTGTGGGAAGGGGCAGAAAATTGGGTGGGAAACATGTCCGGGTCTTCCTATCAGAAATTGAGACAATTAAAGTTCACACTGGGTCCTTATTTAGTGGTTTTGTGGCTGCTAATTTCCTACTGATCTCCTTAGTTTCCCCCTGTTTAATTTGATCTGCTTAGTACAACAAAATCCCAAACAGAAATAGATGCATCACATAACTAAAAGCTCCCAAGAGTCCAAAGAAGTGCTGCTCACAGTAGAGGCTGCCTGTTGCATCTCTGAATGATTGATTTCTCTAGGCTTGTTGGCTCCATCCAATCATCTTCCTCTGGGGAGGGGTGTGTGGAATCAGGTGATTCTGCTATTTCTCTACATCAGCTATGACTGGATGATTCCTGGTGCTTCAAAAATCCTTGCCCTCCCTGCCTGGATCTATGGTCTGCAATCTATCTCTGCAGGAGTCTGTGTATGGAGAATAGCCTGTTGCCTCCATTCAGTCATGGGGCACACCAATCTGGCTTGAGAGCCATGTGCCTTGGGACATTAACACTTTTCACTCATATATCACACATACAAGAATCAGGACAAGGAGGCAGCTACTCTGGGCGGCTCCCAACAAAATATTATTATTATTATTATTATTATTATTATTATTATTATTATCAAAGTGATAAAACATCAAACATTAAAAACTTCCCTAAACAGGGCTGCCTTCAGGTGTCTTCTAAAAGTCAGATAGTTGTTTATTTCCTTGACATCTGATGACACTGCCGAGAAGGCCCTCTGCCTGGTTCCCTCTAACCTCAATTCTCGCAGTGAGGGAACCGCCAGAAGGCCCTCGGAGCTGGACTGCCCAGGAGTGTCCAGGCAGAATGATGGGGGTGGAGACGCTCCTTCAGCTATACTGGGCCAAGGTCGTTTAGGGCTTTAAATGTCAGCACCAACACTTTGAACTGTGCTTGGAAATGTTCTGGGAGCCAATGTAGGTCTTTCAGGACCAATATAATATGGTCTCAGCGGCCACTCCCAGTCACCAGTCTAGCTGCCACATTCTGGAAAAGTAACAATTTTTCAGGTGAATTGAGCCTCCCTGCCCAACTGATTAAAATTCTCCTTTTTTGTTTGTTTTTGCTGATTAAAGCAGTCAGCTGTCGATTAATCTACCAATTTACTCAGCCTATTCCATTAAAATGAGCACTCTGCTTTGGATGTTTTCCCAAGGGCTCTTGCAAAACCACAAGGAGGCAGGGTTGCCAACTTCACAGCGCCCCACCGTAGCTCTGCCTCTCACAAGAAGCTCAATCTTTGGAGAGATATAACCCAGCCAGATGGGTGGGGTATAAATAATAAATTATTATTATTATTATCATTAAGGCCCCACCTTCGGACCAATGTTTTATTCAGGGTGTGCTCTGCAACAGGTTCTTGATGTAATCATAGCACCAGTAGTGGTGGCTTTATTCTGTTTTAATTTGTTCTGTGGTGCGTCTCCAGTGTCGCCACATTGTTGCTGTCTAGAGGGGCTAGAGTGGAACAACACCCACACACATTCATGGTATAAAATGTTATGCGATTTCAGCGGGATATGCAGTGATTGGAAATGAAGCTGTGTGGCAGCCCAAAAACTTTTGCAGGCACAAACAGTATTGAAAGTGAGATTCTGTGCCACCACCCTGAGAGCATCGTGAGCACAAATCAACATGAACCTCCCCCTGTGGGGACGGGGGGAGCTTCACTTTCTGGTTTCTGCACCTCAGGCATTAAGAGCAAGCTCCTTTCCAGTCAGTTGGCAACATTGTGCTCGCCCTTTTCGGGAAACAAGGCATCTCTCTGCCTGTATTTTGGAAAGCGAGGCGCGTAGGTCGAGGCCTCCGTGGTGGGTTTCTGGGCTTCCCACACGATCGGGAAGACAGACGGTCGCACAGATCCCCGAGAGAAAAGACATAAGAAACGCTTGCTGGATCAGGCCAGTGGCCCATCTGGTTCAGCATCCGGTTCTCACGGTGGCCAACCCTACGTATTCGTGAGAGTTTTGGAAGCGTGTGGCTTGGCGACTTTCATCGCCTTTTTTAGTCTCCGGCTTGGGAGCGTGGTTTAGCGGGAAAGGAAGACGGCAGACCCCCAGTCCCGAACAGGAAGCCGCGCTCCTTCGCGTCCGTCTCCCTTTGAGCCTCCCGCCTGGTGGAGGAAACGCGCCCCCGGCTCTGGGCTGGCGAGGCAGGGCGGGGCTGAGTCGCGGGCGTCGTGCTTCTTGAGCGCCGCCGCGCCGTCGGAAAGGCGAGCCGCCGAGGGGCGGAGAGAGGCCGAAGGAGGCGGGTGAAGAGGGTGCCATGTGAGTCGGAGAAGCAAAAGGCAGGTGGGAAAGCCAGCAGGATGGAGAGGGGCCGAGGCAAGAGGAGAAAGAGCCAGCCGCGGCGGCTGCTCCTGTTTCCAGCCGGCTGCACTTTTGACGCTGTCCAGCTCTCCAAAGCCAAGCGCCATGTAAAGCGGCAACTCTTCTAAACTTGGGCGTAGGCGGAGAAGTAATTGGGTGAGCTAGGCAAGGGGAAGAATCCCAGTTCCTCCGGACTTCTTTTCTCTCTCTCTCTCTGCGCCCCCTTCTTTTCTGGATAGGCTGAAGAAGCTGCGGGGACGGCGCGGCCGAGGCTAAGAGCGCACCTCACTTTCCGAAGAGGGACCCGCACGTGCGCCCTGGGCGCCTCCAGCCCTTGAGACCCGGGCGCGGCGCTGGGCGAAGTGTGACTGGGCGAGAAGCGAGCTGAGCGAGGGCGCGGAGGTCCCTAACCTGGCGCGGGCGTCGAAGTGTCGCGGCGGAGCCCCTCTCGGTCCCCTTCCTCAGGCCATGATGCCGGGCTGACCGGCTTCGGGGCTGGTGCCTCTCCATGCGGTGACGGTGTCCTCTCCATCTTGCCAGCGCTATGGCCGGGGCGTCTGGCGGGGACCGTGCCATGGTGTCTCCGGCCACGATCCCCGGCGGCGGCGTGGAAGCCCAGCGGGTGGAGTTCGTGGCCCTTACAGCCGTGCAGACGGAGAAAAACGACGTCCCTGCCGCCGGCAGCCCCAGGCGCCTGGGGCTCCTCGGGACGCCGCTGCCGGTTCCCCCGGGGGGCTCCGGAGCCCGATCCGCCTCCAACAAGCGCTACCGGCGCCTCCAGAACTGTCTCTACAATGTGCTGGAAAGACCCCGAGGTTGGGCGTTTATCTATCACGCCTTCATGTGAGTACTGGACCCCCCAGACCCTTCCCGGCCAACCTGAAACTTTCCCCTAAGGGTCTTTGCATATGAAAGGTGCCTCTTTGCATGGGGTTCCGCCATCCAGGGGTGCCAACTTGAATAAAATATTGTGGGGGCCCAGGTAAGCCCCACACCACATAATCGATCACATGACTCAGTGCACACACATCATTTGAATGGGAATGCCCAGCCCCCTCAAATATTTTATTGTGGGGGCTGAAGCCCCCGTGGTCCCTAGAGTTGGATCCTATGCCACCATCCACCCATGCACCCAACTCTTTAACTCCTCCGTTCTCCCTGTCCCATCTTTTAACAGGCCCAGAACTAAAGACCATGTTCCTCTCTGTGTCTTTCCTCCTCCCCTTTCAGTATTAAGATATATTCCAGCTATTCTTACCGCTTCCCACAGTTTTATGCTTAGAGAGGAAACATGGGGTGAGGGGCGAGAGGACTCACTAAATAAGAGATGTTCTGGTGGAGCTTGCTTCCTAGTGGGGCTTGCTTCCTAGTAAACACAGGTGAGAGCCAACATTGTCTAAAGCCAACCAAGGTTTGCTACCCTGAGCTGCTTAGTAAATAGCTTGTTTACAGCACTGGGCAGGTGTGCAGGCTCATGCAAAGCATATTGAGGGCACTGTTGCAAGGGATGCTCAGCAGGCCAGTGCTGCTCCACTTGTGAACGTGGCCCTGAAAGTCAACAGAGGGCTGAGCCTGCCGCTGTTCCCAGTCTGCATAAGTCTTGTGTTCTTTAAATTGCGCGTCTGTGAAATGCAAAGCCAGATTTAAATGGCGCTTGGCAAAGCAACTTTTGACATGACATTTGGGAAGTGCAAGTTTCACCTGACCAGTCCTTGACTACGCAGCCTACCATCTACATCCTATTTTCTTAAGGGCCCAGCCCCTCCTTCCTACAAAGGACTGCTGGAATTGGAGGGCAAAGCTGCTTCTCTGTCACCAAATCCAGATCATGGCCATATTCCCCTTCAGAAATCCATTTCCTCCTTGACTTCTGGCCTGCTTGGCCAAGACCTTTGCTTTCTTAGGCATCTGTACAGTCCCAGCCTATCTGGGAACTACTTTGCACCTGCAGGCTCCTATTTGGTTTTCTCTATTCTTCAGGATTTGCTGTGGGGGCAGGGGCTCTGCTAGAAGAGGCAGGACGTGCAAACTATTGTTTCCCTTAGGAAATATCTGCTGCTTCTTGGATATTTTGTGCAAACTGGAAAGGGCAGCGTTGTTGGTCCAGCGGTCCCCTGTTGGTCTTGGGCAAATGCCCAACTTTACCACCCTCTTACTCTTGCTGAGTGGCTGCTGAACTGAAAAAAGTTGCACAGTGTCACGGTTAGAATGTTAGACTTGGAGTGGAGAGACCTGGGTTTCAATTCCTGTTTAGCCAAAGAAACTCACAAAGTGGTGCAGGCAGGGCCAGTCCCCAGTGTTCAAACTAGGCTAACTCTTTGGGCATCTCTCTCTCTCTCTCTCTGTGTGTGTGTGTGTGTGTGTGCGCGCGCAAAAGAGCCAGCCTTCCCTCCAATGAATCCTAACCGGCAGTTTCCCAGCTTTCATACTTTAGAAAGAGGAAATATCATAAAATCATATAATTAATAGTGAAGTTGTAAGGGACCACATCTGGAGCATTTTTAGAACCTGAGATATGAAGCAAAATGTTCAGGCACTCTTCCTCTCATTTTTGAGTGTCTGAGAAACTAGCCTGCTCTCCCCCTGCCACCCTTCTCAGTTTTTTGTTTTTTTTTACTTTTTGTAAAGTGCATGCCCACCTTACTGCTATGCTCATGCATGCCACATCTATATCTTTGGAGGAAGGGATGGGATGGGTGTGTGAGAGAGATCCTATATGGCCAATGGCCCATTCCCATATGCAAATCCTTGCTTCTTCTGCTCCCCCCCTTTTCTTTTGCAATTTGGTGTGATAAAAGAGCCCTGTGTAACTCTGAAGCCTGCACGTTCTTTTGCTGATCAAAGTTTGAGCCATGATAAGGTATTGTGGTGCTTGTTTTGCTGCTCTGTTTCTTTGGCCAACACAGAGATCAATAACTTGAGCTGATGCAGATAGACAGGCGGCTCCTCGGGTCCCCACTTGCCACCCGCAAGACTTAGGGCGCAGTTTAAAAATCAGTTTGGAAAATATATTTAATGATGAAGCCATTATTTTGCTCTTAACTTCTGGTGGCAACTTAAGCAAATGGCAGGTCTTCACTTACTTGATATCACTGAAGCTATAACCTCCAATTTGGCTAGGCATTGTTCCCTGTATTCAGTAAATAGTGGTAACTGTTTGCAATTAAGCATAAGTGTGCCCAAGCTGTATTCCTAGTCTGGTTAATAAGTGGTAAAAGGGTTAGTGCTGCTCCTTCTGTGCATTCTGCAGATTGAACAAAGGGGCTTGGGGTTTTTTAGTTTGTGTTTTTTTGCCTTAATGATTGTGGATATGAAGCCAGGCAGATAACTCACCTGGAAGGGGAGTGATTGGCTGTGATTTGATGACTACTTACTTTTGCCTTAAAATCCTGGGTAAAGCCATAGCATAGGATTACAGTGGTACCTCGGGTTGCAGATGCTTCAGGTTACAGACGCTTCAGGTTATAGACTCTGCTAGCCCAGAAATAGTACCTCGGGTTAAGAACTTTGCTTCAGGATGAGAACAGTAATTGCGCGGCAGCAGCAGGAGGCCCCATTAGCTAAAGCGGTACCTCACGTTAAGAACAGTTTCAGGTTAAGAACAGACCTCCAGAATGAATTAAGTTCTTAAACCGAGGTACCACTGTACTCTTCCCACTCCCTCTTTCATGTAAGTAATCAGTTTCCAGGTGAGAGGTTGGGAGTGGCTGGATCTAAAATTGAGGTGCAACTCTGACTGTGCCCCTGTTGTTCAGACATTGAGGGCACCATATATCCAGTACTTTTCAGAGCAGCACAGCAAAACAGATCAGGAGCTTACAGTTCAAATTTTGCAGCAGTGGAAGCAGCTGAGGAAGAGACAAGGGTAGAAGGGATGGATTTTGAGCAAAAGCAGCTTGCCTGGACTCAAAGTTCAGTTTCCTTTTTGGAAGGAGAGCTGGATTTTAAAGTGTTCTTTAATTCTGCTTCTTTTATATGGAACGACAAGTTAGAGGCATTATCTGGAAGACTTGGCACCAGGGGTTTCCGTTGCCTGAGCCGACTGAGGGAAGGGAGGGCCAGATCTCTTAAGTGATGGCACCAAACTTTGGAGGCAACCAAGCACATAGATTTTCCCCTTCTTGTGCATCTCAAGCTGTGCAGCCACAACATTGTGCCAGCAGCCAGAACCAGTTCCCGGGCTGCCGGGGTGCATTGGTGTGATGTTTTTGAATGGTATGGAAAGTCAGTGGAAAGTCCACCCCTCCCAAATGAAAGTTAACCTTATTGATGCTGAGAGAACCCTGTGGTGACAGAACGGCATTTCAGGCTGTTTGGACAGAGCAATTCCTGCAGATCTCCCTGTTTTTCACCGCTGCCTGCTTAATCTTACCCAGGGCATGTTCCTCCCAGCTTCTGAGCTCAGAAATGCACACTTCTTCTGCCTCAGGACCCATTTTTCAACAAGAAAACATGTGAAGTTGTAAGATGGCAGTAGGTAACTCTGCACATGAGTAACAACAGATGTCTTTGATGATGCTTCCATGCCCCAGAGCCTTTGATCTCTGAAAAGTTTATATTGGCCATACTAGCTAAGGGGATCCTCCTTGGCTAGGGTACCATTTAGTTGTGGGGCTAACAGGTAAAGGGGCCCGTTTGTGTTATGCCAGCTTGTGTACCCTGAAAGGTACCTGGCTAGTGGCTGTTGGCAACGTCTGTCTGTGGAGGAAGGATGAGGAACCTTTATCCCTCCAGCGGAAGTTGCTGGACTAAAACTCCCTTCACCTCTGACCATTGGTCATGCTGGTTGATGCTGATGGGAGTTCATACCTTACTTATTTCAACCATTTGTATATTAGTTAATCATAGTTGTCTCTAAATAATGAGTCCCATGACACCTGGAGGACCACTGCTGGAGAGGCTTCTCCAGATCTCCCTACCCTAGGCTGGCTCCTGCAAGGTCCTTCAGGAAGATGTAAGGCAGAGTTGCAACAGGAAAGCTGAATATGAGGTCCAAAGGATATTCCTTCCATCATGGGGAAAAGGCTCTTGGTTTCAATAGGCATACAATGCTGTTGGCAACTGGGCTTCAGTCTCCTGTCCCAGCTCCCTTTCTGCTGATTCACCCCAAAATACCTCCCTTTTTTGCAGAATCTGATCTCCACTACGGACATGATAAGCTCCTTTATCCTGACTCAGACCATTTGTCCATCTAGCTAAGTATTGCCTGCACTGACTGGCAGTGGCTCTCCAGGATATTCAGACAGCCTTTATTTCTCTTGGTCCTACCTGGAGATGCTGGGGAATGAACCTTTTACGTGCAAGTCAGGTGCTGCACTTTTTCTGGGCCTCTGTCTTGCCCTACCCAGCTGCTCCTTGTGGCATTATTTATCTCTCCCTCTATTAGACCACCATCTCTTCTCAGTTGTGTCTACCTCCTTCGCAGATACTGCAAGGAGCAAAGCTAGCATAGCTGTAAAGTGGAACAGAATCTCTCCTTGATTGGTGTGATTGGTGTGTGAGACCATCAGACTGCCTTGGCAATCCTGCCCTCCAACACCCTGGGCATTTGCCTCCCTGTTCATCTTTTTAAAGAAGCAGTCCTTTATTCCCCCCCTTAATTTTGACAATACAATTATTTGCTTCTCCACTGATCATATTACCGTCTGAGTAGGGATTCAGTTCGGGCTGTTCCTCTTATCTGCCTTTGTCTCCAAACAGGAACTAGATAGGTAACTATTCCATATTCCTTTGCTCTGAGTCAGGCAGGGTGGAAGATGTTAGTTTTGTGTGCCCTGGAGGACACAAGCAGCTGTTCTCTGCACTGGAAACTTTGGCTGAGGCTTTTTGTTTCTTTGGGAAGGTGTGTTTTGTATAGACAATCATGATACAATAGCTATGGCCTGATGCCTAGGCATTTTAAATTGGTTTTAGCTTTAGGCTATTAAAAGAAGAAGAAGAACTGTGACATGCTTTGATACTGTTAGCTATACTTTCATTGTTAAAGAATTTTATTTTTTAAATTTCTTGTTTTGAGCTGCCTGAGAACTTTCATAGAATCATAAAATCGAAGAGTTGCAAGGGATCCTGAGGGTAATCTAGCCCTGCAGTGCAGGAATGTCAACAAATGCATCCATGACAGACCTCTGCTTGAAAACCTCCAACGAAGGGGCGTCCGCATCGTCCTGAGTGAGACTGTTTCACTGTTGAACAGCCCTTACCATCAGAATGTTCTTGATGTTTACTGTATTTTTCACTCTATAAGATGCACCAGACCATAAGACACCTAGTTTTTGGAGGAGGAAAACAAGAAAAAAAATATTCTGAATCTCAGAAGCCAGAACAGCAAGAGGGATCGCTGCGCAGCGAAAGCAGCAATCCCTCTTGCTGTTCTGGCTTCTGGGATCGCTGCGCAGCCTTCATTCACTCCATAAGACGCACACACATTCCCCCTTACTTTTAGGAGGGAAAAAGTGAGTCTTATAGAGCAAAAAATACGGTAGTTGGAATCTCCTTTCTTTTTTAAAAAAGTGGGATTTGGTCAAAAAAGGTGGAATTTAAATATTTCAAACAAAATATACATAAAAAGCCCTGTGAGATCGGTCAGTCCTGTTGATATGTGCTTTAATCTGTTTTCAGTTTATTGTTTCTTTCAATGTTTTAAGTAGTTGTTTTTGCTGATTCTGTTGTTTTATTCATTTTGTAAACCACTTTGAGGTTTTTGCTATCAAGTGGTGTATAAATTCTATGAAATGAATCATTATTGTCACTTTTAAAGGCCAATTCTCACCCCTACCTTGTTCTGCAGCTTAGCAGCACAAACTTTTCTGCTGATACTCTTTTTAATTTTTGAAATTGTTTTTAATGTTGTCTTTTAAATTGTTGTAAATCACTCTGAAACCTTAGGGTGAAGGATGGGTAATATAGCAACAACAACACATTATTTTTCATCTAAGAAAGAAAAACTTTTTTCTTTTTCTTTTTGTGAATTTCATACATACTGGCTTTTCCAGTCTCTTCCCTTCCACTCCCAAGTTCAAGGGAGAGAGGGTGTGCTTTCCTGCTTTGAATTTGAAAAGTTGTTTGAATGTTTAAATAAGCTGGTTTAACAGGCTCATAGGCTTTCCAGGATTGGAAAGGACCCAGAGCCAAAACCATTCATTTGTGGGTCTCTTTTTCCTGTGCGTAAAAGTCTCTTGGCATTACAAACTGTTTAAAAAACCCCGGCTGTGAGCATCCAACTAAAGAGGCAATTGGTGAAAAATCTACTTAGTACTGTACTTGAGGAAATGTTATTTATGTTAAAGCCGGCAATGGACTTTTGGAGAGAGGCTGCTTAGTTTAATTACACTGGAGGAAACAAAGATTAAAATCTTAATCTCTTTCTTGCTGCCCAACAAGGCTGTCTTGACTTCATTTGACTGTGTATGTTGTTCAGTTTGACTTTATGCAGGTTTGCTCAGAGCTATCTTCCGTGAGACTTGCCGGGGGGTAAGCACACTTAGGACTGCGGCCTTAAAAGTTCCTTTGGCCAGGATCTAGAGGGCAATGGGGACTCAGTTGAATTACACAGCAACTTGAGAAGCAAGTGGAAATATATTTCTGTAACAGATTGCCCCTCTGCTTTCAGACTTACGATAAACACTCAGCCTAATAAATGCCAGGGAGAAGCTACTGTTTGCTCTCCTGCTGTGGGACCCAGAATAGTAGAAGAATATTTTGCAAAATAATAATTGCATATTAAAGATGATCCTGTTATTGTAGTTATTTATTATTAAAAAATTATATAATAATTTTTATTGGTTTTTACACATATTTTCCAGCATATCATTCTTTTAAACATCATTTCAAAATCTTTGGCTGTCACCACCTAAGACTTCCTTCAACCTCAACTGATGGTTTTCTAAAATCTTTTCTAATTATGCATTTTGTTACTATAGTTATTGCTATAACTTCAAATCTTAAAACCTATTCTTTTCACAATAATTTATATATTATTCCTTACAAAACTTCTTTTAACCCTACAAGCGATGGCAATTGATTACAGTTGCTTTCCAAATATATCGAAAACTTCTTCCATTCCTTTAGGAAAGCCTGGTCCTGCTGGTTCCGAATTTTCCTGGTTAATCTCGCCATCTCACAGATATTTATTAAATTGGGGCATGGGTGGCTCTGTGGTCTCAACCACTGAGCCCCTCGGACTTTCCAATCGGAAGGTCGGCGGTTCGAATCTGCACAATGGGGAGAGCTCCCATTGCTCCGTCCCAGCTCCTGCCAACCTAGCAATTTGAAAGCATACCAGTGCAAGTAGATAAATAGGTACCGCTGTGGTGGGAAGATAAATGGTGTTTCAGTGCGTTCTGATTTCCGTCACAGTGTCCTGTTGTGCCAGAAGCAGTTTAGTCATGCTGGCCACATGACTCGGAAAGCTGCCTGTGGACAAACACCAGCTTCCTCAGCCTGAAAGTGAGATGAGCGCCGCAACCCCATAGTCCCCATTTATTTAATTAATTTAGCTTCTGCCTTTTTCTCAGTCAGGATGCAAGGCAGCTCAGAGCATAAATGAAAACAAATACAGCTAAATCCACACAATCAATATAAATATTGTTAAAAATTAAATACTGTAATTAAAAGCAGTACAAAACACTTAAAAGCATTTAAAAGCAAAAACTAAGAAAAGAAAAAAATCCTTCTTGACACTGTATATAGATGGTCGTTTTGCAATTGTACCCAAAGAATTGGATGTTGCAAGAGTGGGATTCTCTGGTAGTCTCTATAATGGTAGTCATGAGAATGCAGATGACTTGGTTCTAAAACTTCCCTGGATCATGTCCTTTACTGTCTGTTTCATCCCAGAGCCTTAGAGGCAGGTAATAGTAGAATAAAATTCAGATGAAGGTCCCACTCACGTTGCTGCACATCATTGACCCATTTCTGTGGTCAAAGCACATATATTACCTGTGTTTTATTCAACTGTGCTGTGCTGGTTCCCAGTATGGAATTTGGCAATGGCAGGATATGATTTTAAAAGCAAGTTCCTAGTCCACATGGTGAGAGAGAGATGGTCATATTTGTAAATGTTGTATCTGCTTGCCTTTGGAACTTAAAGGACTGTATGTACATCAAAATGTCGTGAATTTCACTAAACTTTGGGTTTCCTTGGTGTTAGAAATTTGGGGCTACAGCTTGTGAATGCCTGTGGAAGAGCATAACGGGGAAGAGTCTGAGGTGCACACTGAAAAATTCCTAGTTCTAGGACTTACAATATACAGTTAAGAAGTTACTCAAATGGAGGGGAGGAGGGAAGTCTTGAGATTCGGAAGAATCTTGTGCAATATTTGTTTTTACTATGGATGAATATGAATGAATTTGTAAAACCAAATAAAAATTATTTATAAAAAAAGAAAGAAAGGCCTAGTTCTAATTTCACCACTGCTGTAAAGTCAGAAGGGGCGCTTAAGCAAGCTACATTCTCAGTTTCAGTTGTCCCATCTGCAGTATGGAGATAATCTGTCTGATTTGCAGCAGGATGTAAAGCATTTTGAACATTTAGATTGCAATCCCATTAAACTCAGTGGGGTGGACTTCCGAGGAGACATGTATAAAAGGGTTGTGCTTTATAAATGCTTATTATTGCATTGTCCCAGCTGTATAGCAGCTTCAATTTGATTCCAGGCATAATGCAAGATGAAGACATATCTATAAATCCATCTTTCATTTGGCAACGGGTTGCCGTAAATTGCTTTGGGCCATAGCTCAGCGGTACAGCATCTGCCTCGCATGCAAGAGGCCCCAGGGACCAGAGTCAGTCCCTGGCACCTCCAGGTAGGGCTGAGAGAGGTCCCTGCCTGACACCCTGGAGAGTTGCTGCCAGCCAGTGCAGACAGCACTGAGCTAGATGGACCAATGTACTCAATGTACTTACTATAAGGCAGCTCCCTATGTTTTCTCCTCCCTCAGAACAAGGCTTTGTATTTGCTCTTCTTGAATACACTTCTTTGGAATTCTCTTGCTCATTCTGAATTGCCTGGGTGCTGCTTTCCGCATTTGGCTTCTGTCTCTCCCTACATCTGAAAGCTCAAGGTAGCTAACAATATTTTCCTTTTCTTTTTTAATTGAGATGGAAATATATCAGCTAGCTCCACAATGTGGAGAATAAGAACCCCATCCCTAAACAGAATCAATGGAATATTTATATCTTTTTAAGGTTGCAGATTTATTTATTTTGATTTGTAAAAATATTTATATACCAGTATTCATAACAAAAAATATATCAGAGTGTTTTACAATTTGTGTGTGTGTGTGCTGTGGTTAACCCCTGGAAGTTGCTTCTGCAAGATGTGGCAATGGCCAAACAGTTTCAAAAGCAGGGCAGACAATTCCCAGAGGGAGGGTTTTAACAACAACAATGAGCTAAGAGGACCCTCCAGCTTCAGGGGCAGTTTACCTCTGAATGTAGGTTTCTGGGGAACAGGCAGTATTGCAGGGAGGGGTGCTATTATTTTCACATCCTGCTTGTGAATTCCTGGAGATGTACTGTTGTCTAGCCTAGCGTATGGAACAGAATGCTGGACTTAACTAGAGTTGTACTCAAATGTCCTCTCAACATTCTCTATTTGTAAGTCACAGTTTTCCCAGCAGCCTCCAGTCGGTGTGGTACCCTATTAGCAGTTGTAGCCACATAGCCATGTTTCCCCCTCTAAGGAATATTATTTGTCGCTGCTTTTGTGTTGACAGTCTGGTCACTATTTTGAATTCTCCACAATCCCTAATGGGGTGGGGGCATGAGTGGTAACCATCATCAAAAAATGGTGCAGAACTGCAAGATGGGAATTGCCATGTGGTCTTCTTTGAGGCAGGGGAGTGTGAGAAAAATATGAGACATTTTCTCGGAATAGTATTTTGAGAAATTTCAGCTTAGCTCTTGACTATATGTACCTTTGGTTTGATTCAGCAAGTTACCCTTATAGTCTTTAACTTATAAAAACATGAGATATATATATATATTTAAAAATCAGCATTATCAGGAAACTTGAGTTGTCATAAGTGACCCTCTTTATAAATAAATGGGAGCTAATTGCATGAGGTGGAAGTTCCTGGTACAAATAAGACAGCTTTCGGCTGGCTGTTGTTTATAGCTTTGTCTCCGCCATCTGGGTGTGTTAATACTGGCCTACTTTGCAGAACTGTTGTAGAGATAATTAAGATGATGCATGGGTAATGCTTTTGAATTGCATTTTGAAATGTGCTGAATAAAAGCTAAGCATTTGTTAAAAGCAGGTTTGCCCTCTCTCCCTTTACCAACGCGTGCCACGTAAAACACACATCTGAATTTGTTAATTTCATTAACAAACTCACGCTCAGCAACAGCAGAAAAGACAGTACAATTCATCAAATGTGGGCCTTGGAAGGGAGAGCCTCACGAGTCCGTGCACCGGGGAGTCTCAGAATGAAGAGTGATTGGGTTAGCGGCAAGCGGCGGAGGACCGCCTTGCCTCTAATTGTTTTGTAAAGCCCACAAAAGCATTAATGATCTATGAGTTAATAGCACTGGGTGGCGATGTTTCTTGGGTTCAGCACAAAGGGTAATTATGCAAAACAAAAGGAGGAGTGGCAGGCCTTGAAACTTTGCATCGACTCCCGTGCTGGGCGCAAAGAGACAGCGTTAATTCTGGAGGGTTCAGAGGTGGGGCTGCCTTGTGATATCGAAGATGACTTCCCCTCTTTTCCACCTAATTAGATAGCTCATCTTCTTTGAGCATCAGGGTTGCAGCAGGGTTTCGAGAAAGCAGGAAAGCTATAAATCAAAGAGCAGGTGTTACGATTCCCCTGTGCTGGGGATCTTGCTCCCTCCCCTCCCCCCAGTCTCTCTTAACTGGGTTATTTTAACAGGATGGATAGATAGAGAAAAATATCAATGTGCAAAAGGAGAGAAGTGGTGTGCCTGATGATTATTACTGATCTTTTCCTATTAGCCATGCACCAAACCCCACTTTCAAAGCCTGGTGTAATGTTCAGATTCATAAGAGGCATAGTTTTCATTTTAACCCTATTCATCAGGTCTCTAGCCCTCGTGGTGTGTGTTGTAGATTTGGTTCTTCTCTGTCCCCTGAACCAGTTTCTGCACCAGTTTCTACAGCTGCTGTGGACCCCACTGCATGCTGTGTAGTGCAGAAAAGTCCACATGGAACTTGGTGCTGATGCAGAATTTGGGCTTTTGACAATCTTGGCTTTTCATTGTAATCTTCCAGGTTTCTAGCCCTCATCATATTTTTCGGTGTGCATTATTGCCTGCCTACTCACCTGCTGGTCTCTACAACTGACAGAGCTTCTGCAACTGAGTTCCTGTGCCAGCTGCCAAGCCAGAAATATGGGGGAGCTGTTAAGTAAAGAATCAGTCTTAGTTGGTAGCAGCAACTGTTCTGTACTCAGCTTCTACTGTCAGTCCATCGATCCCTTTAGATCAGTATTGTCTACACCACTGGTCTTCACCTGGTGGGTTGGGACTCACTAGTGTGGGTCATGGCCTGATCCAAGGTGGGTCGCAGCAAGAGCTCTACCACCATGCAAACATATAGTAAAAGGTTAAGAAACAGATCCCCAAAATGCCACTTAGTAGAGTTGTGTTTGTTTCGCTGTGATGCCCTTGCTGTCGCATTACAAAATGCTTTCTTTCTCAGTCCCCCCAAAAGAGATAGAAGTGAGAGATTGCATTGTTTGTAAGTTCCAAGGGTTCAGTAGTTGTTTAGTTGCTTGTTTGCAAATATTGTGCTAGAAAATGAGAAATCCCAGCAAGGGATTTAGCAGGGTGGGAGGGATGGCAGTGAACTTCCAAAGCACAGCAGAAAATTCAGCCCAGTGCAGAATGTTTCCTTAACTCCTTGAATGTCATGGAGAGAAGCTCTCAACAGAGAGTTGTCTTCTTATCCAGATCTGTTGTTCGGAGAAGGAGTCTCCATTGCTACTGAACTGGTACCCTGGCAGTTTGTGGAAGTTAGAAGCTCAGGTCTTTGGGCTCCATCCCTGGTTGCTGGGAAGTGGCTGGGGTCATGCGGGAGGGGGGTGCTGAGTTCCACAGGTACATCGCATTGGGCTGAGCAGGCATGACTTGTTGCAAACTGGGAGTGGTACAATGATTGACAGAATTCCAAACAAATATATATTGAAATCTGATAAATTGTACCATGCTGTCCAGAATCATGTAAAAGGGCCCTATACTGAGTGAAAGCTTTCTTATTCTGTGTTCTCTTAATTTAATGTATGATGTCAGTCTTTCCATTTCAGCCACATGCCATACCTTGTTTAACCATTCAGTTATGGGTGATGTGTTTGTTATTTCTTGCTTTAGAAGGCACTAAAATCTTAGCTGCTAGCAAAAGATTGGCAACGTGAGTTTGTGGGCTCATTAACGCCAAATAAATCTATGGAAACTGTTCCCATGTTCAATAAGAGGTCATATCTGAGGGATGTATTATTTGCTAGAGCAGTCAAGTCCAACATTTTCCTGTTGCCTAGAATGAACACACAGGGGAATGTGGCTCCACACAGGGAGGACTTCCTGTCATACCTGCTCTGGAGCCTCCTCCCCTTGTGTGTAACCAGGTGGATGGGCATGACCCTAGCTGACCATGTAAAAGGGCTAGCCACGCAGCCATCTTCCCTTCTTCTCCTTTGGACTTCCTCTTTTGGATCTTCACTTCTGGATCTCTACTGCTCCTGGCTCTTAGCCAGCACATGGCACATCCTTACAGAGGATGAAAGCAACAAGTAGGTTTTTTTAAAAAAAGGTAAAAGGGTAAAGGACCCCTGTACGGTTAAGTCCAGTCAAAGGCGACTATGGGGTTGCAGCACTTATCTCACTTTCAGGCTGAGTGAGCCGGCATTTGTCCACAGACAGCTTTCCGGGTCATGCGGCCAGCATGACTAAACCACTTCTGGCACAACGGAACACCGTAACGGAAACCAGAGTGCACGGAAACTCCATTTACCTTCCCGCCACAGCAGTACCTATTTATCTACTTGCACTGGCGTGCTTTTGAACTGCTAGGTTGGCAGGAGCTGGGGCAGAGCAACAGGAGCTCACCCCATCATTGGAATTTGAACTGCCAACCTTCCGATCGGCAAGCCCAAGAGGCTCAGTGGTTTAGACCACAGTGCAACAAGCAGAAAGTCTGAGACCTAGCTCCGACTTCTTTTCTCTACAAATGTAACTTGTAACCACAAGATAAAGCCTGCCTTCAGATTACTGCTGTGAACTGAATGATAGCAAAATTTTATTGTTATTTTTCAAGAAGACTGTGTTGTGTTATTCTTATTTTAAGAGGGAAATAAAAGGGGAAATTTACCTGGAACAATCCAGATGGGACAAGCCAGACTGGATTGCTTAATTAAAAGACTCCAGCTCAGGGGTAGGCAACCCAAAGCCTATGGGTTGGATGCGGCCCAATCATCTTCTCAATCTGGCCCGCAGACAGTCCAGGAATCAGCATGTTTTTACATGAGTAGAATGTGTCCTTTTATTTAAAATGTATCTCTGGGTTATTTGTGGGGCCTGCCCAGGGTTTTTACATGAGTAGAATGTGCGCTTTTATTTAAAATGCATCTCTGGGTTATTTGTGGGGCATAGGAATTGGTCCTTTTTCCCCCTTCAAAATGTAGTCTGACCCACCACATGGTCTGAGGGACAGTGGACCGGCCCATGGCTGAAAAAGGTTGCTGACCCCTGCTCTAGCGAGTCATCAACTGCTTCACTATAAGCTGCAAGGGAATGTTCTCTGCTGTTTGCTCACTAGCATGAGTGAGGAGGGATAATATCAAAACAATATATCCTCTCCTACCTTCCTAAACATTCCCACAATATCCTGTAAAATCCGTCCCCACCCCACAACTACTTCACCATATATATTCAAAATCAGCATCTTTAACTTGTCTTTAAATTGCTTCAGGGTTATTTTTTTAAGAATAAAATAAATAAATGATGAAGCAGATAAGGTAAAACCTATCGTATGTTGCAGGTTGGGGCAAATCAGTGCTGTTTTTAGGCCAAATTAATTGTATTTTGCTTTGAGCAAAATATGTGTCATAATCAGAAATGAGCTGCACTTAGTACAGCGAAGATTGTACTGTATATATTTTAGTATTTAATATTAAAATGCACTTTAAAATAGTGCTTTCTTAAGTTCAGATTGCTTAATAGATGTTATCTCCACAATCAACTTAGCCATAGTGATGTGAGAACACAGGTTCTCTTATGGATTAGTAACTGATTAAATACGTAATAGAAAGTGAAAAGGAGGAATAAATGGGCAGCTCTGATGAAGGTGCTGGAACAACAACTCCCTTGTGAGGAATGACTTCAACATCTGGGGCTCTTTTATTTTGGTGGGGAAGGTGAGTAAGTGGGGGTCAGGACTGAGTTTTATAGAAGCATACACCGTGTAGGAAAGTAGACAGAGCTTTGCCATCTCTCTCATAATTTTAGGTCATTGCAGCAGACTCAGTACAGACACAAAAGGCAGCATTTCTTCACACAATGCATCATCTGTGGGGTTCACTACCAGAAGACTTAAACGGCTTTAAATGAGGATTAGACACCAACCTCTCTCACCACGAAAGGAACACAAGTGAACAACACAAGCAACGCTGACACCAAACTCTACATACATTAAACATAATAGAAACACCGCCACCCGACCCCACCCCCATCCATCTTCCCTCTCTCCACCCCCTTTCTTTTTTCCTTTTTTTTCTTCTCCCCTAATGCCTCAACAAATGAAATGGATTTGTAAAAATGTTACAGGAAAAAAATATATATACGAGGCAGTACACTTACTTCTGTAAAACAAGAAAATCCTTAATAAAATATTTAATTAAAAAAAAAAAATGAGGATTAGACAAATCCATGATGAATAGGACTATCATGGCTATGTACATTACCTCCAGCAGGGAAAGACAGCTATTACCCTCTTATTCTGCTGAAGAACATAAGATGGTTCTGGCTGCTGGATCAGACCATAGGACATGTAGTCCTGTTCCCACAGTGGCCAGCCTATGGGGAACCCACAAGCAGGACCTGAGGGCAACAGCACTGCCCCTACTTGAGGCTTCTAGCAACTGTGGGATTGCAATTTACTTCCTAAAAGCCACCCTAAACAATTCCTTATAGTATAAATATCACATTGCATTGGTTTTTCTGCCTTCCCAAATGAAGGTGGGGACACATAGCTATCATGGTTAGTAGCCCCCAATAGGCTTACCTTCCCTGAATTTGTCCAGTCCTCTTTTTTTAAAGGCTGACTTTGTGCTTGTGGGCTTCCTAAAAGCATGTGGCCTGCTGCTGTGTGGCATCAGTCTGCTGGACTAGTAGATGGACCTTTGGTCCGATCAGCAGAGCCATCCTTAGGGGCCTGACCATTAAAACAATGATCCAAGGTAGGTCAGAATGGGCTGTTCTCCCAAAGGGTCTTGGACCTTTGCAGTCATAACTGGAGATGTCGGGGGTTGAACCTGGCACCTTCGACATGCAGAGCAGATGCTCTACTACTGAGCTACACACCCACCCCTACCAGGCTTGTTTTTTTTCTGGCTTAGCTTGGACTCTCAGCCTCATATAACCATTGCAATGAATGCAGCAGAATTTGGACCACTTGCTTTGAAAATCCCCTTCCAGCAAAAATGCTTTCAGTGGGGAAAATGTTGTTGCCAGCCAGTCCTCACTCACAGCCTTCCCTTAATTGCGGCACTTTTTCTTGAGGTGCTGACGACTTCCTCACTGGTGAGATCGTGTTCCTCTCTAACCAGCTCCTTGGGTGATCAGCAGTTAAACACCGGGGACCTGTAGTATCCGCTTTTTTTGAGTGCGTCACTAACAAGCAGGAAGGTGGCATTCATGCCCTGCTACAGAAGCTCTGTTCTCCTTTCCAGGGTGGCAACCTTTCTAAAAATACCATTGCCATTTGGGAATCAATAACACCAGCCGACGCCTGCCGTTACTGCTGTTCTCCTTGATCTTGGAGGAGACGCAACGGGGTACCCTCCCTGTAGACCTCTGTGCATGGGAGTTAATGTGGATTAAAGAGTGTGATATTTCTTACTAGTGATACTTAAGGAGAAGGGTTGAAAAAGCCTCCACTGAGTTATTAGGGAAGCTTTTGGGCACCTGCAGATGTGAACCGGGATGAAGCGAGTGTGTTTCAGCATACCTACCCCAAAGGCATAGGGCTGCTTTTCTTGAGCGTTAACGATGATTTGTGCTCATGATGGAATCAGGGCAGTCTCATTCTCCATACTGTTTGTGCCTGCAAAGGTGAACACGTACAGCTTGGATTCCAGTTCCCTGTAACTTCCTGCTGAAATCTGGTAACTTTTTGTAATGCAGATGTTTGGAGTTCCCCACCACCACTACCACCATTCTGCTTTTGTCATGCTATAGTTTTCCTCCAGATGCAAATGATGTGGTGACATTGGGGGAGCATCACAGAACAACTGACAAATTGGAATGATGTGGGAATGATCCAGTTTATATCCACCACTAATGAATTATTATTGCATCGAGGACGCATTACACAGCACACACGCACATGCACACACAGAGCACCAGTCTGGAGGGGGCTCATAAACTTGAGTGCTTTTGTGGCAAATGGTGCTAGGATGCTCTACAGCAAGGATTGCCCAGGTGGGGCTCTCCAGCTGCTATGTAATGCAGCTCCCATTAGCTCCAGCCAGCATGACCTCGGAATGTTCAGTCTGATGGAACATGGCCAGGAAGGCTGGGCCAATGGGGATTATAGTCCAAGACATCTAGAGAGCACCAGGCTAGCGATGGCTGCTTGAACAAAATGGGTTATTTCCCCACCCCACACTCTTTTGCGCCACAAATGACAAACAGACAGGGTACTTAATCTTTTGTGGAATTTTATTTTATAAATAAAATAAAATATTGTGGCTCAAATTGGATTTGGCAACAATGCTTTAAGGCAGGGTTGGGCAATTTGTGGTTCTATAGACCAGGCATAGGTAAATTCTGGCCCTCCAGATGTTTGGGGACTACAATTCCCATCATCCCTGACCACTGGTCCTGTTAGCTAGGGGAGTTGTAGTCCCAAACATCTGGAGGGCCAGAATTTGCCTATGCCTGCTATAGACCACTGGTTCCAAACCCTTTTTTAACATATAGACCACTTGAAAATTACTGATTGCTTTTGCCTGTCATAGTAAATGTGATTCCACCAGAATTTTAATTCGAATATGATAAAATGCAGTATAAGAAATAAGAGAAGCAATAAAAATACCACCCCCCCCTGCAATGATCCTCAGGGTTCATATGGGGATTAAACTTGCAATCTTGGCATTATCTGCACAATGCTGAAGTTGCTTGCAAAAATGTGTGTATTAGAGAAAATAAGCTATAAACATGCATTATATTGGGGAAAATTCTTGCAGAAATGTGCATATTAGGCAAAATCACATACAAATTAGAAGCTTGCACTAAAATGCTGGTGAATTTTCACGAGGACTTAAAAACAAAATCACAAACTGATGCAGAAATGTAGAACAAACCTTAAGGCTAGAAAAATGCAAAAATGAGCGAAACAAAATTTGACAGATTTGCCCTTTCCTGTGCCATTAATGACTACTTCATTTATGCAACCCACTCTTGCCGTTTGCCCTCCCTTTCTCATGACACCCCCCTTTTGGGTGGGGTTTCTTCACCTGTTGATTTCCCAATTTACTCTTTTGAAAAGTATGTAGCAGGCTTTGCTCTTAATGCCTCTAAATCAGCTGGGGAGTGGGATGGGAATGGAACAGTTGGCTCAGCAGAATTTTCCCGTTTTCCTGGAGGACCATTTCATTAAAAAGAGCAATTTGACCAGAAGCAAATTACAGGCGAGAGAGAGAGACATTTTTCCCTATCCTGCACCCTACCCCACCCGCCGCCCAGACAACGCAGCCGCTGTTTCCTTAGAAATTGGAAGTTGTTCCTTCCTCCCTCCCCAGCTACAGTTTGGAGGCCTGTTTGCGTCTCTCCCTTGTTAACAGTTATTTGATGCATACTTGTTTAGAGGACCCCTTGTTAAAAACCTCACCTTTTGGACTCTGAGTTCAGGGTATGATGAGACGGGAGCAAGCAAATTGGTGGCCACGGGGGAATTGTGTTGGCTTTATTGGCACATCTGTTATGCTGCTTAATGAAAGCTGCACACCCTGGCAAGCTTTGCCTGCACACCCGGGGGCTCGAGAGATTAATTCGGCCCCGAATGGCAAAAACAACCAATTCAGCATTTTCCCCTCTCCCCCCCCTTTTTTTCCCTTTTTGGATTTGTGTGTTGGGGAAACGGTGCTGCCCATGGACCGACGTGACTGCCCGGGTAGCGACTTCTAGGTACAGTTGGTGGAGGGAGATGGGACGGTTCTGTTTAATGGACACAATCCAGCAGGAAGTTCTCAAGCCCTGAGCAGTAGAACTTCCTGTTTGGTTTGTACACCATGTGAATCTGTGGGAGATGGAGGGCGCCCTGTCAGATTGTCTGCTTCTGCTGGCAAAATGTCTTTCTGAAAACTTGTAGGAGCAGGGCCAGTCAGTATAGACCAGGGGTGGGGAACCACGTTTCAGCCTGATGCATTCCCTTCTAAGCAAAGCTTATTTGTGTTTGTGCATGTGCGCCAGAGTTGCGTGGAGCGAGAGACAGAAAAGTGGGCAGGACCAGTGGCAAAAGTAAGGGCCTATCCACACTGCCTCTTGTGCAGTGTTAGAAACTGGGATAGAAAAGCTAGGAGCCAAAACGGAATGTCTTGTCGCCATGGGGTGGGGGTCAGCAACACTTTTTATTTATTCTTTTGGTAAGCATAAACTAATATGTAATTTGCATAAGAGACACATTGTTAATTTCACATTTTTATCAGAAATTGTTGATTCATGTTTAACTTGGTGTTTATGATAAGAATACAGTCGTACCTTGGTTCTCGAACAGAATGCGTTCTGGGAGTCTGTTTGACTCCTGGAACCATTCGAAAACCAAGGTGCAGCTTCTGATGGGCTGCATGATGCTCCTGCAGCCCATCAGAAGCTGTGAAAGCCACGCTGGATGTTCGGCTTCCAAAAATCGTTCGAAAACCGGAACACTCACTTCCGGTTTATGATCATTCGGGAGCCAAAACATATGAGTACCAAGGCGTTCGGCAACCAAAGTACGACTGTATTGGTACCATACTTCAGTTTTCAAAACAGTCTACCCTTTATTGTTAAACTCCTTAACATTGTTTATCCTTAATGTATACTTCAAGGATTCAAAGCACATGCATTTCAGTAATTATTGAGTGTCAGCCAGGCACAAAAAATGGCACCCAGAGTTTTTGAAGTGCTCGCAAATGGAGGATCTTTAGGCACAAAATGTGCCTGCCGCCCTGCTAATTTCGAACCCTGCTTCTTGTCCTGCTGCTTTTTCCCAGGAAAGCCAATCTTTAGCGCTGAGTTAGAGCAAAAGGCAATTCAGATTGCCATTTGTTGTGATCTTTCGCTAAAGAGCCGGAACTCGTGCTTTCTTGGCACAGCACACGAGCGGAAATGTGGACGAACCCTGAGTGCAGAAACAGATGTTGTACAGTAGGCTACATTCCAGGCCTACAAAAGTCAAGAATTCTTCACACGCTTTTATTGCCCTCCTCTGCCAATCCCTCTATCCCCTCTTCCACACATTCAAGAGGCATGATCACAGTTCAAAGACAGATTCCTGTTAGGCATGGAGGCGGCAGGGCCAGTGAGAGGTGTGGCTGCGGGGAAGGGGGATAGCCCAGGCAGAATCCCAAGGGCCGGAGAGAGAGGTCTTAGGGGCCTCATTCATCCTTTGTGCATGAGTTTCCCCACCTCTGGCACAGACAATACTGGGCTAGATGGACTAGTTGTCTGACTCGGTGCAAGGCAAACTATGTTTGTAAGAACATCATAACCAGAATCAAGTGGTAAAAATGACTGTGGATTGATGGACATAGAAAACAAGTGGGTGACACTCTTCTTTTGTGAAGGCTGTGATGGTGCAAGGCACGATGTTGCCACCCGCCCAGTGATCTTGCAGCTGGAATCTGATGTCCACACTGGTTCTTAGTGAAAAGAACAGCCCTGTACAATGCCTGCCCCCATCTTTTGAGACTTGATATTTGCGTCTTGCTTTGATACTGGTGGAAAGCAGTTGCATAGGGAAGGGGTGGTGGTGATGAGACATTTTGGGGGTGTGGAAAGGGAGGAAGACGCCACAGAATAGCTTCAGCAGGCTACAGGTTTGAACACCGCGCAGGGAATGCGCAGCAGTGGGAAGAAGGGGGCCCGCGAGCATCTGCGCGCACTTGTTCCCCAGGAAGCTAAAATAAAAGCCAGCTTTGTCAGCAGATTTGCCTCCGAAATGGAGCAGCTCCCCACCTTTCCCACCACATCTACAGGGAGGTGCCGGCGAGCGCCTTGAGGAGAAGGGCGTAAAGGTGCTGAGCGGAGTTGCAGTGGGCCGGTGTGTGTTACAATAATAGCACAATGCTTAATTATAAAGAGCCACCTGGCAGCAGGGCTGCCAAAAAGATGACAAATGGCACTTGAAATCCCTTCTGAAATAGCTATAAAAACCCTTGTTCTCCTACACGTTAGGGAGATGTCTCGCAATGCAGTTGTCCCATTGTTGTAACTTAATACAAGGCGGTGAGGACAGGGAAGGAGGATGGTGAAGGCAATGTGTGGGTGTGCAGAGCTCAGCGGTAGAGCATATGCTTGGCTTGCAGAAGGTCCCCAATTCTGCCCTTGGTTGTCTACACTTAGAATCGCCTGGGGCAGCAGAACTAAGAAAGTCCTCCGCTGGAGACCTTGGATTGCTGCTGAGCTGTGTTCCCCTGTGGCCTTGACTTGGTAGAAGGCAGCCTTGTGTCTTCATAACATCCAGGTTGATCTTGCAGAAGAAACATTGCCTCGTCTTGTCCTGCTTGGGAAATTGGTAGGGTCTACTTTGAGCAGAGCCAAGATGTGAAAGAGTGGAGGGTTGTGCCCATAGAACATGCAGTTGGGCCAGAGGGTGGGACTGCAGCTAAAAAAAATCAGTCTGATATGTACTCTTCACTTTAAAATGGATCAAAAGCTTCCAGTGTGAAAAGCTGGATTTTGCAACCTGTATAAATGAATTTCCTTCTTCTACACAATTTATTCTGCTCTTCGTGGTCATGGGGAGGGGCAGCGCAGTGAAGCCCCATAAATTCTTATCTTGCTTTGGAGGTTCCAGCATGTGTTCCCTTTCATAGCCATGAGGGCTAGAAATTTGGTGTGTGTTTTTTAAAACAACAACAACAACAAAAATGAACAAAGATATGGAAGTTGAAAATCTCAGGAAGTTGAATTCTGTGGTCAATTTTGTATTTGGTGGCTCTTGTGGAACATAGCCTATAAGTCACTGTGGCATCCTATTGTCAGGATTGCAGAGGTCAGTGTCCTACACAGAGCTGTAAACAGCCAAGGTGCAAGGCTTGGAAGCTCCTACCACCGCAAAGGTGCTCTCAGTGGGTTCTCCTCCCCTTTCCTCATTGACAGCACTTTTTCTTCCAAACCGCTTCCCACTACCTCTGAGAGTTTCTTTTCTTTAGTCTTGCCTCACCTTTCCTCCAAGGGGCTCACATGGTTTTCTTTCTCCACTGCCCCACCTTTGTTCTTAGAAGAAAGAATCTGGACCCAAGGCTGTGTGGGGATTTGACCTTGGAGACACTCTTTACTATACAGTGGCTCTGTGGCTGGCAAGTGAGAAAACACCTGCCTTCTCATGCTGATGGGAGCTTGCTGCTCATCACCACCACCACCACTTGCCTGAGCACCACCTGGCAGCAGGTGAGGTGTCAATATTTAGCCCTTCCAGGTTTCTGGGGCCTTAGCAATTGCCCAAGAATCTCAGCCTCTTTAAAAGCTGCCCTGATCTGCTTTCATCTCCTTGGCCAGAATTCCCCAACCTGGTACCACCCCTGCCAAATACCATCAGCTCTACTCAGCATGGCTGAATGATGTTGGAACTGATGGGAGTTCAAATTGGAGGACACTGGGTTGGGGAAGGCTGCTGTCCATGCAGATATCAATGTAGTTGCAACCAAAGAGAGCAGCCAGAAGAACAAGCATGTGTGGGAATCAACTGGCTGGCTTCAAAGGAAGCAAAAGGAGATAGATCCATGCAAAGAATGGGCTGGTCCTACAAGGAGTTAAAAAATATTGAGAGGAGAATTGGTTTTTCTTTAATTTTAAACCTTTCTTTAAAAAATAGACGCAATTTTAAAAATAAAGGTTTCAACAATAGTGTTCCTTTAAAAAATATAACCTGGTTTTATAATCCAATATTCAATGCAGATATGTTTGTTTTAGTCTGGATCCATTGTCCTCTATTGAAGACATGAGTTACGTCTGCTTTTTATGTAAAAGAATGAATAGCACAGGGGAGATATGCGACACTCAAGGTCAAGTTTTGCAAACATGACACAGTAGGTCAGCGTTTGCCAACCTGGTAACTGCACAGCACAGGGCTGATGGGAGTTTTAGTCTAAAACTTCTGGAGAGCTCTAGGTTGGAAGATGTTGGAATAGATCATATAGTTTGGTCACTTCTTTCTGGACCCAGGGGCTGCTTGCTACGATTCTGGATGTGTCATCCTGTATCTCACCAGGATTCTCTAATGCGCCCATCTCAATGATCTTGTACTTCTGCATTATACTCTCTCTCTGTTCAGTTCCCAAATTCATGACTCTCTACCCCCTGCAACAGAATGAATGTTTACTTTCAGGACAAAGATGGGGGAGGCCTTTATCCCTTGCTGTGATCCCAATCCCATTTGCTGTTCCCCCACACATGCAATTTTGCAGTGTCAGGGATTCCCATCAGTAGCATGAGTTTCCATTGGTACAAAAGGGGACCTGGACTGAGGCTACAGCAAGTAGCAAAGGTTTAAAGCGGCCAGTCCAGAACATCTCCCCCTGTCCTCCTGGCACCTGGAATTTTAGAAAACCCATTCAGGCAATTGCTAATTGTATGGATGGGGCTTCTTCGAGTTCCCTTCTTTGATTTTTAGGTTAATGTTCTACAATAGGTCTTATCCATCTTGATCTCCCCCCCCCCCCCGACACTTTAAATCAATCCACCTGCTTAAATTCTTTTGGAGCTTGGGGTGGGAATAGTGACTCCTTTCTCCTTCCATTCAACTACTGCCAACAGTGACCTTGGAATGGAAGCTTCCCCTTTCAGACCCTATGACCTGCTTGTTTTCTGGGAGGTTTTTTTGCAAACAAAAAGGCCAACTTTCAGGTAGAGGGTGGTGACCTTCTGCTCCTTCTCAGTGCTGTATTTCTGTTCCTCCCTCGGCATCAATGCTTCAAAGACGCTGTTTCAGCTAAGCATAACAAAATTATGTGTGTGCCCTTAGCTTTGATAAAATTTCCCTTGCTTTATGGGGCTGGCTGTTTGATGGATAAGGTAGAGGTGAGCCGAAGCGTCGCACAGAACACTCAACATGAAATATTTACATCCAGTTGCTCTAGCGCCAGGGACTGAGTTTTGCCATCCTTTTCCAACTGGGCTTCTGTCGTGGGGTGTTGCTGGATGATGGATGGATCGATGGGCAGGATGCTCGTGTGTACTGCTCGGCTGCTGAAAGAAAGGTCAATTTATTAATGTATTTATGCTCTGCCAAGGGGCTGCGACTGATTCTAAGGCAGGGCTGTGTTTCCACCTGTAGAAATATCCTCTCTGGACCTGGTTCCCCTCAGCCGCCCCCTCAGCATGCAAGCTGCTGTGTCGGGGATCCTTTCACTACTGGATGGGATGTAAAAAGCTTTTGCCCATCCCATAGTTCTGGTTTGAAGGTTCAGCCTTGAGGTTTGTGTTTGGGAATCTCGGAGCTGCCCAGGATTCCCAAACATGCTCTTGAAGCCAGTGTGGTGTAGTGGTTAAGAGTGGTGGACTCGTAATCTGGTAAACCAGGTTCGTGTCTCCGCTCCTCCACATGCAGCTGCTGGGTGACCTTGAGCTAGTCACATTTCTCTGAAGTCTCTCAGCCCCACTCACTTCACAGAGTGTTTGTTGTGGGGGAGGAAGGGAAAGGAGAATGTTAGCTGCTTTGAGACTCCTTCGGGTAGTGATAAAGCGGGATATCAAATCCAAACTCTTCTTCTTCTTGAAGACCTCCTGAGAGGCTGATGCTGGAGCCTTCTGACTGGCCTCTCTCCTGACACTGAGGACAGAGAATTGGCCAAGTGTTCCTAAATCTGAGTTGGCTTTTACACCTGGAGCTCGCAAGCTGCCTCCTCCACTGCACCACATCCTAATGCAGGCATAGGCAAACTCAGCCCTCCAGATGTTTTGGGTCTACAACTCCCATCATCCCTAGCTAACAGGACCAGTGGTCAGGGTTGATGGGAGTTGTAGTCCCAAAACATCTGGGGGGCTGAGTTTGCCTATGCCTGATTACTGATTCTTAAATTGTTGTCTCCAGGCCACTGTTGGTCCATAGTGAGCTGGTTTTTGTCAGGTCTACATAGCCAAGGGGGGAAATGCTGGAGCACACAGTCACAAGTGGGGCTCCTTCTGTTTTCTGGTGCAGCCATATGGAATAAGTGAATTGGTGATGAGCTGGAAGAAACTATTCTTAAAGTTTGTTTGTATCACTTTTTAAAATTAATATTTTATATTCTTTGGCAAGGCACTTAAGAGAGATACTTTTGATTAAGCGATATATAATTTTTGCAAAATAAACAAAGCAGTGGTGCTCTTCAGCCACAGCTGCTCAAAGGGGGACTAATCCTTAAAAAAAAGTTAGCTGCTGTCTTGAGAAGAAATAGAATCTGGCTGTTTGGGAACTATCATTTAAAATGTACTGAGCTGTATGGTTGAAGGAGGAGCCCACGTGCTGTTGTCCAAAATGCCCCCCTGCCATGCCCCCTTGCCCATCACTCACTGCAACTCTCCCCTGGAAGCCTTTCCTCATCCATCACAGAAGCAGATGGTCCATCAATCCATCCCCTGTCAAGTAGTTGCTGTTCCATCCAGTTCGTACCATCTCTGAATGCCAGGAGTCTGGAAAGAACTGCTTGGAGCATCACTTACATTCTGAAGTGGGCACTGAGGAAGGGCACCACCACAGCTGAAATCTGTAACCTAGAGAAGAGCTTTCATTTTAAAACCAGAGGATTATAAGGCTATATGTTGACCATAGAGATAATTTAAGTTGGAACAGCAGGCACACAGTCTGAGGAGGCTAGCCCTGTCAGCAACGTCCTTTCTGGATTTTGGGCTGAGTTTTTCCAAAAAGCATCTGCTGCTCTTTTACTTACAGAGGTATAACTGAGGATACGCTGGTGGTATTTTGTTCAGTTGCAAAGCTGGGGGTAAGCAATCTTCCACCTTCCATTGTTCTGGCCGAGTATGATGGGCAAAGGCTTTGTGCTACCTTAACTTTATAAAGATTTAATGACTTTGATGGATGACAGGTGTAGTGGGTTTTCGGGACAGGTGGCGCTGTGGTCTAAACCACTGAGCCTCTTGGGCTTGCGGATCAGAAGGTCAGCAGTTCAAATCCCTGTGACGGGGTCAGCTCCCGTTGCTCTGTCCCAGCTCCTGCCAACCAAGCAGTTCGAAAGCATGCCTGTGCAAGTAGATAAATAGGTACTACTGCAGCAGGAAGGTAAACGGTGTTTCCATGCGCTCTGGTTTCCGTCACAGTGTTCTATTGCGCCAGAAGCAGTTTAGTCATGCTGGCCACATGACCTGGAAAGCTGCCTGTGGACAAATGCCAGCTCCATCAGCCTGCAAAGCAAGATGAGCGCCGCAACCCCAGTCGCCTTTGACTGGACTTTACTGTCCAGGGGTCCTTTACTTTTACCTTACCTAGTGGGTTTTCTTTCCCCGTTTGCTAATTTGCTGTCTCTTTCACACCCTGAACCCTCAACAGCTTTACATTAATAGCTATGATTGCTCCTATTCAATAGACGCAAGGAGAAATACAATTACTGCAAAATGAGGTGCTTTTAGCACTTCTGCCCTGTCGGGACAAGGTCTGAATGTAATTGGTTTAAAGTTAGCGGAATAAGATTTAAGATTGACCCTTTCTGACCCTTTACAGAGCAGGGATGCGGGGCAGGAAGAAGGTTTGATGGCCTACTCTGGGCCCCGGCCAGTGGGAGCGAGTTTTCTCACTGCTGTCTAGGAGTCCTGGGTGCCCTGGCAGGCAGGGCGGAGAGGCCTGGAGTGTAACATGCAGCAAGATAAACAACAGCAGCGGCCCTTGCCATGGTGACGGCTAGAAACAAACGCTGCTCCACAGAAGGGTATTTATATCCTTCGGAGCAGATCGGATGCCTTCTCTCCCTTCTCTCACTCTCCATAAAGGTCGGCAGAACGAGGGATGGGTGGATTTATACGACATGCTGTTTATATAAGAGGCAGGCGGCCCTTCAAGTCCTCCTGGGAGCTGAGTGCTGGCTTGGAGACAGCCAGCAGGAACCCCCCTTTTTTTGTGGCTTGAGAAATTAACATGATGGCTGTGGGTTGGGTTTTGGCATGGCTGCCTGACCCAACACATTTTGCAGCCTGAGGTAAATAAGATGTCTCTCTCTCTCCCCCCCCCACTTCTTACCCCATGTAAACGGCTGCCTGGTGATGGGCAGCAGGCTAGTTTTTGTAGTGGGGAAGGGGGAAGGACAGACTGTGCAGCAGAGGGAAATGGCTGGGGGAGGGGAGGGTTGGGAGAAACGGTCAAGGACTGCATTCCTCCAGCATCAGCCTCCTAAGGTGGCCATCTCAATTTGCCCACCAACCATCTCCATCCCTCCCAACCTTCCTGGATATCAAGATCTGTTTGGGACGACAAGGACAACACTTCCTTGGTAGTTCTGCCACCCTCAGGAAGTTGGGAGATGGTGGCCCAGGAGGGGAGAGGGCTTTTTCTGTCGCAGCCCCTCAAATGCAGAACTTCCTCCCCACAGTAGTGCAATTAGCATCTTGCTTGTACAGATTTTCCCCCCTGTGTGCTGAAGACACATCTCTTTATGTACTTATTTATTGAGCTAATGTGTGTTACTCAATTACAATTGTCTTTAAGCAGTGTGCAAGTAACTCACAACAATAGAGATAAACATTAAGTTAGCCTTTGACTGCTAAGGTGCAGCAATGTGTTCCCCTCCTTTACTGGGTTTATATCTCTCTGTTTCATCCATGGGGACTCTGTTCCTGGCTCTCGTCTTGTTTCTGGATGGAGTGTTTTCTTCTTCTTCACTTACTCATCCGGTTTTGGTGGGAAGCAAATGATAGCATGGAATATAGCTTGGCGAACTGCCTGCATTAATATTTTTCTCTTGGGTTGGGATGTTTGAAACCCTCTGAGATCTGTCTTGAGTTCTACCGAAATCACTTCATGACCCTTTGCAGTTCTTACACTCTTTTGCTTGAGCTGTTCTTGGGTGAAATCCAGGGTGCTAGCAGCTAGTGTGGGACATTTTCCTCCCTGAAGTGCAGCCCAAACACTGCTCCTTCACCCTGCCCCACACCAGGACCACCAACCCTTTATGCAGTGAGGAACCTCGGGCTTAGGTGCTGGAAAAACTATGTTTAATTAGGCCAGGAGTTGGGAACCTTAGGCCTAGGGGCCACTATCTGACCCTCAGGACCCTCCTCAAGCCACACCCCTTCTTCCCAGGCCATGACCTTCTCCAGTCCTGCTTTGCACCCTTCTTGAGTGCTTTTACCTGGCTGAACTGAAATATGTCTTGATAATGCCTCTTGCTTTCCTGGATGGAGATTATAGAGAGTGGTGTGTGAATGCAGAACCTAGCCTACTGTATAAGCTGGATGATTTAATATGAATATCAGGGTTAATTTGGATTGCATACTTTAAATATGCACTATGGAGCTCCAGATATTATGTTTCAATATATGCTGTAAGATGCCCAGAATGGCTGGGGAAAACCAGCCTGATGGGCGGAGTATTATTATTATTATTATTATTATTAAATTGCATTTATTGTTTCACCCACTTTTGCTGCTCTCCTCACCCACCACTAGCATGTGGTCCCCAAAAGGTTGCCTAGAAAGAAAGGTAGGCCTTGGACTGAAAAAGGTCCCAACCCTTGCTTTAGAAAGCATCACTGCATCATCCGCACCCATCAGTTTCTTGCCTTTCATGGATCCCGCTTGTGGTGCTGCCCAAAATAGGTTGCATTGTCCTGCTGCACAACAGTGCTCCCCTCGTCATCCTGCAGTGGGCCGCTCATCCTATTGTCTCTGGCCTGTTTTCTGGTTGTCATTTTTTAGTGGTGTGGCATTAAGGGTGCATCCTTTTTATATTTATAGTTGTAGCAGCACTTTTAGGCATATTGTTCTATGGTATTTTTTTGCCCTGTGAATTTGGCTTTTAAACTGTTGCCAAGCTCATTTGTATTTTATGGATCTGTAAATTGCTTTGACACATTTCCTTGCAGAACGTGAGGAATAAAGGCAGCAGTAGCAATATAATTGCCTGCCGGTGGGCTGCAGGTCCCCAGGAGGCTTATGAGATGGCCTCTTCATCTTTGGCCTCCCTTTGTGGTCTTCCCCCTTCTTTGCTGTCACAGTATGCTGAGCTGATGAGCTATTTGTAAGAGAGGAATGCCCCTGCCTGTGCGGGGACCATTTGTGCTAAGATCGATCACTCGGTCCATCCTGTCCCAGTCTCCCAGCTCTCTTCCCTTCTTGCCACCAACACTTTCTGACTTCAGATGCTAAGCTGTGAACAAGGAGGACCTGAGACCAGACTCGTGAGATTAAAGCCTTGAAAATACTTTAATCTGGGTGGGAAAGGGAAGGGAGCAAGGGCTCTGTCAGCTGAGAACACAGCAGGAACGTCTCTGAAAAGTGCAGCGCTTTTCTGTCTCCCCAACAACTTATTTTATTTTGTGTGGAGTGGATAAGTGACACAGCTGGACTTTTCAATGGCTGGAGGTAGTATTAGCTATCTTTCCTCCCACTCACCCGCAAATAAAAATAGCAGACTCTACTTGTATTTGAGTTCTCTGCCCCCACCATGTACACACATTAGTTCATAAGTATTCTCCTCCTCCTGTTTAAGTGGTATATGTAGAGAGGCATGCAATGCCAATGCATTAAAGCAGAACATGGCCTGGGTTCAAGTTCTTGCTGAACTGAACTGAACAGCGAAAGGCTTTTTTTGGGGGGAGGGGTGATAATTACTGAAACTTTTTGCAGGTTCCATAGGATGTTCTGGTGGGCTCACTGGCACCTATGTGATACCTGGTCTAGGGCAAATTGCTTTCTTGGCCACAACTTTCCTCACCTGTGTAATGGCTTTAGCCATGATCTACCACCCTAGGGTGACTGTACCCCCCAAAGGTACAGATGTCCTCTGCAGATGGACAGCCCAATCTTATGCCACATTTGTTTGCAAGCAAAGCCTTCCTCTGTTCTTTGAGACTCACTCCCAAGCCAGTGTGCTTGAAGCAGCCGTGCAAACATGCTAGATGCATGAACAGGTGATGGCATTGCTTTGTTTGACATTACCACTTTGCAAAACTGATAAGCTTTATCAGAATATTTACATATTACTAGCAGCCTTGTCCTTGGCATTGCTTGGGAATTCAAAGGGGGGTGGGAATCAGCACAGTTTTGAAATCAGTGGTTATAATTGGTGCAGTGGTGAAAGGTTCAATCTGGCATCTTGATTCAAAGTGGCATGCAAGTGTGTCCAAACATAGACAAACACCTACTCCTTGAGGATTTGGTGGTTGTTATTGTTGATAAGATTTTGTTAAAGCTTTTTCGTGATACAGTAGGATAAAAGAAACTAATCTAGATAAAAGCAGAAACAGAGCAAGAAAGAGAAAAGAAAACATGGAGTCCTCTCTCAAATGTAGCTCTTAACCCTTGTCTCACACAGAAAGTGGTGGATCCTTCTAAATTTTACCAGGGAGCTTTCCTTTCTTCTCCTGGTCTCTCACCCTGGGAGGCCTTCCCTCCCGTGCCTCTCACTCAGAGGATTTGGTTGTGGTATCTTAAGATGTGTCCAGTTGCATAGTGAACAAACGGCTTTCCAAAATATACAGTACATGAATAAAATGGCTCAATGGTTAGGTGCTGTAGGAATCATGTTAAAAGGAACGAATGTCCATGCATTGCCTGTTGTCTAAAAAACTAAATTATGGTTTCTATTAACAGAAGGGGCAGAAGAGAACATAGTTCAAGTTTTGTTATGAAGTTATATAAATAAAACACACAATCAAGTATATTTATGTCTTTTCTCAAACTATTCCAAAAGTTATGAAAGGCATGCCAAATTTCCATCAATGCTTGCCTTGCTGGCCTGTTTTGGTGTATACGTATGTTAGACTTTGGCATCCTGGTGCTCTGAAGCTCTTTTGCACTGCAGCTCACATCGCAGGAGCTGATGGTGCATATTCCAAAACAGCTGGAGGGTGCCAGGGTGGCAAATGCTAACATAGACTGATATGTAACATGGGAGTTTATTCATATACATAGGTGGTGGGGAACTTTTATCAGCTGAAGGGCTGCATTCCCTTTTGGGTGACCCTTCTGAGGGCTGCGTGCTAGTTCTAGGGGTAGCCACAGGCAAAACATGGGTGGCACAGTGGGTGAGACTCTTTTTGTACACTCAGCTATGCAAAAGTTGGAGGTTTCTACACACCCCACAGACTTTATTTAAAACTTGTTGAAAGTTCCAGTATACTATGTCAACCTCTATTAAGGATTACCTCTATTTGTGTGTTTGTGGGCACTCTCAATGACCTCTATGAGGTTCATGACTTATCCTTACAGAAGCCATGCTAGCTCTGCTTTGGCATGGCTTGTTCTTCTATATGCCCAATTATGTTATCCTTAAGAAATTTTTTCTGCAGTTTCCCAGGGCAGACGTTAAGCTAACTGCCTGTAATTTCCAGGATCTCCCCTGGATCCCTTTTTGAAAATTGGTGTTACATTGGCTACTTTCCAGTCTTCAAGGACTCAAAAAGAGTGTGGAGTAAGACCAGTGAGAGGTGTAGCTGGGAAGAGAGGGTCTAGCCTGGACAGAGTCTTAAGGGCCAAATTGAGAGGGCCATATTTGACCCCCAGGCCTTAGGTTTTTTCCATATCTGAGATACATGATATCCCAAATGGTGATCATTTCAATTGGCCTGGGAAATGTTGTAATCTCCATTTCTCTCCCAGCCACCAACCTCCACACAATGTTATTCTAGCAACTGTAAGGAGATACTCTGCCAAAATAAAAAAAAATTCCTACAATTGAGTCAGTTCTTCCGATTATTTCTTCCTACACACTACCCAGGACTTGCTCCATGGGTTGGCATAACTGGGCATTTTGTGAGGGCCCACTAACCCTAGCAAGGGGCCCACTGCCAAGGGCCTTCTTGGACCGCCTGCTCCTCTTTGCCATGGCAACCTCCTTGCTCACCTGCCTCTCTCACTTGAGACCAGACAAGTGTGCTGGTGGCAAAGAGGAGCTCTCCTCACCACCAGATTTGCTGCTATGGACTCCTACTTTATTGCAGGGGTAGAAACCTGTAGCCCTCCAGATGGTGTTGGACTCTAAATCCCTTCATCCCTTGCCATTGCCATGCTTACAGAGTCTGCTGGGAGTTGGGGTCCAATGCTGTTTGGAGGACTGCTGGCTCTCCATCCTTGCATGATAAGCATTGGTGTAATAGTTTTAAGAACCCCACTCTTAAATTAATATACTGAGAAATGGGGCATTTTAAAAAATTTTTAGGAGAGAGAGCACTGTTGCTCTTCTGCACAACTGTTGCATTACCATGCCTTGCTATATCCAAATTCATCGGATACTATTTTAGTAATTCAGGTTGGCAGGCATGCAGGACAATTGATCAATCAGATATTGTCAGTTGATCATCTGTTGCTTGACCACGGCCAATTATTCCAAGAATGCCACTGTGCAGTTGGCAGCTTACCTTCTTAAATTTCATGACAGGGATCATTTGCTAGCAAGGGCAGGAGGGAGGGAGATAATCTCGCCCTACAATAGTCACGGATAAACCCAACAGCATCACAAAAATGCATCTCCAAGGAATACCTGTGGGCATCTGTGAACCAGAGCACAAGCATCTTGTCACAGAGACCTGGGCTCAATTCCTCACTCAGCCATGAAGCTCAGAGTAAGCTTGGGCAAGCACTATCTCTCAACCTAACCTACCTTATAGGGTTGTTGCGAAATCCATAATGATGATGATGATGATGATGATGAACTAGTAGCAAATAAAATTGGGGTGGCTGTACATTACCCTGAGCTTGATATAGGGGGAGGGCAGAAAAAGGATGCAACAATCCAGTCTTCCCCAAGCCTGGTGCCCTCCACATGTTCTGGACTATGGCAGCCATGAGCCCAAGCCACTTCCTGTCTCCTTATGGTGGACTTGCACCCTGTATAAATAAAGTGTACCCCACAAGTTTGGACCCCAGCAACGAAAACAGATGGTTACTAGAAAAAGATCTGTGGCAAACACACCAGCCCACTTTGTAGGGTTGTCAGAAGACATATTGAGTTATGCATGCAGGCCTTTCAACATTTTTAAGCAGGGGCTGCCAGTGTGGCATCCATAATTGGACATAACCCCACAGAGGCTTTCCATGGTGCCTGCAGCATCCCCACCCCCTGCTCAAAGTAGACTTGAAGGAAGCATTCTGTTGTAGCCAGAAGACTAGGTTGCAGCGTGTGATTGGTTGCAGTTTGTATGGGGTACCCACGACAGTTTCCCCACTTTGCAGATGTACACATGGGCCCCCAAAGGCTGGCAGACCCCTGTTAATGCACCCTATTGGTGCTGTGGCATGAAGGGGCAGTTTCAGGATGTTTTTTCCAATATAGATCTGAGTCTTTATTGCACATCTTGTAGCTGTCACTATTTGCAGTTTAACTGCATATCACACTGTACAGTGGTACCTCGGGTTAAATACGCTTCAGGTTACAGACACTTCAGGTTACAGCCTCTGCTAACCCAGAAATAGTACCTCGGGTTAAGAACTTTGCTTCAGGATGAGAACAGAAATCGTGCTCTGGCGGCAGCAGGAGGTCCCATTAGCTAATATGGTGCTTCAGGTTAAGAACAGTTTCAGGTTAAGAACGGACCTCCGGAACGAATTAAGTACTTAACCCGAGGTACCACTGTATATAGAACCATGGCTTTTCTCTTCTGCTACTGCTCCTCCCCCTCTTTCTTTCTTTCTTTCTTTCTTTCTTTCTCTTGTTTCTTGGATCTGACAGTCCTGGTCTCAAACCTGCTGCCTGCTCAGGACTCTTATCAGCAGCATTGACTGTTTCCTTTGCACCCTGGGGAGGAGAAGAATCCTGCCTGCTCTCCTGGCATCCATATTTGCAACATCTGCAGCTTCTCTTTGCACAGTTCACCTCCTCAGCCTTCCAGCTCTGCTGCCTTTTTTCCATTTTAAGGCAAATCTCCCATTAGTCGCCCTTAGCCACATGTGACTCGCTCTCTACTAAGCAGCTTAAGAAAGCCCCTTTCTAGTGTGTGTCTGCATAGAAGTACACATTTAAAAATAAGGGGGGGGGGGAAGAAACTTTCAGCAAAGGTTTTAGACATTAATGCCTAGCAGGTGATCCAGTTTACGAAGTATTCTTCTCATACTCTGTACTTTGCATGACCCTTTTCATGGGATGCTAATCCCATTTAGGGATTATTAGGCAGAAGTGGAAAGAAGGGCGGACTTCCAGGATTGGGGAGTGTGGGGTTTCGCTAATACATATTCCTCTCATGAGAAAGGGTGCAGTACAATTGAACCAGCTGCAAGTAGCCCCAACTTTTTGCAGTGCTTTGCAGTGTTTCACTGCATGCTGATAAGTACTTGCTAATGAGTCCCTCCAGACTGGTTGTGTGGTTGTGTTGTGTGTGCAATATGTTGTTGATGCAGTATTTGTTTGTTTGTTTGGTATACCACCCTTTATCCATAGATCTCAAGGAAGTTCACAACATAAAATTACAATATAAAAACACAAAACACATAATAAAAATAAGAACCAAACCAAACCAAAAATCACCCCCTCCCACAACACATTTAAAAGGTCATTCGATGTTAATAAGCCAAAGGCCTGGTTGAAAAGAAACATTTTCACCTGGCGCCTAAATAGTGTATTAGTGGTGGATATATTAGATGTGGTTGTTGGGTGTCTAACTGAGACTCTAGGTCTTTTACAGCCACAGCAGGCGCTGCAGCCTTGCGACAGTTTGACTTCATCCCCAAAGGCGCACACTCCCATACCTGTCAATTGCCGTGGAAAAACAGAGACATCCAACACAATGCCCATCAGCTCTAGCCAGCGTTGGAAGTTGGGATCCAGACCATTTTGAGGGCGCCAGCGTGGTGAAGGCCGCTGTAAAGGGCATTTGTCACTTGTGGGCAGTTCACATACATCCGAGTCATACGGCTGGCAGTAAATACAAGTCAGACAGCCAGGAATGTGAGGAATTTAGACAAAGGGACCCAAAGCAGCTAAAGCCATCATCCCTCTACTTTCCCCCCCAACCCAGGCAAGGGAGTATGGTGGGGTGGGGTAGGGGGGAGGCGTATGCCAAACATTTGTATGGGGCCCAGATAAATGTTGCTATTCTGCATGGAGTGAAGTCGTGGTCTGGCTTGGTATTAACATTCAAACAAGCCCTGGCTGCAGCCTCTGGTCTGCCTGGGTTCAGATGTCAAGCTAAGCCAAACTATGGCTTTGCTCTTGATAGAGTGGCAATAGCAGGACTGGCAGAGGAGTGAAGCAACCATTATCTTGTTCACACTTGGTTTGGCTCAGTATTATGTGTGAACCAGGCTGGTGGCAGCAGGAGCGAGGGATCTGTGATAACCGCAAATAATAACCGAAATGTGTATTTTTTTGTTTACTCCCCCTTCCTTTCCATGAAGTGCTGTATAAATCTTGAAGTGAATTCTGTAAATTGCGTGCATATTATTCACTCCTCTTTTTTGGCCTGGCTTGAATCTACTTCCTGTCGGCTTAATTGCCACATGTCAGTTGCCCAGGGTGCCACACACCACCAGTGGGATTTTCACAGTTGATCTGCAGCAGTTGCTTTCTGTGGCAAATGGAACTGCATTCATTTTTACTTGTTGCATAGAAAATATTTAGGGTAGCAATTCTATAGTCTTTCTGATGGATTCTGCTCTGCAAGCGACAGTGCTACTGATTCCCCCCACCCCACTCCCAAGCTGGTAACAAAACTCAGGAGAATATTGCACATGGCCCCCAGTACAGCTTATTGTTGTCAAAGGGAGATGGACATTGCAGTCCCTGCACCAGGTGCTTCCCTCCAGGTTTTGGGCTGCAGATCCCATCAACCCTCACCCCTGGTTTTGCAGGTTGGCATTGATGGGAGTTTTAAGGAAAAGATCCAGAGGGGGTATCAAGTTGGGGTGGTCTGTGCTGTGCACTACTGGAAAGAGAGACAGAGAGTCTTTTGAACAAGGCACTCACCCATAATATTAGGCCTTTCTCTTTCTTCCCTCTGCTCCTCCCAGCTCCCAAGTATCAAGGAGTCATCACTACTATAAACAATTCATGCTTCCCTTAGTGCAGATATTAAAACAATTAAGCTCCTTCAAGCAGCCTTCAGGTGCTCCTTGTCCAATGTAAAAAGTCCCTTTTTGTTCTGCACCCTGGGCTCAAGGCCAGATGTTTGGTTTTTTTTAGCATGGAGTTGGGCTGGCGATGCCTCCATTATGGACTCTGTTCTTTCAGGGACTTGATCCTGCTTTGGATTCACACTTGGACTTTTGGACCAGCATACTCTCATAGCTTCTCACCCCTGCGGCGCTGTGGTCTAAACCACTGAGCCTAAGTTGGCAGTTCGAATCCGTGCGACAGGATGAGCTCCCGTTGCTCAGTCCCAGCTCCTGCCAACCTAGCAGTTCGAAAGCACGTCAAAGTGCAAGTAGATAAATAGGTACCGCTCCAGTGGGAAGGTAAACGGTGTTTCCGTGCGCTGCTCTGGTTCCGTGCGGCTTAGTCACGCTGGCCACATGACCCAGAAAAAACTGTCTGCGGACAAACGTCGGCTCCCTTGGCCAGTAAAGCGAGATGAGCGCTGCAACCCCAGAGTCGTTCATGACTGGACTTAACTGTCAGGGGTCCTTTACCTTTTTACTCTCATAGCTTCTCACCCCTGTTTGTTTGTTTGTTTGTTTATCTGTCCTTGGCAAAGTCCTTTTGAAATTATATGCACATTCATGCCTAAACATAAACACAAGCAATGTGACATAAGAGCACAAGAAGAGCCAGTCCAGCATCCTGTTTTCATAGTGGGACACCTAGAGGAAGCCCAGAAGCGGGACCTGGGTGCCACAGCCCTCTCCCCTCCTGTGGCTTCCAGAAACTGGTATTCAGAAGCGTTGCTGCCTCTGGCAGTGGAGGCAGAGCAGAGCCATCCAAGGTAGTAGCCATTAATCCATTCATTTGTCTGATTCTCTTTTAGAGCTGCCCAGGTGGCTATCATTCCATAGTTTAACTATGTGCCGTACCTTTTGCCTGTCCTGAAACTTCCATCATTCAGCTTTGGATGTCACCTGTGCAGATGTACTGGAGGCAGAATGCTATGGTATCTAGCAGCGTCTGATAAAGTTTCTTTAAGGCCCTTGTGTGAGGTACCCTCCATGCCACGCCCCCGCCTCTCAGCCTACTTCTTCCTTGCAGCAGGTCCAGGGGGGCTCTTGACTGAGGGACCCTCGGCAGGTGCCTGCAGATCATCCCTTGATGTTGGTCTTGAGCATGGAGAGGGATTTATTATTTTTTTCAGCAGCTTCTGAGCAACCTAATACCATATTCCATAAGCGGTTTTACAAAACAAAATATAGGGCTCTTCCACACTTTCACTTGTCCCGTGCCTAGCAAGCACAGATCCAAGAAGTTTTCTAGGCATGGGTCTGAGTGATTTCCCCCTTACCCCTCTCCTTTCCCAAGGAAAACCTGCTCTTTAGTGCTAAATTGGAGCAAACATCAATCCGGAAAAGCCTAAATTGCTGTTTGCTCCGATTAAGCGCTAAAGAGCAGTTTCCTCGTGGGGTAAAGCAGTGGGACAAGCGAAAGTGTAGATAAGCCCAAAGATGAAATAGTTGAAACTTAAGCATAAAATCAGAAGGTTTAACTTGAAACCTCTTGTCAGAGCTGGCTCCAGGTCCCAGCTCACAGAGAACCAACGCTAGCCGGCAGTAATGTACAAAAGTCTTTATTGAAGTACAGTTTCCATTTTCAAGCCGCAGCGCCCCAGCTCTACGTCTAGGGGTTAGATCGGCGAAGCTCCATCTGAGTCTCCGCCCCTGTACACCAGTTTAAGATTCTAGCCTTACTCCACCTCTTACGTCTCTCCTTTCTCCTCTGGGTCCTGCTACCCCCCGGGGTCCCTTCCTTCCTGGATTCTTCTGACGCTGACGTTGACCCCCCTGACTCCTCCCCCTCTTTTCGGCGGGCTTTGGGACCTGGCTCCCTATCCGGGCTGCCAACTGCGCCGCCCTCCTGTACATTTGAACTTGGCGCGCGCGCCCAGCCTTCAACCTTCCTCTCGACCGTTTCCTCGCTCCCCGATGGAGGCGTGGCCAATCCTGACTCATGTCCTCCCACTGGCAGTGCGCCGCCTGATCCCGATGCCTGGGACCCCTCTGGTGTGGACGCTGGTCCTGATTTCCAACTGCTGCTCTCTGAGTCCCCTCTGGCCCCTTCTTCCTGGGGTGTCCCCCTCGGCACCCCCTTGCTCTGACCAAGGGAGCCCCTTTCTGTGAATCTTCCGATTCGCTGGAAAGACTCAGAGACCTCGGACCGCTGTCATCGCTAACATTTCCTTCGGACTCCTCCCCTCGCTCTCTATTTCCTCCCTTTCCTGTGCCTCTGCTCCTGAACCCCTGACATCCATACCCCCTCGAAGCCCCCTTCCCCTCCCTCCTTCAGGTGTGGGTACTGGGTGCGACGTCGTTGTTGGGGTGAGTGCCGGATACAGTTCGTCCCCCGTGGCGTGCATCCAGCCGGATAAGTCCGGCTCGTCCTCCGTGCTCTCGCCGACCTCAATTTCCTCTGCTTCCATCTCTTGCCGCCGTGCTCGAACCCAAGGTCCTCCCCCAACACGTCCATGTCCGTCTCTCCCCCGGTCTCCTCCGGGGACGTTGCCTGCCAAGGACCCCCCAGCCACTTCCTGCGCCACTGCTCCTCTGGTCGATTGTCCCACCAATAGGAACGGTCTGAGGCAGACCCCGGGGTGATCCCTCCGGGGAACGTGTTTCTAGTGCCGGTTCCTCGTCCGAGGTGAACCCCTGGAATGTGCTAGCTGAAAATGTGGGTGTGAAAAGCCAGTCGTCGAAATACTCGGCTGGCATGGGCCTGTGTGGGAAAGGGCATGAAACTCGTCCTTGAGAAAAGGTTCGTCCAAGGCATGGTCTGGCACCCAACTGTTGGCGCTGGCCGGGGTACCTTCTCTGGCGAGAAGATATTCTACCCCTCTTCCCCCCATCTCGAGTCTAAAATCTCTGTGACTTCGTTGACGGGTTCCCGCCTTGGCGACCCCCCCCTTGTGGGCGTTTCCCTGAACGGGTCTGGTGCCGTTCCTGGCTCCTGAAATCTATGAGGTGCTTTGGGACCTGGCTCCCTATCCGGGCTGCCAACTGCGCCGCCCTCCTGTACATTTGAACTTGGCGCGCGCGCCCAGCCTTCAACCTTCCTCTCGACCGTTTCCTCGCTCCCCGATGGAGGCGTGGCCAATCCTGACTCATGTCCTCCCACTGGCAGTGCGCCGCCTGATCCCGATGCCTGGGACTCCCCCCCTACTGCACTCTGGTGTGGACGCTGGTCCTGATTTCCAACTGCTGCTCTCTGAGTCCCCTCTGGCCCCTTCTTCCTGGGGTGTCCCCTCGGCACCCCCTTGCTCTGACCAAGGGAGCCCTTTCTGTGAATCTTCCGATTCGCTGGAAAGACTCAGAGACCTCGGACCGCTGTCATCGCTAACATTTCCTTCGGACTCCTCCCCCTCGCTCTCTATTTCCTCCCTTTCCTGTGCCTCTGCTCCTGAACCCCTGACACCTCTGCTGAAATAATAATAATAATACTAAAACCTCCTGAACATGGGGGGAGGGGGACTGTTTGAAATGACAGTGACTCCCACAAACACTACAGTGATGGGGCTTGATATAAGGAACCCAGGTGGTCCTTAAACTATCCTAGACTCAAGTTATGGGCCTTGTAAATTAATGCAGGAACCATGAACCCAGTAGCACCCAGGCAGCCAGTGGAAGCTGCTAAGCACCTGAGGCATGTGCTGGCAGTAGTCTGTCCCCAGCAACACTTCCACAGCAAGCACGCCCAGCATGAAAATGAAACAGGATTCTGCCTTATTTTCTGCCTTATATCATGCCAAACCATAGTTCCATTGAGCTCACTATTGTCAACACTGACTGGTAGCAGCTTTCTAGTGACACAGACTCAGGTCCTTCCCAACCCTACCTGGAGATGCCACAGATTGAAACTGGGTTCTTTTGCATGCAGAGTGTTTTGTTTCAAACCACCCCCCCCAACCCAGACCTCAAGGGAACTTTGCGTGTTGCAGTTTCTTGCTTACCCACTTGACTTTGGATCGCCATACAGTGCCCAAATTCTTGGTAGCTGAATGACGGCTGAATTACTTTCTGCTTTGTTGCACCTCCATCCCCTCTGAAATCGCTTGCAACATTTTGATTTTTGATAATCTTTGCTGCTGGTGATGGGAGGCGTTGAGCTCATCTGATTAAAGATCTGGGCTGCTGTTAGATGAAATTATTTTTGCCTGTTAAACTTAACTATAAATGGTAGGCTTACCCTGGCTTTTTCCTGGTGCGGATTTAATTTTTTTAAAACTGTCGGAATTGTGCAGAGTGATGTCTAGAGCTCTCTAGAATAGCTAAGTTCTGAAAACAAGCAAAAGAAACAGGATGGTGGTGCTAAAAACTTTCTGGAAGCCCCATACCTTGTTCTTGAAACCTTTTCCCTAATGGCAAATGGTCTGGGCATTATGTTCTCTCTTGGTAGCAATGAACATAGGAAGAGCCAGGATGCATCAGACAAATGGGCTGTTTCCGTCGGAAGGGAGCCAGCTTCTATGGAAGCTCACAAGCATAACGGCAATGGCCTTCTCTCTTCTTTATTCTCCCCTGACCCTGGGGTATAGTGCCTTTGCACATGGAAGCCCTACTCAGCTCCTATGACTATAAAAAAAGCTGCCTGTCCAGATGTTTTGAATTCCCTTCTGCCCCAGCTGGGGCTGGAGCTAATGGGAGTTGCGTTCCAAAACATCTGTAGCACATGTAGAAGGTTCCTTGTTTCCAGGCAGGGCTCAGAAAGGCTGAAATTCTGGACAGCCACTGTAGACAGAACTGACCAATGGTCTGAGTTGGCACAGGGCAGATTCCAGCTTTGCAGCTGGAAGAGGGCAGGACTGGGTCCTGTGGGGGTGTGTGTGAAGACCCTTCCTTGAGGTCTTCAAGCACAGGCTGGGCAGCATTCTGCAGGGGATGCTCTCGATCTCCAATTTCCTGTACAGTGGTACCTCGGGTTACATACGCTTCAGGTTACATACGCTTCAGGTTACAGACTCCGCTAACCCAGAAATAGTGCTTCAGTTTAAGAACTTTGCTTCAGGATGAGAACAGAAATTGTGCTCCGGCGGCGCAGCGGCAGGAGGAGGCCCCAGTAGCTAAAGTGGTGCTTCAGGTTAAGAACAGTTTCAGGTTAAGAACAGACCTCCGGAACGAATTAAGTATGTAACCCGAGGTACCACTGTACTGAGCAAGGGGTTAGCTCAGGTGGCTTCTAAGACCCCTCCGCTGTCAGGTGCTGGAGTCAGGGGTAGGTTAGCAATAAAGAACTTGCTGTTGGTGAAATTAACTCTTTGTTGAAAGAAACAAAATGGCTCTCTCCTAGTAGTCCCAGCAACCCTTCCCATTAGGTCTTGCCCCCATGAGGCAGTTGCGAGGGTTGAAGGTCCCTGCCTCCCCACTGCTCTCTAAGGCTCCTCCCCCAGTTCCTCCCCCAGTATAAAACTAGTGTCCACTATCCTGCCCTGCATGCTGGATTTCTTGATCTCTTTGCCAAACCTCAACAAGTCTGCTTTCACTGGGCAAAAAGAACAAAATCAGCCCATGGTAGATTCTCATTTTTTCAGTCTTAAGTTGAGGGTGCCACATTCCACATCAGTTTGTGATTATTATTTTTAAGTCATCATGAAAATCCACCAGCATTTTCAGTGACCATTTCCCCTACTATGGACATTTTTTTTCAAGCAAATGTCACTAATATAATGCATTTTTATATGTTGTCTCCTTTAATATATGTATTTTTAAAATGCACACTTTCTCATATAATGTCTTTTTGTGCATATTGTTTGGTTGGAAAACTGCATGGCAAAGTTCAGAGAAGTGTGAATTATAAAGGAGTTTTTTGTGTGACGTGTATTATTTTGGGAATTGCAAATGAGGTAGGTTTGCATCAAACCCTCAACCTTTCATCACTCTCGCGCCCTGCTACCTGTATCTCCTTGAAACTGGCCACGCTCTATTTGGGCTCACCACCATTCCTTTTATCCTTCATCCTCCCAGACTCCCTCTGGGCTCCTGTTTGGAAAGAGTTAACATCAGAAATGCTGAATGGGAAGAAGGAAGGGGGCTTGTTAATAATTCAGAAGGGGAGAGAGTTGTCTCTTGCTGCTGCTGGAGAAGGCGAGATGGTAATTGTACATCATCATCATCATTGCAAGATCTTGGCCTAAGCTGCAGGATAGTTTAATCCTTCCCCTTGAAATGCAGAAGGATCAGCGAGTCTCTGGTCACATACCCACCCAGCCACACAGAAACACTCCAAAGCTGTTTTACCCAGCGGGGAAGAAGGGATGGGTGTGCACCCCATACAAGGGCACTCTGGACCGGGTTTTTGTGCATGGGTTTATTCTGCAACATCATTAATGCAATAATTGTGGATTATTGGGTTTAAACTGGACCATCCACACGCCATTCCTTTTTATCATTTGGTCTGCAGTGCTTCCTGAATGTGATTGCATTAATGCAATCCGGAGGGGCCCTCTTGTGCTATTCTGCCGCAAAACAACTCTCCCAATCTGAACATTTGTGGTATGACACGATACAGTGGTACCTCGGGTTAAGTACTTAATTTGTTCCAGAGGTCTGTACTTAACCTGAAACTGTTCTTAACCTGAAGCACCACTTTAGCTAATGGGGCCTCCTGCTGCTGCCGCGCCGCCGGAGCACGATTTCTGTTCTCATCCTGAAGCAAAGTTCTTAACCTGAAGCACTATTTCTGGGTTAGCAGAGTCTGTAACCTGAAGCGTATGTAACCTGAAGCGTATGTAACCCGAGGTACCACTGTACATGATTTCAGCAGGAAACTGCAGGGCTGACGCACTGCTTGGAAACAAAGCAGTGCGTCTGCCCTGAAACCTTTTCAGGAGCAAACAGTATTGAAAGTGGGATTATATGATATAACTGTCCCATATAAGCTCATGAGCACAGATAATCGTGAATGCACAGTAAAAAGGACACCTGGAGGGGCCCATTTAGACAGGGCCTTTCAGGTGGCTGCTCCCAGACTATGGAACTCCCTCCCTAGTGAAGCTAGACTGGCTCCCTCCTTGTTGTCTCTCTGCTGGCAGCTGATTACTGTGCTGTTCTAACAGGCATTTGGGAACTGGCTGTTTTTAATGAAAGAGCTTGTGCTGTGCTGTTTTTATTGTAACTGTTTATATGGTTTTAATAGAATATATATATTGTTTTTTAATGATTTTTTTCTAGGTTCCATTTCCCACCCTGCATCCATTTCCCTTTACCGGCTCTCCTTCCTCTGTTCACACATGCCACCCTGTTACCTGAATCCATCTCTCTCATCTTCTGCTGACAGGCTAGGAAAAAAACGAGCTTAGCAATTCTCTTGCCTCCCTCCATCCTATCGCAAGTTTGAGGCAGTCTGGCTACAGAGGCAAGGAAGTTGGAGGAGGGGGGACAAGGGGAAAAATGCAACCCCCCTTCTTTACCCTTTGTCAAGGGCTGGAATCCCTTGTCATGAAATCAAATACTCCGGGAAGAAAAAGAAAGGAAAGGAACAAGAAAGTCCCAACCCCTAAGGGTGGAGCCATGAGTTGATGAGACAGTTTCTGCCTGGATCAAAGCAGTCTTGTTGCTGATGCTTATAAAACAGTGGGGGTGGGAGAGGGGACACACACATTCATGTACAAAATTGCCATGCTGTTGACCAATTAAAGCAAGGATGGGAAACCTTTTTCAGCTTGGGGGCATATTTATTTATAGAAGTATTTGCATCTTGCCTCTCACAAAACTTCAGGGAGTCAGACAACTGCATAAAAACATTGAAAAGCAACACAAACCCATCAAGGGATATTTTAGACAATTGCATAAGCCCAGTGGCATATTTTCTCCTGAGGGCCATATTCCAGTGGTGAGAAGGAACAGAGGCAAAATAAGATGGAGGAATAAGAAATGTACATTTTGCCTTTCTACTAGCAAGCAAAAAGGCCTTATCAGAGTTCAAAGGGCACATTCCAGCCAGGCAAAAACACTCAGGGTAGAAAGCAGGGCTGGTGAGGGGTGTGGCCTGAGGGCCAAATAGAATGGCCTGGAGGGCCGTATTGGCCCCTGGGCCTGAGGTCCCCTACCCCTGAATTAGAGAAATGTTTAGCCCAATTGATTAAACATATTTACCTTTTTTTAAAACCTTTATTTGCTTAGCATCTTCATATAGGTGCTTCTTTTATGAAATAGTGGGGATTGTGAGATAGAATCATGGAATTGTAAAGTTGGAAGTGACCCCAAGGATCATCTAGTCCAACCCCCTGCAATGCAGGGATCTCAACTAAAGCATCCATGACAGATGGCCAGATACATGTCAGTATAATGAACAGAGGCCAGTACACTGTTAGGTAGAAAGAGGCCAGAGAAGATTTCCGTTACTAACACAATGCTCATCAAATGGTGGACATGTAAGTGGAAGAACTGTTTTGTTTTGTTTTATATTTTGTCTCCGGGTTTGTTTTGGTTTTTTTAGCTATGACCATCTTTAACAGATTTTTGCTGGTTGCTGGGCATGCAAATAGGTTTGAGATGAGAATGGATGTTGGTAGAGCAGTTGTCGATGGCAGAGAGACACAGATGCTTCTTAAAGATATTTCACTGTGCTGTCTCTAGGGTGAAGGACTGGCAGGGGCTCTCATCCAGGTCAAAGGTTGCAGGTTCCCCAAGTTGTCAGTTACCCCCCTCAATTTTAGCTTTCAGATGGAGTCTCTGCTGAATGACAAAGTGGTTGAGGAAGAGAGACGAGGCATCATCAACCAAAAGTATGTGTTGCCATTATTTAATTCTTTATGCAGCCCTTTCTGTTGTACGTAGCACTTTGCAGCATAACCCCAATGGTCAGATTCCTGCCCCAAGGACCTCACAGTTGAAAAAAGAACAGACCATTGGCTTAAAGTGCCGAAATGCTCCGACTGAGAGTTGCTGGGGAGTGCACTCTTGCAGGCGAATCAGGGTTTCTGCCAATGGTTGGATAAATTGCCTGTGGTTGGAATGGGATGGTGCAGAAGTAGGCAGAGAAGAGATCAGGAAAGCTAGGAAGCCACCACTTGAGGGTTTTTTACATTCTGACTTGCTTTCTGGGGATTAGTTTCAGGTCCCAAAGACTCCTGTTACAGCTGATTCAACTGTAATCCTTCACATCAGCAACAAAAGAAGAGAAACTCAATGTCAATACTGGGCAGGCTCAGTCTTTCTCTTGGTGGAGGGGTGTCTGTGATCATGGCTTCCCCCCCCCCTTGCTATATTTAGCAAGTTGATTGATTCATCTTGGCGGGTCTCTTTTGTTGGAGAAGCTGTTTTGGAACTGCGTCTCTCTGCTGAACTAGGGAAAGGGTTTGCATGGAGAACTCAAGGGTCTTAGAGGGCTAACGTTACTGCCCCACCACTGTGCACTAACTTTTAAGCTTCTGCTCTGCTCCCCACCCTCACTCCTTGCCTGGAGATGGTACCTGCCTTCTTGGGTAATCTGGTTTGTGATTCTCCAGGCAGTGTAACACATTTGCCCAAGTGCAACGAGTTTCTAGATTTGAAGCTGAGCAAGAGGTCATCTCCATTAAATTGCTGAAAGTTGAGATCTTGCAAGAGTTCAGTTGCAGATCAGCAAGCTAACATATTTAGCAGATCCAAAAATGTTTGAAAGAACTTGACATCCTGCTCTTTTTTACTTTTAACAAGCACTATCAATTGCACGTATAGTGGTACCTTTACTTACGAACACGATCTGTTTCAGAGTGCGAACAGCACCCCAAAAAGTCCGTAAGTAGAGTGCGCTACTGCGCATGCGCGAAGCGTAACAGAGCACTTCTGTGTGTTCGGCAAACCTGGAAGTAAACACTTCCAGGTTTGCCACGTTCGTAACCTGAAAAGCTGCAACATGAAGCAAAAGTAACACGAGGTATGACTGTACTCAGAAGTTTTGTTTTGAACACACACATTTATGGAAAGTACAGTGGTGCCTCGCAAGACGAAATTAATTCGTTCCGCGAGTTTTGTCGTCTTGCGATGTTTTTCGTCTTGCGAAGCACGGTGTCGGGAAAGTTTTGGAAAAGCTTCAAAAATCACCAAAGTCTTTAAAAACCTCAAAAAAGGCTACCACACCGCATTCTATGAGTTGCTCCTCGAAGTCAAGTCGCAGCTGTATTAACGGTGTTAAGAAAAAGGAAACAAACTTGCAAGACGTTTCTGTCTTGCGAAGCAAGCCCATAGGGAAAATCGTCTTGCGAAGCAGCTCAAAAAACAAAAAACCCTTTCGTCTAGCGAGTTTTTTGTCTTGCGAGGCATTCGTCTTGCGAGGTACCACTGTATCTTAAATTAATTCTGCCTACCCTCCCTTTATGTTTGGAACTCCATCCCCCAAACACATATATGATCCTTGTCTGTCTGTCTCTCTCTCTCTCTCTTTTTTAAATGATATTTATTAAAATTTCAGAAACAAAAAATTACATAGTTAAAAAGAAAAGAAACAAGGGAAAAAATAAAAAAGAGAAAAAACATACAAAATACAAAGTACAGAAAAAAATATTAAAAACACTTAAAAACAAATTAATCCTTCCGTATCTTACATTTCATTTCCTTGCTTCCCTGACCTCCTCTCACCTCCCTTTTTTGTATTCCAGTTCAATTGGTTAATTCAGCAATTCCTTTCCCTCTTTGTTTTTGTCTTAGTCCTTTAACTTAATATATTATAGCTTTAGATTCTCACCTATTAACAATCCATTTTTACATACACCTTTATGACATTGCTGCTAAAACCACTTAACTTCATTCTGACATCATTCTAACATTCATTAATTTTGCAATATTTCTGTAAATAGTCTTTAAATTTCTTCCAATCTTCTTCCACCGACTCTTCTCCCTGTTCTCGGATTCTGCCAGTCATTTCCGCCAGTTCCATGTAGTCCATCACCTTCATCTGCCATTCTTCCAGAGTGGGTAGATCTTGTGTCTTCCAATACTTTGCAGTAAGTGTTCTTGCTGCTGTTGTGGCTGCCTGCCTGCCTGTCTGTCTGTCTGTCTCTCTCTCCAGCCTGCCTTCCTCTTTTTAAATCCCAGCTCAAAATCCCCTTCTTCGACAAATCATCTGGGGTCACTTCCAGACAGCCTGTTTATTGAACATTTGTTCTGATTTGCTTTCAGGGAGGCTAGACAATAGGTGCTGTTTACTGAGTATTTATTCTGATTGGTTTGTGGGGAAATTAGACAGCATCGTTTCAGGCAAAGGCATTTCCCCATCACTTTCCTTATCGGAAAAAGTTCAGCTTTGGGGGAGGGAGGATTGAAATTTGTTGTTTAAAAGCTCCATTGCACAATCTGAATTTGCACAACCTGAATTTGCTCATTTGTGATTGAATCTTACCCAGAAGCTCCCTGGCTTAACCCCTCTGCCCTCACCCATAATCAAAACAAACCTGAGATCCATGCAACAGCTATTTACTCCTAATTTGCACCTCCTTTCTCTCACCTCTCCAACTCCTCTCCTGTCTTGGATATCTTCTCCTCTCCCTTGCCAGTCAGTGTAGACAATATAGATCTCAATGGTCTGAGTTGGCATAAGAGAGCTATCTGTGTTCCTGTGCCTTAATTGCCAATTTAACTCTTTGGTAAACCACATGTCTTGCAGGATGGAGCTGCTAGGCATCTCTAGCTAAAAAACAAACAAACAAACAAACAGGTATCTGGTCAGTATAGCGCAGTGCTGGGGAAGTTGTGACCCTCCAGATTTTGCTGGAGTAGAACTTGTATCATCCTCGAGCATCTGGAAGTCCAGAATCTCTACCGCACCCCTGGGGTAGATAATACTGCTTTGCAAGGACCAGAGGTCTGATCTGATAGGAGGCAGCTCCCATGTTCCAGCTGTACTGCTGCTGCTCAGTTTCATCGGATGATCTTGAGTTCTAGAGTTATATGAGAGGGAGGAAAACTTCTGTCTGCACGCATTCCCCACACTGAACACAATTTAATAAACATCTTTTCGTGTCCTGTTGAGCAGCAAAGGACAACTGGGTGCCGTCAAGAGGAGACAGTCCTCTAATGCTACTTGGCTGTGCATTAACTGATACGATTCTGAAGTGTAGCTGGTAACTGGCATACTGACTTGTAGGAGCTGAGAGTCCCCCCCCCCCCGTTTCTTTAAACCAAGTGCTGTCAAATTGTCACGTACACGCATGTACCTAGTGTTGCTGCCTGTGGGTCTTGGGGGCAGTGCGCTGCCCTGGGAGATGGATGGTCTCTGCATGCAGTTACGCAAGCTTGTGGGCCAGTCTTTCCATGTGCCATATTTAGAATTGCTGGATCGGGGAAAAATATTTTTGCACAGTTCCCATTCCTTTGTCTTCAGCAATCTTTGTTTTCCCTTTTATTCATTTCTTTGCTAATTGTGCCAACTCCACCTTCCCCCCCCCCACACTTTTTTTCTTTTAAGGATGCTTGGATAAAAGAAGGGAGGAAGATTTGAAATAGCTTAGCTTACACTCTTAATCGGCCCATTTTTGGAGGATATAGCTGCATTGGTGAGAGAAACAGTTCTTTCAGACAGTATAATGTTTCTCTGTGGAGATTTCTCCCCCTCTAATTAGTAATGATCAAAGTCACTTTGCGATGTAACAACTGGCCATGATTCAGAGACGAAACGGTAACATTTTCTCCCGTTCAGCGCAAAAAAGTGCAAGTGTTCTTGATTGTCACAATCCACCATGTCAGCCCAACCCCAGGGCTTTGGGTGCCTCATGAAACTCTCAGTCCACGTATGGAGTTTCTTTGTTTTTCTTCTAATATCTAGCACTGACATTCCACCGTTCATCGAATGGCATTGACGCAGCTTGCAATGTAAAACGCTAATATACCAAAGATGAAACAGGAGCAGTAGAAACAGCGGATATAAATGGCAGATGAAACAAGAGCCAACAATTAAAAGCCCAAACAAAAGGCAGCATAAAAGGCAATTGAAAAGATCCATAGTACCATTTAAAGTCATTAATATGCATGTGAGAACAAGATGAACTTGGTGCAGCACCCAAAAATGGGAGTTGCATAATTTGGGTGCCACCACCAAAAAGTCTATTCTTTTTCTGACAGCCACCTGTCTGACCTCCAGGTGGCTATTCTTCAGCCCGGGGTTCCTGCAGTCTAGAACTGAAGCATGAAGTGCAGCAAGCAGTGGTGTCTGTTCAGTTCCACCAACCTCATTCCACTCTCAACCAGCCCCCATTCTTACTTAAAACCAGTCCAAGAGGTAGCCCTGCTTCCCAGCTTTCTCTTCCTCCTTAGTCTCTGTGTTGCTCTTGCAGAACACAGCAGGGCGGAGGAGGGAGACAGAACCAGAATTAGTTAGCTGTCTTTCAATGGCTCTAGTGCCACCTACTGTTGGGCTCCCTGCTTCCCACCCTACCAATGGGCTTTAGCCACTACAGTTCATTGACCCAGAGTGGGAGGCCAAGTTTTCCACATTCATCCCTGAGCCAAGCATTGCAAGCTTTAAAGGTTCTGTTGGTTTTGCAGCACTCTTTAAAAGAAAGCTCAGAGGGAACAATGCTCCCTGGTTCACCCTGTGGTCTGACACATCTTCCTCCCGAGGCCAAGCCAGGCAAATTTCAGCATGAGCCATCTCTTCTCTCCACACACCCCAGGAGTGTGGACTCTGTGACCACAGAGCCCTCCTTCCTCAGAAGAGACTGGAAGATATTGATATGTTTGGCTGGCAACTGGGTCTTGTTTGCTCCTTCTCTCTTTTCATTCATTCAGTTTTTAGAAACCGCCAGAATCGGCAGTATTGAGATCCGGCGGGTTTCTCATTTCAGGCGCCTGCTCTCGGACTGCAGCGGGGCGAGAATTTCACATCCTTTGCTGCGTGCCTTTTCTACCCAAGCTCCAGTTTTCCAGCCCAACTTGAGAAGTTTTCCAAAAGGCCAAAAGGACAGGACTCACTGTTTTCATTATTCTTTTAGTATCTCTCACGTGTTTCCAACAACACAAACTCTGCTACTGAGTTCATGCAGCCTGCAGAGTCCTGTAGTGAAGGTGTTTTGTGGACTGTGCCATCTCAGGCTGCAGCTGGAGAGGAGTCTGACTCCTTGTCCCAAGAAGAAATCTCCCTGCATGGAGAACTCTAGCATGCAGTGGAGAAGTGTTCACCCTAGCTTTCCTTGTTATCTGTTATCCCCCCCCATATGTACTTGGGAGAAGATTCAAACATACAGCTGGCTTTTCTACCCCCAGCCTGCAAAAGTTTTACTTCCAAACTTTGCTGATTGTACTTAACCTGTCCTCTGTAGCAGAGTTGTCAGAAATGGTGAGTGAAAGATATTGGGTTTTGTTTGTTTTTTAATAGAAATAATAGCAACAGCTTGATCCATCTGAAGCTACCTGTGAAGTGCTTGGGAGACTCTTGTGCAGGGGTCAGCAACCTTTTTCAGCCGTGGGCCGGTCTGTGGTCCCTCAGACCATTTTTTGGGGAAAAATGAACGAATTCCTATGCCCCACAAATAACCCAGAGATGGATTTTAAATAAAAGCACACATTCTACTCATGTAAAAACATGCTGATTCCCGAACCATCCGCGGGCTGGATTGAGAAGGCGATTGGGCCGCATCCATCCCACGAGCCTTAGGTTACCTACCCTTGGTCTTGTGCTTATAGGTCATTTGTTTGGAACCAAAAGGATGCCTCTGGTGCTCTGTGGAGTTTAATGCTGTTGGCTTGTTTTGCAACCTATATCCTGCTTTGTCTTCAAAAAGTACCCAAAGCAGTGAAGAAAACAAGAAGAAAATAACCACCCACCCATGAGAGAGAGAGAGAGAGAGAGAGAGAGAGAGAGAGAGACTGCAAGAACAGCAGCCAGCTAAAAGAACTAAGAGCTGCCCAGCAATAAAACTGCACCTTGGGGGCAGAAGAGCAGACCTTCCAAGCATGGGCGTAGCCAGGATTTTCATTAGGGGGCAGGCCTTTTGTTGAGGGCAGAACCTCAAGTTGCTATGTATTTTTCTTGATTTCTCTTGATGGGGGGCAGCTGCCCCTTCCCTCCTTTGGCTACACCCATGTCTCCAAGTGTCCCTATTTTCCAGGGATGGCCTCAGATTTGCAGAAGCCACCCCAGTTTCTGAGTTGATCCTGTAATGTCCCACTTTTCCTTAGGACTTCCCTATTTTCACTGGAGAAATTTCCAGAGGTTATGGAGTTATCTGACCCCCGAGTCATCTAAAGGCAGCCCTGTATAGGGAAGTTTTTTTAATGTTTGATTTTTATTATTATTTTTATATATGGTGGAAGCCGCTGAGAGTGGCTGAGGCAACCCAGTCAGATGGGTGGGGTAGAAATATAACAATAACAATAACAACAACAACAACAATAATAATAATAGATGTCCCTTTCGTTGGAGAAATATTGGAGGGTATGGAAGAGACCTCAGTCTGCTGGGCAAAAGCATTGCCAAAGAGAAATACCATCCATGTGAGGAATTCCAAACCCTGGGTTCAGCTAGTGAGAGAGTCTTCTTTTGCAAGGCCAAGGGGGAGTGTGTGTACATACTGTCATGAGACCCAGGGGCTTTGCTTTGTAGTCCTAGGTAGCTAAGGTTTACCTGTGAGTATAGTAAATGCCAAGCACTGTTCTTGAGTGGAGTCCTTTTCTGCTTAAGTTTACCTTGCATGCTGCATGGACAAAACTTGCCATGAAACTGGGACCCAGGGTTTAAACTGCGCCTCAGCACAGGAGCCCCTGGCTTCCTTTGTAGAGTGTTCCACATGTGACCCACCAATCAGGTTTGTATTGTGGCCTCCTGGCTGGACACGGCTGTATTTCCCCACCCACCCCAGTCTCAGGCAGGCAGCCGAAAAGAAAAGACTTGTCATGCTCCCGCTGGACTGTTTGTGCATGGCTGATGAGCAGCTTGGTCTGTGAGTCTACTGCCGACTTGCCATAAGGACTAGAAGCTTGAGGTTGAAGCACGGCAGAGAACTGATGGAGAAACTGGCCAAGGAGTGGTTGATAACAGAGAGCTTTGGGCTTAATGGGGGAATTCTGAATAGATGAAGGACTGCAGCTCTCTCCAAGAGCAAATCTGGCATGATTCAGAAAGACATGCATGGGGAATAGCTGCCACACTCCATGGAGTGCTGGCTTTATTCACAGCTGTGACCTCAGGGGCCATGACTGATCCCTCCTCCCCAAAAAAACTTTGCTGGTCATGCCAGTTATTAGTGCAATAATGGGATTCTGAGCCCCTTGTCACCACAAAAGTGCTTCCTTTCACCAGTCCCCAGAGAATGGCTACAAAGTGTCCCCCCCCCTTTTCTTTTTATAAGTGATTAAATATTTAAAATTCTGGCTCAACTCTGATAGCGCTCAGAATATTACAGGCTGTGTGCGTCTCTTGTTCTGCTTGTTTGAGATCAGCATTTCCCCTGGTTGCTGTTTAGGAAAGAAAGACAATGTGTAAAAATGGTTTTGTTGCTTCCCCTTGGCTAGCTGGGAAATGGACCAATCAGAAGGGTTTGGCTCCCTGTGGCTGAATTGAGCGGGGGGCGGCGGCCCTCAGGCTCAGGAACCAAAAGCGGCCCCCAAGACCTCTCTGCTTGGCCCTCAGGACCCTCTTCTTTATTGTCACGTATGCTGGTAGCTTATGCCACACCCTGTAGTGATGAATTCCACCTGGATTGTGTGTTGTGTGAATAAGCATTTCCTTTTGTCTGTCCTGAGCTTGCTGGCAGTGGGTTTTCCCTGAGCAACCCTGGTGCCAGCCTCCACAACTGCTGGAATTCCTACTGAGACACTCACCAGTTTTGGAGATTTTACCATGCATTGCTCCCAGACTTCTAACTTATCTTTGTAGGCTAGAAACTTAGGAATGTAGGAAGCTGCCTGAGTCAGACTATTGGTCCAGCCAGCTCAATATTATCTACACTGACTGGCAGCAACTCTCCAGTCTTTCAGATGGGGCTCTTTCCCAACCCCACTGAGAGGTGCCAAAAATCAAACCTGCAACCTTCTTGTATGCAAAGCTCTACTGCTAAGCTACTGCCCCCCCCGCAAAAAAATCCTTTAAAAATCTGTGAGGTTGTTTTCTGGATGCAATAGAGATTTCTGCTGGTCATTAGGTATTTGTCTCTCTTCTCTGATGTAGCCATGTCTTGGACTTGGTTTGCACATAAAGGGAGGGGAAGTGATAAAGTTCTAAGGTGGTAGAGTGCTGGGCAAGGATCACATATTAGAACACTTCCCTGGCTGTAGTTAAACATCCCTGCACTTAGAAAGCTAGCCCAGAAAGTGGTGTGGGCTAAAACGTCTCCCCCCTGATGTGCTAGCCTTCTACTTGCAGGGAGATTTTACTATTGCAGGAAGGTTGCTCCAAAGTGGCGCCTCCCGCTGACAGAAGAAAACTTTTCAAGCTTGCAAATTCAAGTCTCCATCACCTTCATTTCTCTTAAAGAAGCTGAGAGGCTTCAATAAACTAAGATAGGATTGGCATTTGGGGTGCATGTGTGGCTAGGAGGTTCAATGGCTTATCCCCCCAGATTTTGCAGCAAAAAAGTGTTGTGCCTCTAGCTCTGGTTTCCGAGACTTCCCAGGCTCCGTCAGCTGCTCCATGCTGCCACCTACGGGCCATGCCTCCCACCTGCAGCTTGGTCAGATGCACTGGTGGCGAGTTCTTGAGGGTTCTCTAAATTGTTGGTGCCTGAGGTGGAAACTCCAGCTGTCTTCCACAGGCTGTGACCCAGCGAGAAGTCCTTCTGAGGAGAGGGTTGCTGAGAATGCTGGGTTTTAGCTTCCACTTCCAAGTTTCCACCTGGTCTGTGTTTGATAAGACTCCAAGCCTGGCTGCACCAAGAGATGGCCAAGCGCCAAACGTACTCTCCCGCTCTCAAACATGGCCGCTCCAGTGTGAGTTATGTCCATCCTCCTTTGAGCATGGCCTGCCTTGGGCCTCCGCTGCTCCCTGGTACGCCCGTGCCCTCCTTTTCCAAAAGGAGCCTTCCTGGTTCCCTCTGCCCAGTGGCGAAGCTGCATGCTCTGCTACCAGGGGCAGAGAGCAGGCGGGGGCATGGCCAGCGCCCCCCAGGGGCATGACACGCATCCCTAGGGCATGACGCATTGCCCTCAGGAGCGTGGCATGCGTTCTGGGGGTGTGACACACAGTTTGTGGGGGTGTGGCACCCGGCACGTGCGGGGGTACATGGCGCGTGTCCAGGGGGACTGCCACAATGGCACCCTACCAGAAAAATGGTGCCAGGGGCAGTCCGCTCCCTCCGCACTCCTTTTCCTGTGCTAGTGCCTCTGCCACCTGACCGTTTTAATTGTAGGTGTTGGGTAAGGAACCTGAGCTCTGATCCCTCTCCATAGGCCAGTCCAAAGAGGACCTCACCCTTGCTCTGTGATGTTTGGCTGTGTGGTGTGGTGGTTAGACTACAACCTGCGGAGGGGGAAAGCGAGCGTTCAAACAACCCTCTCCATCATGAAGCTCCCTTTGCCCGCCCTACCTCACAGGGTTGCTAAGAGGATAAAGTGGGGAGGTGGAGAGCCAGGCATGCCACTCTCATATCCTTGGAGGAAAGCCAGCGCATAAATGTAATCCTAAATGCACACTTTTTTAAAAAAAGGAAGCCTTGCCAGTCTCCATTCATTTCTCCTTAACATTTATATATTATGGTGTGTGTTTTTTTGGGTTTTTTATATTTATTTATTTATTTATTTTAAAAACAATTTTCCTTTTAGAAATCCCAAAGTGGTTTACAGTGGTGGATTAAAAATATATCAGCACAATAAAACATTATTGATAAAACAGAGCAAAACAGTAAAATATAATAAAAACAGTACATATAGAGGGTTTTTTTGAGAAGTTAAAAAAAATCCAGCCCAGGAGATTATTTTATTTTTTATTTCGTAACATTTATACACTTGATTGTAAAAAACAAACAAACCTTCAAAGCTATTTACAAAAAGATAAGAAAAATTTGCAACCTTAACTTGAAACATACAAAAGCTAAAATACCAAAACAGATTAAAATTACACCAACTTTCTAAATCTGTGTTGAAACAGTGAAGAAAATCTTTGCCAAATAAACACTGCCACATTTCTTTCCCTGACCATAGAGTTATTTGATCTTGTATCTTATTTTCATATAGTACGTACAGGATGTGTTGTGGGGTCTTCTGACTAGTTCAGTGAGTTGATTTAGACTGAACTTTCTGACGGTAGCAGCTGTTTGACGGTGGAACTGCCTACCTTGGAAAGTGGTGGACTCTCCTTCCTTAGAAGTTTTTAAACAGAGGTTGGGTGGCCATCTGTCAGGGCTGCTTTAGCTGCGATTCCTGCACTGCAGGGGGTTGGACTAGAGCACCCTCAGGGGTCCCTTCCAACTCTCCAGTTCTATGATTCTATGAAAGAGGAAGAAAACAGTGTCAGAGGTATGTGCCATTGCCAGGCCGGGCTAATCTGTGTCCCCCTCCTCTTCTTGTTCCAGATTTCTCCTGGTCTTCAGCTGTCTGGTCCTGTCTGTGTTTTCAACCATCCCAGAGCATCACAAATTCGCCAACCAGTGTCTCTTCATCCTGGTAAGGGGGGCTCCTCTGGCCCCCTCCTCATCTGTCTTGCTCTCCTGTCTGCCCATCTTAAGTCTGTTCTTCATTCTTGCAAATCCCTTCTCCCCGCCCTTGGTTTTGCAATCCTTTCTCTTCAGGTGGCTTTGCTACAGGGCCAGCTCCAAGTTTGTAAGGAAGGGACTTAGGGACCCCCATTCCATTCCCTCCAAGAGGGTGGTAGCAGTTCCTTCCCACCATTCTCGGTTTGCTTGCCCCAGGAAAGGAAGAAGAAGAAGGAGAAGAGTTTGGATTTGATATCCCGCTTTATCACTACCCGAAGGAGTCTCAAAGCAGCTAACATTCTCCTTTCCCTTCCTCCCCCACAACAAACACTCTGTGAGGTGAGTGGGGCTGAGAGACTTCAGAGAAGTGTGACTGGCCCAAGGTCACCCAGCAGCTGCATGTGGAGGAGCGGGGACGCGAACCCGGTTCACCAGATTACGAGTCCACCGCTCTTAACCCCTACACTGGCTCTGGAATCAGAGCTTGACATCACTGGTCACCTTCCAAAGGTCGTGTCTCAGTGGGCCAGGCCTTATAAGCCCCGGAAGGCTCTTTTCCTTCTGCTGCTGCTGCTGCTGCTTCTCCTTTTCCTCTTCTCTCAGCAAACCAGAAGTGGAAGGAATGAAGTGGGTGAGGAGGAGCAGGTGCCAAGGAGATCCAGGGTGGTGCAGTGGTTAGAGTGCCAGATTACGACCTGGGAGACCAAGGTTCGAATGCCCGCTTAGCCAAGAAGCTCACTGGTTGACCTTGGGCCAATCACTGCCTCATAGCCTAACCTCCCTCACAGGGCTGTTGTGAAGATTAATTGAGGCAGGGGAGAACCATGTGTGTCACCTTCCGCTCCTTGCATGGGATGCAAATGCAATAAGCAAATATATAAATGAGGCCGCCCCTCTCCATTCCACCTACAGCAGCTGGCTGGCCTAATAACTGAACCTGAATTCCCTAAATGGCCCTAAATGGCCTTGGTCCAGTATACCTGAAGGAGCGTCTCCACCCCCATCATTCTGCCCAGACACTGAGGTCCAGTGCCGAGGGCCTTCTGACGGTTCCCTCGCTGCGAGAAGCCAAGTTACAGGGAACCAGGCAGAGGGCCTTCTCGGTAGCGGTGCCCGCCCTGTGGAATGCCCTCCCACCAGATGTCAAAAAGAAAAACAACTACCAGACTTTTAGAAGACATCTGAAGGCAGCCCTGTTTAGGGAAGCTCTTAATGTTTAATAGAGTATTGTATTTTAATATTCTGTTGGAAGCCACCCAGAATGGCTGGGGAAACCCAGCCAAATGGGCAGGATATAAATAATAATTTATTATTATTATTATTATTATTATTATTATTATTATTATTATTCCACACTGATGACTGGAAAAGCATCCTCTGCTTCCCCTGAGGACACAGACTAGTTTAGGAGGGGGCTGGGACAGGCTGTGTAGCAATGGAGGCTGGTCCTTTAGGGTAACTGGGGGAGCACTGCCCCACCAACCTCAGCTTACATCTACTTCCTGCCTCCTGCCTTGCAACCTTTGCAGGTGGTGGCAGCAGTGGCTGTCAGCTTCCTCCTCCTGGGTTTCAGTGTTGCCCTTGCAGAACTCAGCAGTGGGGAGGATGACGATGGAGACAGTTGCCTCTGGCGCCACCTGGTGCTGGCCTCCCTGCCTTCCACCCCAGTGAGCACCAGCCACCATTGCTGTGTTTGCAAGTCTACCCTCCAACAGAGGGATACTACCACAGGTCTTGGAAGGACAGCCAGGGAGTGGCCGCTACCGCCCCAAACCTCCGCTAATAGAGGCAGCTGTCTCGCTTGGCCTAATGGTAGGGCCGGTACCTGTCAGATGCTTTGCTTGTGGGCTTCCTGGAGGACTCTGGGTGCATAATGCTAGCTTAGCTGGATCTTTTGGTTCGATTTGGTAGCAAGATTCGTCTTCTTATAGCCGGCAGTCCTGGTGGTGAACTTTATCCGTGTGGAAAAGGCGGGTGACAACTTGGGGAAGAGGGAAGGGCGACCAAACCCAGGGGGAGGGGGTGGGCGAAAAGAATCTTTTAAAAAAGCAACTTTCCCCCAAACTGTCAGAAACGGCTGACGCTGGAATTCTCCCGACTGAGATGGAGACTAAATTAAGAAGGTCCGTGTGACTTTCCCTCTAGTAAGCAAAATAGGGGCTTGTTTGTGAAAAAGGAAAGAAAGGAAAGGGAGGCGACGAGGCAGGACAAAGCTGACACGACGGGAAAACGTGCCCTTATTGACTAGTGCTCCAAGGGTGCAAGAAAGGGATGCCAGCTCATACGGGCTTCCTGGGCAAGGGTGCTGAAGTGCCACGCTGGCTTTCCAGTCAGACCAGGAAAGATGGAGAGGCTTGTGAAGCTGCCATCTTTGAGGGAAGGGTTATAATTCATTGGCAGAGCATCTACTTTCCATGCAGAAGGTCCCAGGTTCAATCACTGGCATCTCTGGGCTGGCAATATCTGCCCCCCCCAGCTGAAACCCTGGAGAACTGCTGCCAGTCAGTGTGGACAGTACTGAGCTAGATGGAGCAATAGTCTGACTCAGTAGAAGGGATCTTCCTTTGTTCCTATTTAAACCATCCCTTTATTTGGAACCATGAGGGCTGGAATCTTACTTTAGCAAAAGGGAAAGGCCAAAGCTCAGTGCCAGAGCCCCCGCTTTGTGCACAGAAGCCCCCAGGTTCAGTCCCTGGTGTCTGCAGGAAGGACTGGTAATGTTCCCCATCAGAAACTCTGGAGAGAGCTGCTGGCAGTCAGTGCTGACAATACTGAGCTGGGTGGACCAAGGGTCTGGCTTGCTATAAGGCAGTGTCAGGGGACTGCCATCGGGACAGGGGAGGGAGGCAGGGGCATATAGAGAGCCTCCCACGCTTCTGAGGAGCAGCTCCTTGTCCAACTGTGGGGAAAGCCACACCTCCAGTGGAGCAGAGACGAAATGGGAAAGCCAAGAGAGGGGAGGGCTCGAAGATGCTACTGAGAGCCCAAGCGCCTCATCTAGCCTGGCTGGCCAGGAAACAGGCACGCCATTTCCGTCGCCCAGTTTGAGCAGAGGGGTGAAACATAAGGAGGGGAGGCGGAGATTTGGGGTGTCTAAATATTTATGCTGGGGGAGAAACCGGAAGGGGCCACTCCCAGAATCTGCAAGTGACTAAGACGGACATGAACTTTGTGGTTCTGCACTGTAAATAGTTTGCACAATAAAAATCTGCTAAAGACAGGTTGGAGTCCTGCCTGGTTACTCGTGAGCAACCACCTCACCACCTGACAGACAGATTAGCTAAGTGTAAGGCAGATTCCTATGTCCCCACTGCAGTGATTAACTTTATGGATAAAAGGTTGGGTTTTTTCAGTTACATGAGAAACCATGGCTCCATACCTCAGCTGTACATGGAAACAGCTGCCGCAATTCCTTGGCTTGAAACAAGAGTGTCCTGGAGCAGACTCCCCTGTAGCTCAGTGAAAGCCTCTGCTTTGCAGGCATCACCAGATGGGAATGGGAGAGACTTTTTTTCCTGGAACCCTGGAGAGCAGCTGCCAGTCAGTGTTGACAGTACTGAGCTAGATGGTTCAATAGTCCAACTCTGTATAAGGCAGCTTCCTGTGTTCCTACGAATAGGCCAACCAGGCTGGTGCTCACAAGTGGCTTTGCAGCTGAAGTTCTCTGGGGGCTCTCATGATACATCCCCCAAATATCTATTCGAAAGTGAATTCCCGGCATCGGTGTAAACCAACTTCCTCCACCTTCTCCAGAAGAGATCCTTTGTTTCCTGAGGTCTGGCCTTTGCTTGGGAGAGGGATCAATGATTTGCAATGAGGACATTTATATTTAGAAAGCAGGTCCCTATGCCACCCTCCCCTTTCCGGATTCTAATTTCTGCTTGTGGGGTCCACGGGGCCTGCCGAGGTGGCCTGGTCACTGGGCTGTGGCAGAAACTGCGGGGGGGGGGGGAGAGAGGTCTCATTCTGCGTGGCTTGAACTGACATTTGTTAGTCGCATAAGGAGGAATCTTTTAGCTGGACTTCTGGTCTGATCCAAGCCCCACCTGGTCCAATGTCCCATTTCAGCCAGCCTGTTAAGATGCCTCTGGGAAGCCATTAAGTGGGAGCCTCTTCCTGCGGCTCATTCCCTGGGCCTGACATTCAGAGATTATGCTGAATGTCTCTTGAACATGGAGGCTCCATTTTAGTTGTCATGAGTAATCAAAGAGGTATTTATTTATTAGATTCCTTGCCCATCCTTTACTGTGAGGTCCCAGGTTAAAACAACAGAATATTAGATTACAAGGATAATACCAGGTTACGACCACGGTGACAAATTAAGGTTACAACAATGCAATATTGAATTATAAAATGCAGCCGCCACAGCCATAAAACACATTATCATGAGTTTGTTTAAAGTCTTCCAAATTAACAGCTCTCTCTTAATTTTTACGGCAGCAAATTTTGTAAGTTAACTGTGCATTATGAAAGACCGTTGCTTTGCTCTGGTTTTATTTTTCCTTTTTTATAGGGGTTCAATAGCTGTCTTTAATATGCTTTTGTGGGAGGAGGTGTAGCCTGTCTTATGGTACAGTTGTCCTGAAAGGTGAGGTGTAAATATTTTATTAAATACAATATATGAGTGCGAAGAAGCATGTTCCTTTATTGATTTTAAACTTAGCCACATGTCTGCTTATTTGCGTGACTTTCAACACACACACACATATGGGGGGCAGGTTCTTACAATTACTGTTAATGGAGAGTGATTTCAAAAGTGTTTGGTAGCTTTCTCCTGCCTGGTTTCCCCTTCTCCCAAACCCCACACCTGATTTTTTCTCTTCCTCTCTCCTCCTTTGCAGGAATTTGTCATGATTGTGGTTTTTGGCATGGAATACATCATCAGGGTGTGGTCAGCCGGCTGCTGCTGCCGCTACAGAGGCTGGCAGGGACGCTTTCGATTTGCCCGGAAACCTTTCTGTGTCATAGGTACGCCTTTCGTTTTGCCCTATAGCAGCCAGGAGAGAAGGAGGAGTCATGGGAAGAGACATAGCAATGGGACAAGGCATGCACAGCTGGACCACATCTTTGCACCGAATGTGTAAACCACATCCACCTGTTAGCCACCAGACATCAGGAGCAGCAATCTGTTATCCTTGATCTAAGCACTCAGATATGCACTGCACTAAGATCAGGAGATAATTCTTTGCCTGCTGCCTTTCAAAGAGCAAACAGAGCTTCATTTCTGATCTTAGTGATGTGCTGAGATCAGATATAAGCCTGTACCTGCTGCTGTGGCCTGAACTTTGACCCAGGGGATGCCATATGACATCAGGTAATTGACAGATAGGTGGCCCCAACCTGCCCATCAAAAATGGTTCACAGAGGGTGAACCAGTTCTGGATGGGGCCCTCTGCCTGTATCTAATTCCCCACCGCTGATACAAGGCTAGCCAGCAACATTGTTCTTGGGGTAGTGTGCATAGAACGGTAACATACAATTTAAAAAGACAATTTCATATTTTATTTTATTTTTTTGAATAACCCAACTCGCAACATAAAATTCATTTTCTGTAAGAAAGGAGAATAAAAGCAGACAATTCAAAAGTACATCATGCAGCTCGTAAACAGTGGCTGAAAAAGTTAAAATTGTATATTTGTAAAAAATAAATAAATGCAGGTTGTTAAAAAAGAATAAAAATGTTCCAGAAAGACAGCAAGGCAGGCATCAGATAGGGTGTCCCACGGCTCAGCTACTACCGCTGAAAAGCCCTTGTGCCTGTTGCTTCCCTTCGTGGGGGCACCTGGAACAAGGCCTCTGAAGATCTAAGATATATATAAGAGAATATGATTTTTCAGGGATCTTGTTCTCAAGCTACTAAGGGCTCCAAAGGTTAATAGCACCCAGAAACAGTGAGATCCTAGATACAGGTGATCTTAAGCCGTATAGACCTTATGTTCCCCTTTCACGGAAGGTTTTTAATACCTTCTTCATGATTTGAATAAAGACATCCAAGTTGTTTTACTGCAGTTCTTAAAGAGCTCTGGGCAGCCTTTATCTCAGCCCTGCTTTGTCCTTTAGAGACCCACATTTTTCTTAATTTTTGCTGAGCTATCAAGTTCTCTTCACCAAGGGCGGCCTTGAATGCCACCTACTGGAAGTCCTGAGCACTGCATGCATTGCATAGTCTTACTCGCTTCGCCGCAGGAGAGCTGGTGTAGCCCTTTGAAAAGAGAACTTTAAAAATAGTTCCGTTGCCCCAGTCTCACAGCAGTGTCACTGTACAGCACGCCTTGCCCCAAGAGGTTATGTTATCTTCCTCCTTTCTATTCTGCCTACAACTGAAGATGCTGTTTTTAAAACAAGCTTTTGATTCCATGTGGTTCAGTTTAAGTAATTGCTTTTGACTTTTGGCTGTTTGGATTCTTGTTTATTGATGCAGCTTTTAGTTAGACAGTTATACTGGATTATTGTTATTTTTATGTCTGTTTTTATATTTTGCAAGGTGCTTTGAATTGCTCTTGCAGTTCAGTGGCAGAGCATTTTATTTGCATACAGAAAATCCCAGGTTCAGTCGTCCACATCTCCAGGCAGAGAGGAGAGAGGCCTCTGGAGAGCCACTGCCAGTCAGTGTCAACAGTATGGAGCTAGATGGACCAGTGATCTGATTCAAAATAAGGCAGCTTCCTACACCCGAGGGACACATTTTTATACAAATAATTTAAAGACTTTTCATAGTTCAAGGATGTGTGCGTCCCTGTCGCCCCATTAGAACGTAAACATCCTGTGAATCTCTCTCTCTCTCTGTGTGTGTGTGTAATTTTGGCCCAGTTGCAAATCCTTGTTGGTGCTTCAGATGACCAGCTTCTGCGCTTAGGCAGAGGGTTTTTGCTGAACACACAGGGGACCGGCCCACCCCTTGGGCCCTGGATCATGCTTGCTTTCCCCTTCTCTTCTTCTGTTCCAGATTTCATCGTTTGCATTGCTTCTCTGGCCGTCATCGCTGCTGGCACCCAGGGGAACATCTTTGCTACCTCGGCACTGCGCAGCATGCGCTTCCTACAGATCTTGCGCATGGTGCGCATGGACCGCCGTGGCGGCACCTGGAAACTCTTGGGCTCAGTGGTTTATGCACACAGCAAGGTGAGTTGGCAGCCTGAGGCAAAAATAGAAGGTACAAAGCACACTGTGGGGGTGGCCATGTTTGAGGTGTGGGAAGAAAGAGGCTCAGTTCCAGCGCTGCAAAGACCTAAAGACCTTCAGCCTCTCATTTGTCTTCAAGAAGAGTCTTGCTGCCAGATTAAGCCAAAGGCCTATCCAGTCCATCATCCTATTCTCATAGTAGCCATCCACATGTAGACAGGAAACCCACAAGGAGCACCTGAATACAACAGCACTCTTCCACACATGGTTGCCAGCAGCTGGTATTCAGAGGCATACTGCTTCCAATGCGGAAAGTGGTTTTAAATCTTTTTGAGGATGACTATGAGACTGAAAAAAATTTGAATCATCAGGGGTTCTCAACCAGAGGCAGATGGATAAACCTGTTTCCATTCTATGGCATTTTGCTGTTGCCCAATCAAAGGTCTGTCCCATGTCAGGTTTCACAGATTTTAAAAAATAGAAAGCACAAAAATTTCTACATTTAAATTGTACATATTCTGCATTGTACATGTATTCTTCTTCCCCTAAAATGCACATTTTTGTATGCTTTCCAATGCATAAAATATATGCTGTCTTTCCTCCTTTTTAAGAAAATGTGTAGTACATCTTTTGTGTGCACATTTTTGGGGCACTGCAAATTCTGGAGAAGTGCATAATCTGAGTGATAGTTGCATTCTGTTCCAAAAGAAATTTTGGTGACAGAAAACTGGGTCTGTCAGTTGCAGAGATTAAATTTCTTCTCCCTCCCTCCTCTCAGTACGCCTGCTTCCTCTCTGAATAAGCAATGATGTAAAGCAGCAAAGCTTATACGAAGTTCCAGGAGACCACACGGTCTCTTAATAAGATCACTATTTGTTTGTTTGTTTGTAATATTTCTCACTTGCCCTTCACTGTAAGGTCCCAGGGCAAATCACCAAAAATATAGCACACAATTATAAAAACAGATAAAAATGTTGCAATTAGAAAACAAAGCAAGATACAGTGGTACCTCAGGTTATAGATGCTTCCAGTTACAGACACTTCAGGTTACAGACTCTGCTAACCCAGAAATAGTACCTCAGCTTAAGAACTTTGCTTCAGGATGAGAACAGAAATAGTGCAGCGGCAGCGGGAGGCCCATTAGCTAAAGTGGTACCTCAGGTTAAGAACAGTTTCAGGTTAAGAACGGACCTCCAGAACGAATTAAGTTCTTAACCTGAGGTACCACTGTAATTCCAAATGGAACAGAACTAAGTAGAGAGAATTGGCATGGACTATATATCAGAGTGGCCTTCTCATCTTCTAGTGGGAATGATGATGTGTGGCATCCAAGCCAGCCAGCCAACTCCTCCAACAGGAGACTAGAAGCTATTAGAAACTCAAGCAGGGCATTCCACTCACCATCTGCCCAGTTTTCCGTTCTCCTTTTTAAGTGACGTTCAACTTTCTGTGGACACGTAGCATGCTCAGTCATCATTAGGCTGGTTTGGGGTGTGTCTCTTTGGGAAGCTGTTTTTCTTAAAACCGTACTTCTGCAAAGCTCAAGGTTCCCCTGAGCATGCTGCTATCTCCTTGTGTGGATTTCAGAGCCCCCCCCCCCCCGGAGAAACAACTGAGTGACTCCAGAGAATCGCCAACCATGTGTGGCTTTTGTAGCTGGAGAAACATTGAATGACTCCAGAGAATGGCCAGTCATGTTGCGGCTTTTGTAGTTTAGGATGGCCTTTCTTTCTTGGTGCTTTTCGGTAGAAGAGCTCCTGAATCTTGCACTCTGTTCCATGACTTAGGTTTCTGTGTCCTATTCCTTTGGTTTTCTAGCTGGCTTTTTATGTCTTCAGCTAGGACTGCTTTGCTCCAAGTTCCTTTTCAGGTTACTTGCTGAAGTTCACTTTTGTGTGTGTGTGTGTGGGCAGGAGCTGATCACAGCTTGGTACATCGGTTTCCTGGTCCTCATCTTCGCCTCCTTCCTTGTCTACCTGGCAGAGAAAGATACCAACAAAGATTTTCTCACCTATGCAGACTCACTCTGGTGGGGTACGGTAAGTTAGACATCTTTTTGATCTCGCCTGCTCTTTCGTCTTGGGATGGGCAGGGAGGGAGAAGAAGTTAAGTTTGTGGGGAGATGTTTCAACTGACCTGTTGAGAGCATGCTGGGTGCTTAGGATATGTGGAGGACCAGGCTATCAGAGACAGTATGCTAGGAACTGCTGGAATCACAAGTGGGGAGAGTGGTGTTGTGCTCAGGTCATGTTTGTGGGTTTCCCATAGGCATCTGGTAGGCCACTGTGAGAACAGGATGCTGGACTAAATGCTGGTCCATAAAGGTCTGTCTTGTATTCTTAAGATGCAGGGGGTGGGAATGACTGAGTGCGGAGAATATCCTCCATAGTCTAGGGAAGGGGAAGAAATTGACTTCAATTTGCCATTTAATATGAAGCTGCCTAATTCGTGCTTCCCATAACAAAGCAAATGGCAGCCATCCTTTGAAATTCACACTTTTTGAATTTTGTAATGCCAACCAAAGAGATGGGTGCAAAAATGCATATATTAAGGGAAAGTGTGCATAAAAATATACATGAATGAAGCAAAATGCTGAGCTTGCCCTTTTACATGTACTGTTTAATGCTCACCCTTACACTTACAAGGAACCCATCATATAGTGTGACAGTACTTAATTTCTGAGACTCCTTTCCTGTTAATATTAGGCAGGTACCCTTGTTGTATTTTTTTTTTAAGCCTGCTAGAAGCACTTTCATTTAGGCAATCCTACCCAGATGTGTACTTTTTTATTATGAATATTTTATGCTGTTTATGTAAGCAGCTTAGAGCTTTTTTATTTTAAGCAGTATATATACATCTTGTTGAATTAAAAAAAAACTATGTTAAGGGAAATGGCTGGTAAAATTTGTACATTAGGCAAAGCTGCAAACAAAAATGTGTGTATTAGGAATACACACACACACACACACACACACACACACACACACAGAGTGAGGACTTTGCTAAAAAGCCAAGCAAACTGATGAGGAAATAAGAACATAAAAGACCCCTACAGGGGTTTCCTGCAGCCAATCAGAAGCCACGCTTTGGTTTTCAAACGTTTTGGAAGTCAAACAGACTTCCGGAATGGATTCCATTCGACTTCCAAGGTACAACTGTACTTGATAAAAACCAGAAGGGTCCAGCATCTTTTTCTAAGAATGGCCAACCAGATGCCCCAATGGGAAACCTGCAAGGAGGGCCTGAAAGCAACAGCCGCAACTCTCCCCATGTGAAATTCCAGCAACTGGCATTGGGAGGCATAATGCCCAGTGCATAATGCACAGAATGTAGTACATTGCCGACATGCTTAGTAGCCATTGACAGCCTTATCCTCCATGGAATTGTCTAATTCCCTTTTAAGGCCATCCAAGTTGGTGGACGTCACAACCTCTTGTAGGAGCATATTCCATTGTTTCACTATGTAATGTGTGAAGAAGTGGTTTCTTTTTGCTAGTCCTGAATCTTCCAACATTCAGCTTACTGGTAATTGAATATTCCTGAGTTCTAGTATTAAGAGAGAGAGAGAGAGAGAAACCTTCTCTTTTGCCACACTATGCTCCCCACCCCCACTTACACACCTTTTATTTAAATTGAAAAATTCAAAATGTTTGTAACCTTTCCTCATAGGGGAATTGCTCCATCCCCATGATCATTTTGGTTGCCTTTTTTTGAACCTTGCCCAGATCCAACTGGGGGTGAGGCAACCAGAACAGGACACCGTATTTCAAATGACACCGTAGATGTTTGTAACGGTATTATGGTGCCGGCGGTTTTATTTTCAGTTTTGTGGTGAACTGAAGTTAAGAAATGAAAAGTGTTGTGTACCTCTCAGCTGCACCCTCTGAACGTGTAAAGGAACCAGAAGTTGACGTGAATCGAGAGGATGCCAGCCTAGTCCTAGCCAGTCATCCTGACTGAGATAGTTCAGTCAGTAGAGAGTGAGACTCTTAATCCCAGGGTTGTGGGTTTGAGTCCCGTGTTGGGCAAAAGATTTCTGCATTGCAGGGGGTTGGACTAGATGACCCTCATGGTCCCTTCCAACTCTTTAATTCTATTCTATTCTATTCTATTCTATTCTATTCTCAGATGTTGTTGGGCTACATCTCCCATCAGCCAGCATGCCCAATGGTCAGGGCTTGCGAGGGCTGCTGTCCGACAACCTTTGGAAGCTGCCAGGTTGAAGGCAGGGTGATGGCAAAGGATTTGTATTGATATCTCCTCTTCTGCTTTCAGATCACACTCACCACCATTGGCTACGGGGACAAGACCCCACAGACGTGGCTGGGCCGGGTGTTGGCAGCCTGCTTTGCCCTGCTGGGCATTTCCTTCTTTGCTCTACCTGCTGTAAGTAGGTGCCAATGAGACCTGGGGGAGAGGCTAACAGGGATGGCAGACTGGTGGGTAGGGGAAGTGAGGAGACACCAATGCCCTTGTCTGGCACAAGCAGGTGGGCTGGTGGGCTTTTCCAAGCAGTTGATGGGGCTCCTCTTCCGAAATTAGGCCTTGACCTCTATTTTCTGGCTCCATTTCTCTTTTCCACACAGGGGATCCTGGGCTCGGGGTTTGCTCTCAAAGTCCAAGAGCAACATCGGCAGAAGCATTTTGAGAAGAGACGGACACCGGCGGCCAACTTGATCCAGGTGGATAGAAAGGAGAGAAGAGTTTGCCGCAAGGCCCTTCTCCAGCTCTGTGGGTGGGCTGTGATCCTGGGATTTCCCCCCACTTCTTTGTTTGTGATAGCCAAATCCTTGCCCTTGTAATTGTGGGGGTATGCTTGGAAGGGTGTTGACAACACCTCATGGAATGGCTGGAATAATTCCCCCAAATAAACTAAGTGTTACTTATTTAGAATCACAGAATGGTAGAGTTGCAGGGACCCCCAAGATTCATCTAATCCAACCCCCTGCAATGCAGGAATCTCAAATACAGAATCCCCTCAAAACATTTTTACCCTGCTCTTTAGGCTCTCACAGTTGCTTATGGAAATCAGCTAAAAGGCATGGCACACGAGGAAGGAGGGATGTGGGGAGAGGAGGAAAAGAAAAAGCAAGGCCGAGCAGCAGTTTCTTAAAGTAATATAGCTCCTCCCCAGGACAAACAATATGACAATGCATTATGCAAAATAAGAGAAATAAGCAAATTTGCATGGATCACAGTGTGGAGCTTTTCTTGGCGCAAAAGGAGGGCACAGCTTAGTGGCAAAGCATTCCTGGCAACGGATCTTGAGTTGGGAAAAAAGTTACTCTGCCTGCCTTGGAAAATTGACGACAGTGGGAACAAGGTCTCACACAGATTTCCACTTGTCTCATTGCTTTCTACTGGGAAAACCCATGGTTTAGCACTGATTGGAACAAACAGCAATTGGGTTTTCTGCAGATTGCCAGATTCAGTGGTAAACAGCAGGTTTTCCTGGGGAAAGCAACAGGGCAAATGAAAAACCACTCTGCCCCATGCCTAGAAAGCATGGAGCAAGCCCTATGAATCATTGCTAGTAGAGTAATGGTCAAGTGGGAGGGGTCCCAGTTCACAGTACAAGATTGTGCCTAAGGTCCCAGGTTCAGTTGCCACTCTCTCTGGATAAAAATATCTCATCAGGGCTCAGAAAGAAAGGCTCCCTCTCTCTTCCTGAGATCTCAGAGAGCCACTGCCAGTTGGAAGAACAATGGAAGCCCTATTTAAGGAAAATGCAACTCCAGCCCCCTTCTCTTGCTTAAATACAATAGCTGAGCATGTCATAGGAAAAGGTGGTGGGTGGGAATCCCTTCAGCTTTCCCCAGGACTCTGGTTTTCCTATGAGCTCAGCATGTTAACCCTATCAAAGCTGGATCCAAAGGGGAAACTGATAAAGCTAGCCAGGAAACCTCCTCCAAGTCCTAGAGGTTTGGGTGTAGATGGCCTATCTCCCATGGTTACGTTTATTATTATTTTTCACATAAGAAGCAGATTTTTACCTGAAACATAGAAACCCTGGAGGCTTTAGCCTATTGGCCCATCTAGCTTAATATTGTCTACACTGACTGGCAGCAACTGCCCAACTCCCAGCAGCCCTTGCAGCCAGCACAGCCTGTGGTCAGGAGGATGATGGGAGTTGGAGTCCAACAAGCTCTGGCATGCCCCTGGCTGGTTCCCCTGCACAATAATATCATTTATTAAATTTATATCCTGCCCTGCCTCCCCAAGAAGCCCAGTGTTGCAGTTTGGTCCTTTCCCTGTTCATCCTTGTTCTATCTGTGACCTCCTTCTTGGCCCCTTTTCCCCTCCCCATGTTGCATGCTCACACCCAGTTCCGATTCAGTTTTTCTTTGGCTGTCCCTCCATCTGCCCTGCATTTTATAATATAGAACCTGCCATCGGGGCAAAGAACAAAAATCCTGGTGTATTAGCCATGTGCCTAGATTGTTTCCCTCCCATTGTTGCTGGAAAGGTGATGCTTCTGACTCCCGCGTTATCTCTCTGGTTCAGAGGACTCTTGTGACAAAGGGGACCCCTCCTGCCCCTCCCATCTCCTCCTGTCAGCTTTCCTGCTGCCCCACTGCTAAATGCAACTCCAAGTTGCCTTTCATTCGCTGAAAGGCCAACAGCTGGAAATGGACAGTGAGCGAGACAAAAGGGGAACACACTCATTGTTTCAGCACACAAAGCAATCGCAAGGACGCAGCTCTCTGCCCCCTTTGCTCCCGAAAAGGGCTCCTCTGTCCTTTCCCACCTGATAACGCCGGCCAATTCAGAAAGCCTTGCTTTCTGGAGCAGATGGAAAATGACGATATGGCCATCCACTTTCTTCCACAATCATTCCTTATAGAGCATTTCCCCACCCCCAGAAATAAATAGGAAAAGGTTTGGGAGAAACATCTCAGAATATTGAGCTGCTGTAATTTGAGGACTCCTGGGAGAAGATTATGGGCTCATCATCCTCTGGTTTAGGCCCCAGCCCTATTCTCTGCCCTGCCCCCCTGCCTCTGCCCCAAATCCTCTCTATGGGTTTGAGCGTCTCGTACTCGAGGCATCTGATCAAATGAAACAGATTAATACTGGAATGTGTGATGAGACAAAGCATACGTTAGGGCCTCTGTGTTAGACTGAGAAGTATAATGTCTAAAGCCAGTTCACAACAATGTGACTTTCCAGCTGGGCCATTCCTACCATTGTTGTGGAGCCCAGAGCTGAATACACTGAGTGACATGCCCCACACCTGCCTAAGGTATCCAAAAAGTCCCGGGTTCAATCCCCGGTTTCTCCAGGTAGGGCTGGGATAAGTTCCTTGCGTAAAACCCTGGAGAGCTTGCTGTCAATTCTGAGACGGTTCTGAGCTAGATGGGCCAATAATCTGACACCTGAAGGTGTGGTGAAATACGGTCTGTATCTGTATGTGGAAGGGGACACAAAGGGGAGCTCCTTTGTCCATTGCCCCATGCAGCAGAACCCCTTTTGCTATGGTTTGCAAATCAGAAGCCGGCTTTGTGAATGCAGGCCAGCACCACCACTCCCTTCATTTCCCAGCGTTAAACATGGCTTCGTGTTAAATGCCCTCTGTGATTTACAGAAATCAGATTCCCTCTTAATCATAGCTTCAAACCACGGGTACCATTTCAGTTTTGTAATAGAACCACAACTGCCACTGGTGCCCATGTAAAGTGAGACCATATTTCTGTGAAGAGAGGGGGCAAGTTGCTCTGAAAAGTAAAGGAGGAAAATGGTGCTTGCATTGTTTGTGGACCACTCAGAGATTCTGTTACATTACAGTATGCAAGTATAAATGGATAAATACATAAATGGAGAGTGAATCTTTCATCTTGATTTGCAAAGACAGCTGCCTGGGACACCTGTGGGGTAAAAGGCAGCAGATTTTGGCCCCATTTCTGCCAAAGCAATAGTGCAATTCCTTCCCTGTGAAGCTTTTTCAAGGTTTACCTTTAAAATCCAGTATCCTTTTTCCAACAACGTCTGGCCAAATGCAGGTTGGGTTGGTGGGTGAAAATATACCTGGTCTTCTGTATTAGAAAAAGAAGTGTACAGACCATATATTCAAAGCACATCCACACACACCCCTCCAGAATCCTGGGATTTGTAGTTTACCCTTCAGGGATCTACAATTCCCAGTACCCTCAACAAACTACAGTTCCCAGGATTTGGGTGTGCTTTGAATGTATGGTGTGTATGCAGCAAAAGATAGTCCCGGTTGCAGTTTTAAATTGCTGTGTTTTTGTTGCAGTTTGGTGGTTTTACTCTTATCTTGTTTATCTCCTGTAACAATACTGAGGTGGAGTCTATCTTGCATGTCTTTTTTAACTGTAGTTTCTCCCAAGGGACTAGGAAAGCCCTAATATATCCCATTATACAGTCCCTTCCTGGCTGCTTTTCTGAGTCTCTCATGATCACTTAGCTTCAGGCTCCAGTAAATCACCCACAGCACATTTTTTAAAATGGCCATCCTTATTAGACCACTTCTGATTGCCTTATAAATATAGGGACACTATTTAGTTTTTTTAAACAAACAAACAAACAAACAAACAAACAAACAAACAAACACAATTCTGTGTTTTTTAGTTGTATTCATTGTATTTTCTATTCATTTTTTCTTAAAAAAAAAATTTGTTTTCCCCAAATTGTTACAAATCAGACCAGATTACCGGTACTTAAATTTAATACAATTTCTTAAAATCAGGTTTCCAGCTCCTGTTGCAAACATATGTTGATCATTTCCTCCCGAAGCCGCATCTTCTCTTGTTTAATGTCCAGTCATCATCCTTCACTAGACGTTAAATTGCATTTGTTATTAATGCTGTTAATTGCTGATTTCAAAGAAAGGAAGGGAAGGAGGGAGATATATATCTTGTTTATCGTGTTATATTGTGATATCTTCGTGAGCCACCTTGATTTAAAAAACAACAGTGTCAATCAGTAACAATAACGAGGTGGCCACTGGGGAAAACAAGCGGTGCATAAAGAACATGCCCTTCTCTTTCCCCACCTCCATCCCCCTTGTCCCGGTTGGTGCAGGCTGCGTGGCGCCTCTACTCAACAGATGTCAGCCGGGCCTACTTGACAGCCACCTGGTGCTATTACGACAGCATCCTTCCATCATTTAGGTAGGTGTGAAGTTGCCTTGGTGGAGGAGCCTACTTGGTGGTGGGCCCCTAAAATTCACAGACTCTCTGCAAGCCAAGAGGTGGAGAGCCAGGGTTGCCCAGAATGGCTAAGCCAGTGGGGCTGATAATTAACATCAGGTTCAGGATGGCAGTGGTTGGACTAAAGTTACATTTTTTCTTTGTGTATTGTTGCCATTTCATGTAACAGTTTTCAATATAATGGACGTATCCGTTCCCCAGCAAATAAGAACGGTGGGGACATTTTGTGTCACCGACTTTCTGTCATTCATCCAGTGTTGAGTAGCTGGTGTTGGATAGATCCAAATCAGGGGGGTGCTTATGTTAACTTAAGTTGAGTTAATATGGTGAATTAATTTGGGGAAAATGTTGCCATGCAGCAATAATCCACTGTTCTTTTTCTGTTCAGTCTATGTGCTAGTCAGATGTCTGTCTTTAGAATGGGAAGGGAGAGCACAGAGGGCCTGAACATTGCAGGCACTTGGGTTGAAAGGACAATGTCTCTCCCTCTCTCCCTGTGCAACACTCTTTTGCTTCCATAGTAGTGAATGACAGCCATTCTGTTGCATGGGAGAGGGGGGGAAAAAAACCCCAGGTGCCCTCAGGAATGTGATGGTATGACTTTTAAAGGTGAGGCAATGGCTTATGTCTCCCGTGCTGCTGTTTTCCCTGGAGCCAGTGGAGGAGTGAAACAGAACATCTGCTGGCTGGGGATTGTGTGCAGATCTCACACCCTCATCACAACGCATCACACTTCCATCACACTTCCACCCCCCTCTCCCTTGACACATGACCTTCCCATCTCAATCAGTGTCGGGACTTTGTTTGCAAAGACTTCTGTGGAGACTGGGAGGCGCGGTGTGGATTTTGGAGGAGACCCTTGGTCTTTAAATGCTGATATATATACTGTACTCACTCACATACATACATACATACATAAATACATGAATATGCACTGGTGGCCTTTACTGAATCAGACTTGTTAATCCATCTTGCTAAGTTCTGCCTCATTTGACAGGCTCTTCAGGGTCTCAAGTAGAGAGGTATAGCAACCCATAGTAGAAGTCATATGACAACCCAGCCCAGCAAGTTTGCACCACAGAATCATGGAATGGAAGTGAGACAAAGGGTCGTCCAGTCCAACCCCCTGCAATGCAGTTGTAAGATGACTGATTCTGCAAAGTACAGGGAATGACTTCCATACTTACCTTTATATGGCCTGATTCCACTGCTGGTTTCAGAAAATATATTCAGTGGTGCACACCCTGTTGCAGAGGCAGCCAAACCTTTGGGGCCAGTAAGCACATCGGGAATTTTGAGAAAGTGCCGTGGGTGCCTGCCTCCCAATTGCTGCTGCCGGGGTGTGGCAGAACACAAAATTGCTGCCGCATCTACAACAGCAGGGGGAAAAAACAGGGCTATAAAGCAGCCCCCCCTCCCAGAATCCCCCTCAAGTCAGTGGGAGAAATGGCATGTGTATCAAGTGCCTCCATGTTCATTCACAGAAAGAAGCTCTTTGCACTTCTCAGAACAGATGGGAAGATGGATGTCCAGCCCTGGCGTCCCGTGGTTTGCAGGCGTGTTTCAAGGGGGCAGGTCCAACGTAAGAGGGCCTGAATCAGTGAAAGCAGGAACCAACCGGGAAAAGCTATCAGCCATTCATGCATTGTCGATTTTTGAGGGGATATTTTCTGAGAGCTTTTATGGGCACCATAAGAAGCAATTACATTAATGCCAGTGGGTACAACTTGGGCAATCTCTGCTGTAGCAAGATGAAAATAGAGCATTCTAAAGAGCAAGGTGCTGCAAGTTTTGTTTGCCTGCTATTTTGTTCATTCTTATTTATTTATTTATTTATCAATCAATCAATCAATCAAAAGATTTCTACACTGCTTTTCATTTACCAAAAAGAATACCACAGTGGTTTGCACAATAATAAGGCATAGTAAAGGTAAAGGTAAAAGGACCCCTGACCATTAGGTCCAGTCGTGACCGACTGGGGTTGCGGCGCTCATATCGCTTTATTGGCCGAGGGAGCCGGCGTACAGCTTCCAGGTCATGTGGTCAGCATGACTAAGCCGCTTCTGGCGAACCAGAGCAGCGCACGGAAACGCCGTTTACCTTCCCGCTGGAGTGGTACCTATTTATGTACTTGCACTTTGACGTGCTTTCGAACTGCTAGGTTGGTAGGAGCAGGGACCGAGCAACGGGAGCTCACCCCGTTGCGGGGATTCGAACCACTGACATTCTGATCGGCAAGTCCTAGGCTCTGTGGTTTAACCCACAGCGCCACCTGCGTCCCTTATAAGGCATAACAGTATCCAATAAAAATTAGTAAGCAGTAAAATTGTCACAGTCACCAAAGTCTACTAATAACATGAAGGGCTGGGTAGCCAGCATGGGGCTAGTCAGTTGTTTTGCTGTACAACTCTCAGCATCTCGTCCCATTGGGCAGGCTGACTGAGAGTGATGGGAACTCTAGACCATTGTTTCCCAACCTTGGGCACGCAGCTGTTTTTGGAGTACAGTTCTTATCATCCTAGACCACTGGTCTTGTTAGCTAGGGATGATGGGAGTTAAAGTCCCAAAACAGCTGGAGACCCAAGGTTGGGAAACACAGCTCTAGACCATAGCATCCTCTGGTCACCATGTTGCTACCCTTGGCCTGGATGAACAGGCACGTCTTCCGTCAGCAGTGAAAGCACTCCGCAGCTGAGGCATAACTTGCTTTGACAAAACACTAGCTTTGTATGCAGTTCACTCTGCTGCCATCGGAAGGTTAGAGACGGCATATTTTGTTGTGTCCAGTAATTTCAATGTGTTTTCATGCTGTGTGCATAACCAAGCAGTTTATAAGGTTTAGGTCCAACTATGAAGCCTCACCACTGCAAGGTTTTGACCGGTCATTCAAAGGCAAAATACCAAAGCCGAACATCTGTAACCCCCCAGTTCAACAAACCCACCTTGGTCAATTCACACCTCGGAGAGACCAACTCAAACAACTGAAAGAATTATGGGTTACCCCCATCTTTATTCCTCCCCTTCAATTTCTGCATGTTATATTGATATTATTATTATTATTATTATTATTATTATTATTATTATTTTCTTTCTCCCCCTTTTCAAAGCATTTTAATTTCTCCATGTTTTTATTTGGACCCACCCCTAGAGAACTGGTCCTTATGTTTGACCACTTGCACCGAGCTCGCAACGGGGGGCTCAGGAACTCTGAGGTGAGGAAATTCCCTGATGGAGCTCCACCACCGTATCACTCCTTCACCTCTGGCCTGAAAACCATCCATCCTCCATTTTGCTCGGGGGAAAGGTAGGGTCAAAGCCTCTTCCATGCCTGTGGTGTGTCCCCTCTGTCTGTCTGGTGTGTTGGCTCTTTCTCACTCTGCTGCCCTCTGGTTTAACATCTGACAGACGTTGAACTGGCTTCCTTCCTGTCTGCAATGGCCCTTTGACTTGAATGCACCACCAGCCCTTGTTCTTGGCCTCCCCCTTCCGACTGGAGTCTGCCGCTACATCTTGCCTATTCTAATTAATCATTTTTAACAAGTGCATTTTCTATAGAGAACTTCGGCATTTGTGAATTATAGCTGTCACCATCATGGCCTTTTGGTGTGGATTGTAAGACTTTGCTAACAGTGGGAATCTAGTTTTCTATCACAGATTTTAGTACCCACCTCAGAACCCTGAGAACCAAAGTTTTTAGGATATGTTTCTTGCTGCTGTGATTGTAGGGCATAATGAAAAGACAATGGACAATGGACACTGGAGAATTTGTTTCTGAAGACTTGGAGGTTAGGATTGGGCTTCTTTATTCTGCTCTCCAGTAGTTACAAAGAGGTTTAGAGAATAAGCAGCACAAGCTACTTCCTCTCTCTCATCCATGTGATCAGGAAATCTGCTCTGAATCAAAGGGGTGGCAGCAGTGGCATAGCGTGGATTACCTGTGTCCGGGTTAAGGAAAGTATCCTTGGCACTGCCAGCCAATAGGCTGAAATGAAGGGGCAATAGCTTGGCAACCTGTCCAATTTGCAGCTGCAGTGCCCCATGAGTGTCAAGCACAGCTGAGAGTGGGACGGGGATTGGTCGGGAGTGGGTGACTTTCTAAAACCTGTTCAGAGGGCACCCTAGCAACCAGCTGCTGCCCAAATCCACTCCCCAGTCCACCCATGTGAACATTGGGAGATTTTCTGTGTGAGGGGGAGGACACAATATTTTTCATTACTACTTTCTTTTTCTTTTGAAATTTTGCACCCCTAAGAACTTTGTGCCCAGGGCAACCACCCCGTGGCCCTGCCCATGCTATGCCACTGGGTGGCAGAGAGTGACAAGAGGGGGAAGATCTGCAAAGCAGAAGATATGGTGAGCTATGCACATGGTGACCGGATCAGAGAGAGAGACTTAAAAAAAGACATATATTTTATTGGTTTTTAACAACTATAATAAAACCTGTAGGTTTTTACATGTCTATATCACACACATATAAGAAGGAGAATTAAGCAGAGGCACTGCAAAATAACTGAATTATCTGAGACATAGCCTCTCCCAAAGCCAGCATGAGTGGCTGGAGGTCTGACATTGACATCACTTCTATTTACATGGCTGTTGTACGGGAACCAGAACTTGTTATACGGATCATGTTTAGTTTGGCCTCTGACAGCTCTTCTGTGTTGTGTTAGATGCTCAAAAAGAGCCAAATCCCAAGTTTTCCCTTGCCATTTGGCCAAAGTCAGACTTTTGGGGGTCTTTCCAATGGGAGGTGGTCTCTAAACAGACAGCAGCAAACAGCATGGCAGGTGGGTCCTTATTTGTAAGAGGAGGGACAAGGAACTTCTGCTTTAGGAGCAGAAAGCTGTTTATAGAACCCATAAACACTGACGAGGGTTTGGCAACTTGTGGGGCTGGAAGGTGGGAAGCAGAGACTACAAAGTTTGTGCTTCACGGTGCTGGAAATCCATTGTGTGTTTGTTCCTTCATAACAGACAGGCAGCAAATATTTCTTGAGGCTAAAAAAATAAAATCTGCTAGCCCTCAGCAGGGCAGATTTGTCGCTGGATGCAACCAACTGGATTGTCTTGACTATATGAAGGCCTGTGCTGCTGGGCCGGATAGTTTCCCCCCCTCAAGTCTCCTCTGCAGTCCCTACCTCATTTCATCATCTTTTTCTCTCTCTCCTCCTCTTTACCTCCCTCCACTCCTCCTCCTCGTCCTTCTTCCACCTTCCCATCTTCACCATTCCCCATTCATTCCTGGAAGCTGGAAAGAAGAGGAAGCTCCGCCCCACAAGTGTTTACGCCTAAGGTAACCTTTCCCTCAAAGCTGCTGTGTGCTTTTATTCCCCCTCAAAAGAGAGACCACAGGACGGTAGGTTTTCTTCCAGAAGTATGGACGATCTGCAGCTGCTGCTTGGGGAGAGGTCATCAAAGCCAAATAAACCTTGAGTGTGTGTTTGTGAATGTGTGTGTGTGTGTGTGTGTGTGTATCGGGAAAGAAGCCAGTACATTGTTACTGCAGAGACATTGCCTGCATGCTTTTTAGGCTCTAAAGCAGGTGGTGTCCTCCTGCTGGTCTCCTAGCAACTTCATCGCTGACCATTGGCCATGCTGATTAGGGCTGATGGGAACTGAGAATCCATCAACATCTGGAGGGTACCACAAATGATCAATGACCCCTGGATCATATCCAGGCCTAAGAGGGGAGCCATTTGCCAGTCCCAGAAACAGAGAAATGGATAAGCAACACCTGAAAAAATGGGATTTGATAGCAGGCCACATTAGGGTCATGGGGACTCAGCCCATTGCCCTCACTTATTTCTCCCAAGCAGTCTTCCAAAAAGTTGGTTGCTGACACAACTGCATTGTTTTGATGCTACTGCACAGCTGCCTGTTCCAGTGAATGCATGTCTCAGAATCACGATTGCAGAGAGGCATCTTCCGGTTTTCCCAGGAATGCCCCTGTCAGTTGCTTCTCTCATGGAAAGTTTCAAGTACGCACCTTGCCATATGGAGGCAGAGAGCAAAAAGTGAGAGAGAATGCCTGAACCAAAACTTCCTCCACAAAAACTGGTTATTTGCTGTCCCCCCAGTTCTTTCTCTGAAATGTGCTTATACTTTTTAAACCAGAAGTTTTTCCAACAGGTGTTTTTTTTTTAAATATAATAATGGATTGCTTCCTGAAGGGGTCTAATAAATTGCCCCATGCCTGCTCATTTGAATTAGGACCAGAAACTTATGGATAAGAGTTAAATATTCAGTCACATTTGTCATTGAATGATTCGTTCTGCAGGGGGTGCTGTATGCGCACAAGCATCCATTATTGCCAGCCTCAGCAAGGCTTTTTCCCTCTGGGATCATCCTTCTAACTTCCCTTCTGCTGCCCCCCTTACTAACTTTTTGCCTCCTCCTCCTCCCACCTTTCCCCTTCTGTTGTTTTCTTTCTTTCTTTCCATTTCTCTAGCCAGATCTTTAGTAGTAAAAGGAATTTCTTTCGGATTCACACCGGCTGGAAACAGAGGTACCGAGGCTTTGGATCTGCTACCCAAGAGATGTTTTGGGGTTGAATTGGATTTTAATTGTCATTGCATTGTTTCGTCCTGTGTTGGTTTTTTCCTTTCCTTTAGAAAAAAAGGGATGGCATGCTGCTCCAATGTGCAATGGAGATGTGCATGGGGGGTAACCCTCTGAATCTTGCTATGAAGTCCTTTCTTGGTGGGAGATATGTTTGCTCTCCTGCAACCAGATAATCGGTCTCCAGTGCAGCTTAAAAGGAGAGTCCATTAATGCGTTTCAGCTGGAACCATAGAAAAAGGAGAGAGAACTATGCAATGTCCCCCAAACTCCTTTTAAAATGGTTCCTTTCCCTAGTCTTCTAAACTTTTCTACTTCCTTTCCTGTTGGGTTGGGATTTAACCTGTCTGAACAGAGGGCAGCTGATGAACCAAAAATTGATCAAATGTGTATGTGACATGGATTTTATCAGGACAGTGTCATAGAGGGAATCATCCATGGTTCAAAAAGGTACTACTCCCAAGTCCCCCAGAGGCTCAAGGGGTGGAGACTCAGCAGCCAAGGGGGTGGAGTGTGTTTGGGGCAGAAGATGGTAGTGATGGCTCAGGGTGGGGCTTCTTGAACAGGGCCTGGATCTAATAGCAGAATCTCTCATCAAGCTAAACTCAACATAGATTACCCTCTTTATTTCTGGCCAAACAGCTTGATACTTTACTCCTCTTCACAGCAAGGACAGTGAGGAGGGGGTTCAACCCCAGACAAGTGAAATCATGAGGGCTACCAACCCTGTGCTAGAATTCAGTTTTATAGAGTGCTGATCTCACCGAGGTCCCTCCCACCTGTAGAGAATGCAGTGGGTTCACATGAGAGAGATCACTGTTGGACAAGCTGTATTGCCAGGACAATGACTTTCTCCTCCTTGAATTCTACATTCCAAGGAAGGGGAGCGTGCAGCCCTCAAGATGCTTCTGGGCTGCAGCTCCAATCAGCCTCAGTCAGAACGGCTGTTGGCTGAAGATGATGGATGCTGTACTTTAGAAATTCCTTTAGTGACTGAATGTGGCCATTAGACAGAGTTGGTCCATGTGGCTTCAAGTCTGGAAGTTCCTGTTCTCAAATGCGATTGTGTTGTGAGCAGGGAGTCCTGCTTCCACTGCTATCAGATGGCCCCCATGAAGCAGTAAGGAAGATAGACTTCTGCTTCCATCAGTGCTCAGCTGGGCAGAAGAATCTCTGCCCCTTCCCTTTTGCAACAGCTCACTTATTGTCTCTTTTTAGAAGGCAAGGGAAGAAGAAAAAAAGCTCAGTTATATGAAGCCCAGTTTGGTGGTGGAGCCTGTAGGTTTCATTAAGTCCCCTGCCCTACGTCCCTCACTTCATAATCTGAGCAATGCCAAAAATTAATAGGAGGAAAGTGGGATTTCCCCATTTTTTTCTTATAGCAACCCTAAGAAAGCTGTGCTGGAGATCTGCTTGCCTGTAGGTGCTTGACGACAAAGTGGGTTTGGAATAACTCTTGGGGCCAGTAGTGACTTTGTGGATTCTCTCTCTCACCCACACACCACATCATTCCAGGGGAAGTGGTTCCATTAGCACGGTGATGTCACCACTTTTCATGGGCGTCTGGATTCCAATACGAGCACTTGCTTCTGTGTCTGGGTGCCACACCCACATCTGCAGGGATGCAGAGAGTCTTCAGAGTCCACAGCTCACCCTGTAGGACTTCTGCTGCATTAAACCTCAAAAGGATCGCATTCAAAGCTCACCTACTGACCCCACACCCCGAGGCTTTCCTAGGTGTGCATCCATGGAATTAAAAGTTGGTGGTTGTCATGGATGGGCTCAATCAGTTTTCAGCCACAGGAAGAATTTAGTCTGGCAGAATATGCTACACAAGAGCTGGCCCTGAAGTTATTCCTATTGTGTTTTTAGTTAAGATGCATGGGGGAAAGGTGGAGCAGGTGAGGGGGCCAAGGAGGTTGACAACTGCCCCATCAGTGCAACCCAAGGAACAAGGCTGACAAATAATTTCTGCCCTGGTGGCAGTTATTGTGTGCCAAGGAACCCTGGCTTGAAAGTCAATTGGCATTACCTCAGCAAGAACCCCGGACAAGTGTTTCCAGAACAACAGTTTGATCACAATTACTGATCATAGGAAGCTGCCTTATATTCCACTGGTCCATCTAGCTCAGCATTGTCTACAGTGAGTGACAGCAGTTCTCTAGGGTTTCAGGCCAGGTCCTTCCTAGCCCTACCTGGAGATGCTGCTGGGGTTTGCACCTGGGACCTGCATGCACAGCATGTGCTCTGCCACTGAGCTATGGCCATGGATGTGTGCAGAAATAATTTTTGTCGGGGGAAGTCTGTGACACTTGCATGAGTCTGTGTACAGTAAAACAAATAAATGCATTTAGGATTCAGGGGGGCAAATGCCCCCCCCCCACAATGGACACCCATGGCTATGGCCCTACCCTCAGCCCAGCAGTGTAGAGCTGCAAGGAATGCTGGGGGCGCAGAAAGGGTGAACTCTCAGTTCTTGGAGGGCAGACTTTGCCGGACAGGTGCGCTACAAAAGATTTAGGTGGCAACTCCCATTAGTCCCAGCCAGCATGGGTTGTGCTGGCTGGAGCTGATGGGAGGTGCAGTCCAAAAGCGCCTGGAGGGTACCTGGTTGCGGAAAGCTGCTCTTAGGTGATGTTGAGGACTAGGAGGAGGCCTGTGATCTGTGTTTTGCATGAACTGAGGGTCCACTTTGGTAGACTCCCCTGCAGTGCATCAGTGGCTTCTGCTGAAATCCAGCCAAAGTGGAAAGGGGTGTCTCCAGTTTAAAAGACTGAAAACCCCTGGATGGAAGGATTGGTGGAAGAAGTTACCCAGAGCAGATGCAATGTTCTCCCCCCATCCCACCCCAATTCAGAAGGCCGCCTGGGGCTTGAAGGTGGCCAAGAGATGGTTAGTCTCAAGGCTCATCCACCCTTTTGTTTCTGCTGCAATTTCCAGAAAAATTCAGGGAGGAGAAGACTATGGGTGGCTGCTAACCACGATGGCTGTTCTCTGTCTCCATGGTCAGAGGCAGCAATGCTTCTGAATAATTTTTTTTGGAAACTGCAGGAAGGGAGAGTTGCTCTTCCACTCAAGTGCTGCTTGCGGGTTCCCCACAGGCGTCTGGTTGGCCACTGTGAGTACAGGACGCAGGGCTAGACGATCCAGCGGGCTCTTGTTATGTTCTTACTTATTGTGCTTCTGACAGACACATTTTGCCCATTCACTCTTATTTTAATGTTGAAGGCTAACAATGCTTTGTTGTACCTGGGTGGCAGAATGCCTTCCAGAGTAGCTTACAAGTGAGATCAAGAAACTTAACATTTCTCTTGACTTTTGTTCATTTGTTTGTTTTAAGGAAAGTTGATAAGACCCAAATGTAAAATCCTTTGCTGTTAAATTTGCCTTTGTGTGGATCTTATGCCAAATGGTGACTTCTGGTCCTTGCACCTTGGGTGTGGGGCTCCCCTTGCGTAGCCTCCAGACATCTTAGAAAGGGTTATCCAATGTGGTCTGTGCTACATATTGTTTGTTCCATCTCTGGATTACTCTGTGGTAGCAATTGTTTCAATGCTGGATCTTCATAAAAATCCTGTGGGTCAGTGCTAGTGATGTCTCCAAAATTTGTATTTCTGGGACTTCGAAATACTTCAGGAGTTCATAATGCTCAACTCAAATATGGGGTGAGCATTATAACCCCTGAGGTTGTTGCTGTTTTATAGGTCAGAACCAGCACTTTGAATTTGGCTCTGGGACAGATTTGCTGCCCTCTTCCTCGCACTGTCAGCTTTGCTTGGGTTGGAGCCCTCAGCTTCCTACCAAGGGAGATGTTCTTGGCCATTTAGCCAGAACATCAGCCGAAAGACTTATTTATTTTAGCTAGCTCCCATGTACTCCCCCAAAACCTCTGGAGTATCCAAACATCTCCTTTCCAGGCCTCCTTTTTCTGGCGGTGTCTTTCAATCTCTCTTTATCGGTTGGTCATTTTAATGCTTCATATTTTTGTTTCTTTCTTTTTCAGCCCTTACCGTAAGTACCTCAGTAGCATCTGGACCATAAATAGCGTTTTGTGGCATGACTTGATTTTGTCCTTTCCCTTCTCTCCCCTCACCTATTTCTTTGCTAACAACAACAAAACAACTGTCAGTGGTCAGGATTGGGTGCACTATATATATATAGTGCACAAATATATACATATTTGTGTGTGTGTGTCTGCACTAAGGTAACTCAAATTCTACAACAAGCTGGATTCTGCAATCTTATGTCTGTTAAATATATATGCATGAACTCTCTTACTTTGCATCATTTATTCTGGTTCTTCTAGTTGGAAGGAGGGGTCAGGAGCTGTTCAGGGTACTGAAACTCCATCCCTAATCCTTGCAAATCTTAACCAGAATTCAACAAAACTTGCCCACACACTTTCATGTTGTTGTTAGCAATGATAAAGACTAGACTCCTTTAAAAAAAAAAAAGTTTACGTTCTCAGAGAGTCTTAATCCTTAAGTCACTTTTGCATTTTTAGGGGAGGTTGTGTGGACTTGCAGCTCTGATTTATGATATGCCTGTCCCCACAACCTAGAGAGTGCCCTTACTAAGCATAGAGGGGAAACTGGTCCCTCTCCCTTTTCATGTAGATTTCTCCCCCTACTCCTGCATAGCTAGGATGTCCTTCCGTGCCCTGATGCCCTCCAGAGATTAAGAACCAGTCATTTAGTCTTTTCTTTTCACTTCCACAAGCAGCAGAAAATAAAGCCATCCTTCTGGAAGGGAAGCAGTCAAAATCATTTGTAAAAGTGTTAAAAAATAAAAGACACCCATTAATCGCAAAACAAAATGACAAAAAAAGAAAAAAAATCACTACCACAGTTTATGCTGCCATTTGTACGCTAGCTAGGACCACCTTCTTATTCTGTTTTTTTTAAATAAGATATTTATTAAGGTTTTCAAAATATTACAAAAGAAAAATAGAAAAAAGAAAAATGCAAAATAAAAATAGTTAAAAACAAGTCAATATTTCCATTACTTATTTTTCATTAGCTTTTTTCCCGGACCTCCTCACGCCTCCCTTTTTTGTATTCCAGTTCAGTTTGTTGGTTCAGCAAATCCTTCCCCTCTTTGATTATCCTAATCTTTAATCTTAAAGTATTGTAACATTAAATTTTTACCTGTTAGTAATCCATTTTTCATATTCCCTTATAATATTTCAGCTAAAAACCATTTAATTTCTATCCAACATCATTCTAACATTCATTAATTTTACAATATTTCTGTAAATAGTCTTTAAATTTCTTCCAATCTTCTTCCACTGACTCTTTTCCCTGGTCTCGGATTCTGCCAGTCATTTCCGCCAGTTCCATGTAATCAATCACCTTCGTCTGCCATTCTTCCAGAGTGGGTAGATCTTGTGTCTTCCAATACTTTGCAATGAGTATTCTTGCTGCTGTTGTGGCATACATAAAAAAAGTTCTATCCTTCTTTGGCACCAATTGGCCGACTATGCCCAGGAGAAAGGCCTCTGGTTTCTTCAAGAAGGTATATTTAAATACTTTTTCAATTCATTATAGATCATCTCCCAGAAAGCCTTAATCCTTGGGCACGTCCACCAAAGGTGAAAGAATGTACCTTCAGTTTCTTTACATTTCCAACATTTATTATCGGGCAAATGATAGATTTTTGCAAGCTTGACTGGTGTCATGTACCACCTGTAAATCATTTTCATAATATTCTGTTTTAAGGCATTACATGCCGTAAACTTTATACCTATGGTCCATAACTGTTCCCAGTCAGCTATCATTATGTTATGTCCAACATCTTGTGCCCATTTAATCATAGCAGATTTCACCGTTTCATCCTGAGTATTCCATTTCAACAGCAAGTTATACATCTTTGACAAAATCTTGGTTTTGGGGTCTAACGATTCTGTTTCTAATTTTGATTTTTCCACCTGGAAGCCAATTTTCTTATCCGAATTATATGCCTCCATTATCTGATAATAATGAAGCCAATCTCGCACTTTGTTTTTTAGTTTCTCAAAACTCTGCAGTTTCAATCTGTCTCCCTCTTGTTCCAGAATTTCCCAATATTTTGGCCATTTGGCCTCCATATTGAGCTTTTTCAATGCTTTCGTTTCCATTGGTGACAGCCACCTTGGGGTTTTATTTTCCAATAAATCCTTATATCTTATCCAAACATTAAACAATGCTTTCCTGACAATATGGTTCTTAAATGCTTTATGTGCTTTGATCTTATCATACCACAGATATGCATGCCATCCAAATACATTATTAAAACCTTCTAAATCCAAAATGTCTGTGTTTTCAAGAAGCAGCCATTCTTTCAACCAGCAAAAAGTTGCTGATTCATAGTAAAGTTTAAGGTCTGGCAGGGCAAATCCACCTCTTTCCTTTGCATCTGTTAGTATTTTAAATTTAAATTTTATTCTAGGCTTCTTGCCCTGCCAGACAAATCTAGAAATATCTCTCTGCCACATATTTCGAGATATTTCCACCTTCTTATTCTGGATTAACTAATCCAGGCTAAAATGCATCAATTGGGGCACAACATGCATGCCTTTGAACCACCGTGTCACACTTACATTCCTGATTGGGTAGGGAATCTGTGGCTCTCCAGATGTTGGACTCCAGCCCCAGCCAACATGGCCCAAAGTCAGAGATGATGGGAGTTGTAGTCCGGCAACACCTGGAGGGCCACAGGTTCTCCAGCCCTGTTTTGGATTAGTCATATTGCAATCCTATCATATCTACTCAGAAGTGAGTGACACTGAGTTCAGTGGGGCTTATTCCCAGGAAAATATTACAGGATTGTGTTGTATGAGGGGCTGGTGGACACACAGCATACAGTGGTGCCTCGCAAGACGAAATTAATTCGTTCCGCGAGTTTTTTTGTCTAGCGAATTTTTCATCTTGCGAAGCACGAAATCCCATAGGAATGCATTGAAATTCAATTAATGCGTTCCTATGGTCAAAAAAAGTCCAAACAAAGCCAAATTTGGTACAACAAGAGTTTATTAACTGCTCTTTAAAGTCACACATACTGTAAAGAGCATTTCAAAAATTGAAGGATCAATAAAAATCATAAAAATTCAGAAAAAAACCACACAAGCTTTCAGATTCTTGCAAACCCCTCCTCAACTGTTCCCCCAGCCACCCACCACACAGAAATTCAAATCCAGAATTTTTTTAAAAAAACAGCAGAGTGGCCCAATGGTCACAGAAAATCATAAAATTTTTTAAAAAAACCACACAAGCTCCCAGATTCATGCAAACCCCTCCTCAACTGTTCCCCCAGCCACCCACCACACAGAAATTCAAACCCAGAATTTTTTTTTAAAAAAACAGCAGTGTGGCCCAATGGTCACAAAAAATCATAAAAATGCAGAAAGAAAACACACAAGCTTCCAGATTCTTGCAAACCCCTCCCCAACACCAAGTCCTTGAATTCCAAACACCCCAATCCAAAATCCAAAACCCCCCAAAAAAGTTTTAAAAGTTTAACTTACCAAATGGCTGCATTTTGAAGTTTTGGAAAAGCTTCAAAAATCGCCAAAGTCTTCAAAAACCTCAAAAAAGGCTACCACACTGCGTGCTATGAGTTGCTCCTCGAAGTCAAGTCGCAACTGCACCTCTTCAAGCAATGCACCTTGGTTTTAACAGTTTTACGAAAAAGGAAACAAACTTGCAAGACGTTTTCGTCTTGCGAAGCAAGCCCATAGGGAAATTCGTCTTGCGAAGCAGCTCAAAAACCGCAAAACCCTTTCGTCTAGCGAGTTTTTCGTCTTGCGAGGCATTCGTCTTGCGGGGCACCACTGTATTTTGACCATTCATTGTTCTTCGCTGATGCCTGACTTCTGGAATTTGGTTTGTGAGCAAACAGAAATTCATTTGAGTTGGGGGGAGATACCACAGGCTAAATAAGAACCTCTTTTGAGTCTCAGTGTGGGTAGAGTAGCCATTTATTCAGGTTCTGAGTTCAAGACCTTGGGAAATGCCCTGTCTTTAGCCTGCTGTGATCAGGCTATTCTTTGTACCAATATTTCCTCTCGGATTCTGACATACATCTAGAGTTGGTGTAGCATGTCAGAACCATTGAGTCAGCTCCAGTCAGCTCCCTCCTGGAAGTAGTCAGCAGGTCCACCGGGGACCAGAGTGCAATGCGCCACATCTCTCTATCTCATTCTCTCTAGCGCCCCCTTTAGGTTGCTGCTTGCATCCTCACCAGCTCAAGAGCCCCTCACCTTCCTCCTAATTTCTCCGTTCCTCCCCTGAATCCTTTGCAGCAATAAAATGGGCATCAAGGACCGCATCCGCCTGAACAATTCCCAGAGGCAGGGCAGCCGGGGGAAGCAGCATTTGGTCCCACCTCTCCGCCGCTCTCCCAGCACTGAGAATGTCAACGAGGCCACCAGCCCCACCAAGGTGCAGAAGAGCTGGAGCTTCAATGACAGGACAAGATTCCGGGCCTCATTGAGGCTGAAGCCCCGGACACCTGTGGAGGGTAGGTCTTGGGAGCACCTACAGTTTGGGGTTGTGAAGGGGTTCTGGGGTGGGGAGAGAATGTTGCAGAGTGTGCTTCTCTTTAGGGGCTGCTCCTCAAGATGCCTGCAGAAGAAAGAGTTCTAGACAGCTTGAGGAAGCGAGCCAAGCCACATGCTACTACAAAAGGAAGGAAGGAAGAAATAAAGACGTCATGGGGTCATTAATCAATCTGAACCTGCTAGGGGAATTTCATCCCTGTTCTAAATATGATATTGATAGTATGCAACAGCAGCCATCAACTGCCCTGTTCCTGCCCTTCAATCTTCACAACTTTTATTTGGATGCAAGCTTATACTACAGTGGTACCTCGGGTTACATACAATTCAGGTTACATACACTTCAGGTTACAGACTCCGCTAACCCAGAAATAATACCTCGGGTTAAGAACTTTGCTTCAGGATGAGAACAGAAATTGCACAGCAGCGGCACGGCAGCAGCAGCAGGAGGCCCCATTAGCTAAAGTGGTGCTTCAGGTTAAGAACGGACCTCCAGAACGAATTAAGTACTTAACCCGTACCACTGTATTGAGCAATTGTTGGATAAACAAAATCAGAGCAAAAAGGGGAAAACACACACAGGGTGTGTGTTTGATGGTAGGGAGAAGCAATTATTGTGCAAATGAACTGATGGAGGGTGGAGAGAAATCAAGAGGAAAGTGGAGGGAAATTTGTGAATGGTGGGCTGTGCACAGAGGTTTCTGCCTTCCTTAAACTGACTAAGAAGGCATGAATGCCAGGCAAGTCACTCTCCTCCCATGAAGCCCTGTTTCTGCTCACAGTTGATGGACCTGCAGAGGAAAGCAGTGAGGAGAAGGCCTACCAGTGTGACTTGACTTTTGAGGACATCATGCCTGCTGTGAAGATGCTCATCAGGGCAGTGAGGTGAGCCCTGTGGGGCAAGTGCTCTTGGTTCAGGCCCCTGGGGGCCTTTGTCTTGTGTTATTTGGCAAGTGTGGCTCTGGGTACCCCTTTCCTCCTTTCATCCATCCTCTCTGATGGATTGATGCCTTGCTTTTGATGAGACAACTTGAACTTTGTGATGGGGGTGGCTGGGTAGTTGACATTAGGTAGTTGACTCCCCATTTCTGCACCTGTCTGAATGAGGGCATAGGTGGCAAATACCCAAGTTTTACAGATTGTTCCCTTTTCTGGGCTCAGAGCCCAGTACTGCAAGCGCACGGATAAGGATAACATCAAAGCAAGCCAATTAGCTTATATCAAAGCAAACAAATATAAACATATATGACAACAACTACCAATTAATTGTGGGGTTATCTTGACTACCAAGGTGGTGTTAGCAAAACTTCCGGGACACTTTACCTTTGGTTCAGCACACCTGGTTGGCCATGGTGAGAACAGGATGCTCTGGCTAGCTAATCCTTTGGCTTGATCCCGTGCACCTTTTCTAAAATTCTTACTGGGCTACATGGACCAGTGGTAATGGAAATGGGTTGGAGCATCTACTTTGCATGGATGAGGTCCCACTACCTGGTATGGATAGACAAGTCTTCTGTCTGCAGCCCTAGAAAGGTGCTACTTGACAGAGCAGACTATGCTAGATGGGCCAGTGGTCCGTCTCTCTGTAGAGCAGCTTTCATCAAATTATAAGGCTGCCTTTCCCTCAAGCCTTCTGGATTCTTACATTTTTGCAGAATCCTCAAGTTTCTGGTGGCCAAGAGGAAGTTCAAGGAGACGTTGCGTCCGTATGACGTCAAGGATGTCATTGAGCAGTACTCAGCTGGTCACCTGGACATGCTCGGCAGGATCAAAAGTCTCCAGACCCGGTAAGTGGAGCTGCCAATGCCTGCTTGGACTATAGTTTCTCTTGTAGGAAACCCACTTTCACCCAGAACCTGCCTCCCTCCTTTCCTCCTCCCCCCTCCCTCCCTCCCAGTGTTGTTGAACTACAACTGCCATCATTGCTCATGGGGCTTCTTCCCTTGTGCTTGATCCCTACAGTCAGTGCAGAATGTTGCAGCATAACTGCTGACAGGAGTGAGACCCTTCCAACATATAGCACCTGTGCTCAGGTGTCTGCGCTGGCTGCCAGTTTACTACCAGGCCAAATTCAAGGTGTCACTATTAATCGAGAAAGCCTTTATTAGCTAGGGTCCAGTTTACATGTGGAATCACTTTGCCCAATATATTCCCACCTGGCTGCTTCAATTTGTAGCACTTGCATGGTTGCAGGTGCCATGTAATACTTGCTCAGCATTTATAAGAAATCTGTAGCCATTCTTTGGCACTTGCTGCCTCTTGGCATCAGGCAAGGTATCTTCATTTAAAGCACATTACTTCCCCCAAAGAATCCTGGGAACCCTTTTTTAAAGGCTGCTTGGAATTATAGCTTTGCGAAAGCAAGAGGTGATATGGTTGGAGTTTATGACATTATAAGTGGTAAGGAGAAAGTGGATAGAGGGAGGGGGGAAACTCATTCCTCTCTCCTCCTCCTCCTCCTCCTCCTCCTCCTCCTCCTCCTCCTCTTCTTCTTCTTCTTCTTCTTCTTCTTCTTCTTCTTCTTCTTCTTCTGTGATCACTCATAGCCGAGTAAGCTTGTCTTCCATGAACACGGACTCATGGGCATCTAATGAAGCTGAATGTTGAAAGATTTGGGAAATATGAATGAAAGTATTTCTGCATGCATAGAACAGTTAAACTACAGAGCTCACTCCCACAGGAGGCAGCAATTGCCACCAACTTGGATGGCTTTAAAAGAGGATTATCATGGAGGAGGATCCATGAAAAGAGGATCATGGAGGAGGAGGAGGCTATCAATGGCTAGCAGACATGATGACCATGCTCTGCCTCTATGGAGGAGTGCTTCTGAATGCCAGTTGCTCGCCCTTGCATCCTTAGCCCTCCATGCATTGTTGCATCTGTGATTTCATTTTCCTGCCTGTCTCTTCTCTCTTCCTTGCCTGGCAGTGTGGATCAGATTGTGGGCCGGGGAGCTGTCGCTATCGATAAGAAAAAAGGGGAGAAGACACCACTGGAGGTGGAGCTGGCGGACGACTTCAGTATGTTGGGCCGAGTGGTCAAGGTGGAGAAGCAGGTACGGCTGGAAGTGGAGGATGGAGGGAGGGAGGGAGGGAGGGAGGGAGGGAGGGAGGGAGGAAGGAAGGAAGGAAGGAAGGAAGGAAGGAAGGAAGGAAGGAAGGAGGGAAGGGTCTGTAATGCACACACTTGAGAGGCCTCTTGCAACCCCCAGCTAGGAATAGCTTTATATGTGGTCAATTTAAAAAAATGTTTTAATATTTTTTTTAGTGTTTTATCACATCTGTCACACTGAGCTCCTTTGGCAGGAAAGGTGGGATGTGAAATAATATATTTATTTATTTATTTATTTAATTAGCTAAACTAAGGCCTCGTTGCCAGCTGGAACACATAGTGGCCATGAGATCAAAGAATTGCACTGAACACTCATTAGAGAGAACTTGGCTGCAATGGTGGCAGACTTTCTGAGCTACTTTTTCAGCTAGGGACTCAATCAAATCTAGAAGCTAGAGATGTGAAAGTTGAGTTTCTCCCCTTTTGAGGTTTTCCCTTTCCACTCTGATCCAGGGCACCAGAGGGCCTTTTTCTCCCCCACCCCTCTCTCGTCTTGCTCTGCAGTGTGGCAAGGCTCAACCAGGGCGTAGGATACAGTGAGGTTCAAGCTACATGCAAGACAAAGCAGGGCTCAGACTATGCTCTGGAGTTACTGCAGTTGAAACAGAGCCCTGACAGAGTAGCAGCAACAGATGCAGCCTAATTGTTGAAACTTCCTCTGCTTAAAGGACTTGGCCTTCTCTAATAATCTCCTCCAGCAATGGAACAGGGGAGGTTCAGGTCTTCCTGGGTCTTTTTACAGTGGAGTTGTGAGAGGAAGACAATGCCACATTCTTGGCTTGACTCCTTCGGGAGCAGTGCCTTCCCCTTCAGGTTTAGTGTCCTCACCTCCATCACCTGATGGAAAGCAACCCAACTCCTGGCCTTTGACAGACCTCTCTTGCTTTGTGCAGGTGCAGTCCATTGAGCACAAGTTGGATTTGCTGTTGGGTGTCTATTCTCAGTGCTTGCGGAAAGGGTCCGTGAACTCCATCAGCCTGACGGCAATGCCAATCCCCACCGGGGAGCCTGACATCACCTCTGACTACCACAGCCCTGTGGACCACGAGGACATCTCTGTCTCTGCTCAGACCTTGAACATCTCCCGGTCGGCTAGCACCAACATGGACTAAGATGGCGTCCAGCCTAGCCATGTGGTCGTTACACACCAGCCATATTAGGGAGGGCGGCATCTCTCCGCTTCCAGGGCAGAAGGAGGGATAGACAAACGTTGCCGGCTGCTCTGACAGACAACGCTCCGAGAGCGAGAGCCCTTTGTCACCCTCGCCATCCTGGTGGGGCGCCAACTGACTCAATGCACCTCAACTTTACTTGAAGTCTTCCAGCTGCAGAACAAAGCCGCTATTACTGGGCGTTCCAAGAAGGATGCAGTTTTCATGCCCTCCGTAGAGCCATTGTGGCACTTCTGTGGCTTTTTAAACAAAAAGTGCTAAATAGCAGCACCTGGCAGTCTGAACTACATGGGGCAGGTGGTCTTCCCCATGGGGAGAAAGCCACGCTAGCCTGAAACATGATGCAGAGGGCTCCATCCTTTGCCCTTCAGCCTTTGATGAGCATCTTTTAAGGTTCTCTTCTATCAAAAGCATCTCCAGGTGCATCCAACTTCATAGGGGCTGGACCCTCCTTTGTCACAGAGGTACCAGGGCTGAAGAGCCACCAACAGCCCCTTCCCCGAGTCCAGCAAATAACACCAGTGGTTCCAGACACTTTACTTTATTGGCTTGTATCTGACCGCCTCTGGCTCCAGACTTCTACCAGGTCGGAGATGCTTACTAACAGCTATGCAAATGCTAGGTAACCCTTTCTTCCCCGGTCAAAAGCAAGGGGCATTGCGACTCAAGTGAATGTGGTTTCTTACCTTTGCATCTAGAAGAGAATAATAACTGGCAATGTCTATTCCTGCTCTTGGCAGTGTTTAAGCACCTTGGCTCTTCCCCCACTCACCCCCACCAGGTAGTGGACGTTGCTCTGTGGCCCTGATATCATAAGCACAGCGGGACCTTCCTCGCAGGGGAAGTGCTTCCCAGGTGCAGAGCAAACACGATATGCAACAATCTTAAATATGCAACCTGAAATCAATCTTTACAGTCGATCAGTGGACTTTGAGCCTCCCCTGACTAGGACACGGAGGCAATCCTGATGCCTTTATATGCTCACCTAAGAAGGCCAAATCCAGCTGGCCAGCAGCAGAGAAGTTCCTGGTGACCTGCAGGGTGTGTTGCATCTGTTTCCTGTCTTTAGGGCAGCAGCCAGCCTGTCCCAAGGGATTGTGCCTCCCTTGCATCCAATAGCATTAGGCTTTCATGATTAGAGGCTCTGGTTTTGTGGTGGTTACCTTGACGGAGGGCGCTCTGGCGCAGCTTTAGATCCTCCCTCCCCTCAGACCACCTAACGAATCCAGCCCCTTTGCTAGCGGACAGACCCTGGTTGACCCCCGATTTCCACCCCTCAGTCTCCTGCAGGCAGCCCACTAAACTGCCTTCCTATGATCCTCACCAAAAGCTTGTTTCCAACATCATTTCAAGCCCCAACCTCTGCATCTTTGGGAGCTGTTCCCATTACGAGGCTGTGCCTCTAGATATGATACGGTATTCTAATTTATTTTTTATGTTATTACTATATTTCTGTCCCACTTTCTCCTCCAAGAAGCTCAAGGGTGGTGCACATAGCTCTCCCCATCCCTGTTTTACCCCCACAACAACCCTGTGAGGTAGGTCAGGCTGAGAGGCTACGACTGGCCCAAAGTCACCCAGTGGGCTTCATGGCTGACTAGGGCTTTGAATCTTGGTCCCCAAGGTCCAGAACTCTAACTCGCCTTCCTAATAACCTTTCCCAATTAGTTTGTTTTGCTGTTTTCTTAATCTTAATTGCAATAAGCATCACTGTAGACTTCAGTCTTGAGTGTGCTTTCTTGGGGAAGATCAGTGGCTAAGGCCTTCTCAACACATTACCATTCCAGGTGTGTGCTATTACAAAAAACAACAGTGACAACAACACTTAGGTAGGGGTGGATAATCTTTCTTTAGCTTGAGGGCCGCATTTCCTGATGGGCAAGCTTCCAGGGGCCGCATGTCCTGGTGGGAGGGTCCAGAGGCTAAAGTGGGTGGATCAACAGGGGTGACTTTTGTCTAGTAGGCAACATTCCAACTAAGCAAGAGCCAGAGGTTTCTACCTACACCCACACGCAGCACACCCCTCTCCATCTAGGCAAACTTGTGTCCTGTGTTCCAAGGACACAGGCAAAACACTTGTGAAAGGAATGGCCTGGGGGAAAGGGGCATGGACTAGGAAGAATCGTGGCCTGTGAAAAGCCCCAAGAGCCAGAGAGAGAGAGAGGCCAATGGGCCTGAGATTTCCCAACTCTGCTTTAGAAATTCATCTGCAAAAATAATGTACAAACCAGATGTGTCTAAAAGCACATGCATCATACCAGCATGCATGTCAGAGGTCCACAGTTGACTGCAGCTCTGCCGAGTTGACACTCTGCCGCAAACCTGAGCTTGCTGCTGTTTAAGCAGTGGCCCTTAGATCTAGTAGTTTGAGGGGACCATATACTTCCTCGCTCTCCATTTCTATTGCACATTTCTTGTTGGTACAGAGCCATCCCACGATAATTTACAAGCTTGAATGTCTTGTTCCTTTCTGCCTTTCCTCCCCTTTTTCTGGCCTCTACCTGGCCACCTGGATTTCACAGTGTACTCCCACCCTGATTGGATAATTAATTATTTTTAAGCAGGAGATCAGATCAAAGTCCTTCCTCTTCCTCATTGTTTCTGTCTTCCTCTTTGTCTCTCTTCCTCTTCCTCGTTGTTTCTGTCTTCCTCTTCCTCATAGTTTCTGTCTTCCTCTTCTTCATGGTTTTTGTCTTCCCTTCCCCACTGATTTTGTCTTCTCTTTCTTAGCGCCACCACCACCATTGCCATACATGAAGTTGGAGGAGGGTTTAAAACTGGAAGGTTATCCCTTTTTTTTCACCTCACAGGCAACATCACCAGGGTGATCCAGTTGCCCCAGGAGGTATCAGATTAGGGGGAGGGCCCTGCTTCCATTTCACGCCTCCTTAGGGTGCATGCCACAAAAGCCCCTCTGGCCTCCCGTGCACCTTTCTCCTTTGCATGCTCATGCATGTGTCTTGAAGAAATGGCTAGAGCTCTTCCTGACTTCTCAGCCCACTGAAGCCCACCTCTCCCCACCTCTCAATGCACTGAACACGGCGTCTTTGGAGAACACACCCCAAGTCTTCCATCCAAGACGGACGTCTCCAAAAGTGGGAGGGAGAAGGGGCTTGTGCGGTTGGGGGAGGAAGAGAGGAGGGGCATGGCTTTGACCAACCAAGGTAAATGAGGTGGACCCTCCAATGGATTTCCAAATAAACCCTGTTTCTGAGACAATGAATAGTTACCTCACTTTATTAACTTATTAACTTATTTGTTTCATTAAAGTTTTCAGTAGACGGTTGCCTGTGTGTCTCGTTAATTATCTGTTTGTGGGAGAAACCTGCGGGCTGTGTGGATGGGGGCCAGAGTTAACTTGGGCTCCATCTTGGAAATGACTGACCGTCAATCTGCATGGGACGGGGTGAAAGATGGAGTGAGATGGCAATCACTAGGACCGCCCCCCTTGCCTTTCAAGGCTGTTGAGGCCTACTGTTGAGGGAAAGTTGTACATTAATTCATTCAAAGCATTTACACCCTGATGTTTAGCTCCCAGCACGGCCTACAAATCAGTAAGAATAACACAGTGCCTGCCTTTGGGCTTACCATCTAAAAACAGATGACACAAAGGAAACAGGGAGGGGGAGGGAAGATGAATGCCGGTAAACTTGAGACACCCAATTCTTTCTGTTACATGGTTCTTGTAAATGACCAACATGGCTAGAGATGAGCTACTCACAGTTAAAAAGCAGGCAATAGCATATTGGGGATGGGGGCACAGTTGTACTGACAGCGTATTGGAGGAGGAGTCTGGTCCAGCAGGGGGGAGGGCAGATGAGGGGAGACGGTAGTTACTGGCTGTTTCCTGCTGTTTCTGTTCTTCCAAGAAGTTGGGAAGAAGCTATAAAAGGGCCAGGAGATGCCTTGGGCTACAACAGGGGTGAGGAATCCTCAGCTTAAGGGCCGCATTCCCTTCCAAGGCAGGTTTCCCAGGGCCACATTCCAGTGGTGGGCAGGATCCCAAGTAAAAGTGGATGAAGCAACAAATGTCAATTTTATTGTTGTTATGCACACACAGTCCTCTTAGCCTCCACCTAGGCAAGGAACAGGCATCATCAAGCATTCAAGGATACATTCCAGCCAGGTAAAACATTCAGGGTGCAAAGCACCAGGGGAGAGATTTGGTCTCTGAGCCAGAGGTTCTTCCCCTGCCCCATGGTCTAGGAAGAAGCACAAGAACTGGAAGAGACTTGGACCCCTGCCTTGACCTAGAGCCGCCTTTCTCAACTTGTGGGTCCCCAGATTGTTGAACTACAACTCCCATCACCCCTAGCTAGCAAGGCCAGAGCTCAGGGATGATGGGGACCCACAGGTCGAGAACCACTGACTGAGAGGGAGAAGGCTGTTTGCCATGTCAAGCTGTTCAGCCCTGGGCCATAATTTATATGGTTGCTAAAACATGACCCCTGGCAGCATCCCAATGGCCATAAGAGCAGCTCACAATTTGCCACTGCCATAAATGAGCTAAGCATATTTTGGCTTCTCTCTCCCCCCCCCCCCCCCCAAGATATGAAGCCAAAGTCCCGCGTTAGGCTCATCTAAATGCAGAAATGAACAGTCTCCTGATGGTTTATGTGTGGGGTTGTTAAACTGAAATTTAAACAATTAAGTTGAACACAAACATGGGGCGGAAGAAGCAAATTTGGATTGGAGCAGTGGCAGTAGGGTGGGAATGCTGAACTCTTTCCCCCAGGGGGCATTTTTCTGATTAAGACTATCTTCCCCCAGACACCCACCCATGGGTGAAAAGATATGGGGGTCCCTGTGCCTTTTCCCTTGGGAGGCAATGTGATTGTGGTTGGTGGTTCCCAAACTCTTCCTCTCTCAGACCACCTGCATATTGCTGAAGGTCTTGGTGGACCACTTAATCACAGTTCAGCCTATACTAGTAATCATGATGTACCGTCTTAGATGCTGTAGGTCCTTAATTGTATTTTTATTACTTCTTTTATTTCACTTATTACCATTTGAAATCCACACAATTCAGAATGCGAACAGGAGAAACAGACGAATCAATAAAAATACAATTAGAAATCACTATGGATATTTCATGCAGACGTGCCGCGGACCACCTGACCTTGTTTTTTAATTGTAACCCACCCTGCTTGGGGCCTGAGTGCAAGATCACCCTCCCTTCCTGCGGTTCCTAGCAATTTGGCTCCCAGCAAATTGCAGAGCTCTTAACATTCCCATCTCAAAGAGCCGCCTCTGTCTGGTTTGGGCAGGACAAGGCCGGGACAAAGGTATGCTGCTTACCTGCCTGATTTTGTTCCAACCCAAGGACGTAAGAAGACTCTGAGGAAGGGGTGGCCTTCTGGCCTGGTGCCAGAGAAGGTAGTATGGAAGGAATGTTGGGAGGTTGCGACATGGTCCAAGATCTGGAGTCACTCAGATTCCGGCCATCACCATCCATTCTGCCTTTTGAGTGTTTGGAAGTGACCACTTATCCCGTCCCCAGGGTCTGCATTCCTTCACAGCTGCTAGGAGCAGCCTGTTAATTTTTTCTATACCTGCAGGCAGTCTACCAGTCCCCATAACATTATCAGCTGTTACAATTACGCAGTGAATTTTAGCAGAATGTATGACTGAGGATGCACTTGTGCTGTAGCTGTTTTTTTCCATCCCTTTCCTTAAAGCAGCAGGGGGAGACCTGGGGACCCTTCAGAAGTTGCTGGACTCCAGCTCCCATCACCCCTGACCATTGGTGATGCAGGCTGATGGGTGGTCAAATATATCAAGTGGGGGCACACATTCCCCATCTCTGTTTTGAGGAATATGGCACTGGTTACCCCCCATGTCAAGGCGGGAGCTAGGAGCAAGTCAGCAATAACTCACAAGGTATCAGTGAAGTTCACTCTTTATTCAAAGAAACAACACAGCTCAAGCCTAGTGATCACAGCAACTCTTCCTCGTAGGTCTTGTCCCAATGAGGCAGTTGCGAGAACTGAAGGTCCTCACCTTCCACTGCTCACTAAGTCTCTTTCTGCACCGGCACCTTCTTCAGCAACCTGAAGCTCCTTCATCTTGTCTCTCTCTGCTCTGCCCTCTTCATTCCTCTTCATGTACTGGGAGATGTGGAGGGGGCAGGGGGAGAAAGCAGGTCACAGTGGAAGGGGGAGACTCCCTGGCTTCTTCAGCAGCCTACCCCCACTCTGCCTCTAGGCCCCTCCTCTCCAGCCTTTGCTTCTGCCTCTGATTCTTGGCTGCTCTCTGCCACAGCTTCTTCTTGCTCACTAAACCCTGTTACCTCTGTTCAGCCTCTGACACCTCCCCCCCCCCCCGGTGTAATCATACTGTAAAGGATGCTTGAAAAGAATTAGAAGTGTGCATTCCTAAAAACATTAAGACCACCATCAAGATGTCCTTTAAATACATCAGTGGCAGGAGACCACCTAGGTAGACTGCTGGACACTTGGATGACAAGAGAGTTGAAGGCATACTAAAGAAGGATAAGGAAATTGCACAGAATCTGAATTAATTCTTTGCATTTGTCTTCATAACATGTCCGGCCCTCCAGAAGGAGTTCCTGTTTGTTTGCTCATTTGCCATGCATAACACTTGTTGAGTGTTTGCGCCCTGTTTTGCCTATGTAACACACTGATTTGAGCATGAAAGATTTTGGCAAAAACGCTACTCCAAGTTCTTCATCCTTTGAGGGCCAGGAAAACCTTTGCCAGTAGTTTCAACTGATCGTTTGCAAAGGGCTTTTGAAATAAGGCTGAGGAATGCATAAAGTTAGAGCAAGGCTGCAGGTTGCCCATCCCTGGTTTAAAGCCATGAAGCAGAAGTGACTAACCTATTCTGGAAACCTTGGTCTACCTCCTGGGGCCATGTGGGTGTGGCCAAAGTGAATGGGACCATTCCACACACACTGTCACACAATCGGACATCAGCATGTAGTGTGCTTCCCTTCCTCTCTTGCAGATCAACTAGTGAGGGAGGCTATTGTGCCCCTCTGCTCCTCAAATGACCAATCTGATGCCTGAGAATGGCATACCTATCCAAATGCTGGTCTCCCCCCACTTCAGCTCCAGTGGAATCTGGGTGGGGGAATATTTGCTTTGGGAGCTGAATGAGGCCTCTGAACTGGTCTTAGAAGTGCAGCACTTTAAATCGAGCTCTGAAGCAAACTAGTAGCTGGTGCACTTGAAAGAGCAGTGGAGTGAACTCCACACCAAAGAACAGTCTGGTGGCTGTGTTGCGAACCAAATGAAACTTCCAAAAGCCCTTTTTGAAAATAGCCCTATGCAGGGTGCGTGATAATAATCCATTGTGAGCATAACAAGGACACAGATGATTGTGTTACAAGCCTACCACTTCCTGTGGCCTATAGCCACATTTTTTAACCTTTCCCATTTTCCTTTAACTAGAATCACACTGAAATGGAAACCAAAATGGCAGGCAGGTAATGGATTACCCACAATGCTTCTGGGCTGTGCCAAAGTTCCTTCAGGTCTGTTCCTCCCTTCACTTGCTGTGACATTCAGCCTCCTTGCCTACTCACCCTTTCACAATCTGCTCTCAGAACTATCCCAAATAAATGTGCATTACTCAAGGACAATGGTGGGTTTTGTCCGGTTATTCTATGGGAACTTGAACTTTCCAGGAAGAGAACAGAGCTGTTGTCTGTCAAGGCTCAGAACATCTGCCCATGTAGGCACAGACCCCCTCCCCCATTTAATGATGCCTCTGGGAACATGAATGTGCCTCAGGGGGTCACTATGAGCTGTGCCACAGCAGCAGTAGACAGAAACGTGCCATGAAGGACGTCTTTCCATTCTGTCTATCTTCAGGCATGCTAAGCACACAAAGCCTCCTACAAATGGTGCTGAATTCCTCACGATAAGAGGAATCACTTGCGGACTGGGTCTTTTGGTGCTTCCAGGCAAACTGTTTATTAAGCATTCACCCTATTTTGTTTTCAGGGAGATTAGACAATGTCGGCTATTTCATAGAATAGAATCATAGAGTTGGAAGAGACCACAAGGGCCATCGAGTCCAACCCCCTGCCAAGCAGGAAACACCATCAGAGCACTCCTGACATATGGTTGTCAAGCCTCTGCTTAAAGACCTCCAAAGAAGGAGACTCCACCACACTCCTTGGCAGCAAATTCCACTGTCGAACAGCTCTTACTGTCAGGAAGTTCTTCCTAATGTTTAGGTGGAATCTTCTTTCTTGTAGTTTGGATCCATTGCTCCGTGTCCGCTTCTCTGGAGCAGCAGAAAACAACCTTTCTCCCTCCT